TTCAATTTTTTTATGCATAACAGAAATGGCATTTAGTCATATGCTTTTTACTTTTTAGTTTCCTGTGATATTTTTATGTTCTGTTGTTTGACAGTCATTTGTAATATTGTATTGGTAAAAACCAAAAACTATAAAAATAGTCAAATGTTTTTTATTACAGTTTTTTGTTATATTTTATCACGCTGTTTGGTTTTTGTTTTCCTTTTTTGACACAACATGTATAATAAATGCCCCCCTGTTTTATGATTATGATAGTGCGCCAACCCACCCCTCTCCTCACCCCGACAATCATCCCCGGGGTAGTGGAAAGTAGCGGAGTTTTTCGATACCTGTAGCGGAATTTTCAATGTTGGCTCTGGCAACACTGGATACGTGATACCCATGCGGGAACTCGTTGCTTAAAACAGACTCCTTGCCTAGTTGGTACTGAAATTTCTTTATTGCCAAGGGTAAGTAGTAGTAAATACAGGATCGAGCACAGTTAAATAACCGTAGATGTGAACTTATTATAAATGCTAGAGCACGAGTACCATCTATACCATATTTCACGCGTATTCATCACCCTTTGACGCGTACTGATAACTAACTATTCGTCATTTATTTGTCTGGGCGGTCCGTAGGACCTTTGCCCATTAGTCACTGTCTGATGTACGTTAGTCGAATCTGTCAGTCCTGGTTGCCCAGAAACCAGACAAAGTCAAGGAAAAAGAGAAAGGGAAAGAGAAGAAAAAAGGAGAAGAACAAAGAAAAACAGATATGCTTAGTTTAAGAGGAAACACCTTGGCTTTTTGACTTGGTACACGGATTAATTTTGAGGTGAACTAAAGAAATTTTTTGATTCGGTTTTGTTAGTGTAATTTTGAGTTTACTAAAGATTCACGATAACTTTTGACTACAGTGCGAGCCGTGGCCTTGAATGTTTACGAACTTGCTCCACTGTGTAGTCCACTGAGTCGCGCAACAGAGGGTTGCTGTGCGATTCTGCTTGACTATAACGTCGCTGCGCCTGAAGCTTGACATAATCCCTCAAGTAAGGAATGTCAAGGTCTCTGTGTACTGTCTCATTTGAGACATACCATGGAGCGTTGCAAATTGTCCGCAAAAGTTCTGCTTTGCAGTACTTGAAGACTTTGCATGTGTGTCTTGGCAAGAAAACACCAAGCCGCACATGCATAAGTAATGGCTGGTCTAATAATCATTTTATATAGTCGAACTTTGTTTATCAAACTCATTTTGGAGGATCTACATAACAAAGGATATAGTTGCCGAAACGCAATTTGGAATTTTGTTTTTATGGATGCTGTATGTTTCTGCCAGGTCATGTCTTTATCAAGGGTGACACCAAGATGCTTGGCAGAATTTGTCCATGGTAACGATTTCCGTCTACAGAAACCTCTGCTGGGGGGCCGCGACGTTTTCGAATGATTAATTTTTATCAGCCACCGTTCCGCCCACTCTAGAACTTCGTCCACCGCATTCTGCAACCCATCGTGAACCAGATCACCAGTACACGACTGGGCGACAAGTGCAGTGTCGTCAGCATAGAGGTAGACTTCACAGTTGCTGGGGGAAGGGACATCATGGATGAAAAGAATTGGTCCTAGGACCGAACCCTGAGGAACTCCGGCCCGTACTGCCCGTGTTGTTGACAAAACATCGTTAATTTTGATCCGAAACTTCCTTCCTTCAAGAAAGGATTTCAGTAATTTTAGAAGCCAAAAAGGAAAACCATTTTGGATTAGTTTATAGAGGAGGCGCGCGTGCCACACCTTTTCAAAGGCTTTTGAGACATCCAAAAGCAAGATGCCAGTACTCATGTTGAGGGTGAACCCTCTGGTTACATGCTCCACCAACCTGACTGCCTGTAGCTCGGTGCTATGCTCGGACCGAAAACCGAATTGGACGTCAAGAATCACATGGTGATTTGACGAAAAATTCTCAAGGTGACGATAAATCACCTTTTCGGCGAGCTTAGAAGGAGCTGACAGCAGACTTAAGGGACGGTAATCCTGAGGAAATATCGAACTCACCTTCTTTGGAATCATGATGACCTCAGCAGTCTTCCACCTAGCAGGGAAGTACTGGATTTTGAGCGTCGCATTGATTATTGTCACCAAGTATGTCAGGGCTTTCGGCGAGAGCAGCTTCAACGCCTTGTTGGTGATTTGATCCTCCCCAGGTGCTTTACGCACCTTGAGGTCTTTAATATGACTTAGTAACTCCGCTGGTGTGCAATGTGGAAACTCGGAGGGTTCCGCTAATGTGCTATGTGGAGCCTCAGACGAATATTCTGAAGAGGATTCAGTGCCTCCGCTAACGCCGTTGGCTCTAAAATATCTCCTGACGGATCGTACGATGTGCTGTTCCTCGTCGAGGTCATTATCGAGATCATAGTTGGGAGAGAACATGGCATCAGCGAAAACCTCGACCTTATCATCCGTTCTGAAGACTATGCCTTCAGGACCGTGGATGTGTGGGAGTTGTTCTCGCTTTCCGTGTCTGAGTGATTTTGCGACCCTCCAGAGAGGAATACTTGAATCAAGCATTCCCGCCAGAAAGTCGCTCCATTGCTCGTTGCGGAGTTCGTGCAGTGCGTTTCTCATTTCATGGACAAGATTTGTAGCCCTACGAATGTCATCAGGATGAACGCGTACCGATGTGAACAGCTTAGCAGCAAGTGACATTTTTGTGTTAGTCTGCGACGTTGGCAATAATGGATCTGGTATAAATCTAGTAAAACTTGTTTGTGGCGTTTTGTTTTTTGAATGCTAATGAACTTTTCTAAATAAATGTGCTGTTAGCAAATACAACATCAATCCGTGTCGTACAAAAAGCCAAAACAAAACTCGCCTCTGTCTACCTGGCGTTGACGGATCCGTCAGAATAATGTGCTCTGTGCCGGTATGGGGAATTTTGAGATATTACTAGATAATCAGCTGTCATTCTGCCGAGATGGATACTCGAGAGGGTATAATTTTATCGTGTCGTATGTCAGACAAAAAGTTAGCTCACGTCGGTGACCCTGAAGTAGACAACATGCAAAGCTTGTTCAAGCCACAAATACAGGGTGTCCGCAAAGTTGGGGTTTTCCTTTACACGACGTGTAGATCTTGAAAACATAAGCAATTTTTCTTAGTACCATATACACCAATGTCTTAAGGGAACCGAGATAAAGGGCTCTGCAACATCAAAAATATCTGAATACCGTCCTGTAGCCGCGACATCCCCCAGTGGTACTAGGACACTAGCTCAACCCGACGACAGAACTGGGTCGGGGTCAGTGTGTCAGGTCAGTATGCAACCTTCAACCGACGGTTACGGCTACGCGTGAAGAGATAATCGCGTAGACGTGAATCCCTCAACAAGCACTAGAGACGTGGCTAGATAAGGGCAAGTATCAAAAACTAAAGTGTGGCAAACGCTGCGTGAAGAGGGGCTGTATCCGTTTCACGTCCAACGAGTACAAGCCCTTTAACCTGACGATTTTCCAGCAAGAGTGCGGTTTTGTGAGTGATTGTTGCATCAACATGACAATAATCCGGACTTTTTGAAGTGCATATTGGTGACAGACGAATCTACGTTCACGCGTAATGGGGTGAATAACTTTCGCAACACTCATGTTTGATCAGTAGAAAATCCGCACGCTGTCCGTCGGGCACATTTTCAACAAACATTTTCGGTGAATGTTTGGGCTGGCATGGTGAACCTAGACCTAGACTTTTTACGCAACATTTTGCCTTCCTTGTTTGCCTGCGTCTGCTCGGTACCGCATCAGCTGATTTCATTTTCTGTTGGAGCGGTATTATTTCGGGCAGAGACGTACTTAGCCCTTCTCGTCAACTGGAGAGTGAGTACTTTTTCCTTTATTTTTTTACTTGGTCGCCCTCGTTTCACTACACATTACCTTTGTTTTTCAAGGGTAGTTGTTTCTGAAAAGGAAAACTCCAACTTTGCGGACACCCTGTATGGGCCTGGCTGTATTTGGAGAGTTCGTCATCGTCACAAGTATAAGTATAAATCCGTGAAGAATTTGCGCTTATCACGAAACAGCGCAACAGAAAAATTCGGAAATGAGGGTAGCTCTCTGATGACAGTTTGCAATTGTTGCTGTCACAGTGTGGCTACTCCTATGAACGAATTTTCTTTCACCAAAACCAGGATACGGTAATTCCTCAACAATAACGTTCGATAAACAGATCCGTACTATTGACACGTAACGCACATATTGCTATATTACTTTAGTTCGACTACTCTCTAATGGATGGCGCCACGAGCGAATAAGATTTAGGGAGATTTTCGAGCATAACAATTTACTAGTTTCACGTTCAATGAAGTTGAATTTTGGTCGTAAAATGAGAGAATTTGATTCAAAATTGTTCAAGAAAACTACAAGTATGAACATATTTTTAATTCAGCTACTCCCCGATAGATGGCGTTGCTTGATGGCAACTATCACAAGGCTCATCATTTTGAATGACTACCGGGAGCCGCTGAATTTTATTCAGTAAATCTCGCTTAAAGAAGGGGGAGGGTGCTTTGTTTTTTAAAAAATGCGTAATATTGCTACATAAACTAATTCAAGCAAAATAATCTTATTTTTCATCAAAAAATGGGGGATTTTCAACCCACCTCACGACCATTTAAGTTTGTTGATCTTGAGGAATGTGCAAAAATCGAGCCGCCAAAACCCCGACCAACCACCCCTTAAGATTCTTTTAGACTAGTTAAATTTTGTGGAGCGTGTGATAGGATGGTTTGAAAGCGCCATCTATTGCATAGTAGCACAACTAAGAATTTTATCATTTTTTATGCGTTTTTAACTTCATTTTTACAACATTTAAAAGCACTTTACACCAAATTTGTCAGGTTGTCAAAAAAGTGCTGCACACGCTCCAGAGAGTAAAGGGGCGAATTTTCTTTGTCAGCTGTCAGAATTTTTGGTCATACCTCCACTTTCTCTCTCCTTGTCAAAAATAGGTTGATACAATGAAACACAAAACTAAATCAAAGGTTTTATTGATACGTATTATACTCAATAACATCCTTTTAAAAGATATCGGAACATAAATCTTTTTCTTATGAAGAAACATAACGTTAATACTTTTGAGCAATCAAAAACAAAAGGCCTGTTCTACGCGTCACGAACAGTCAATAACCCTCGTTTCACCATGGAATTGTAACACAACTCCCCATTTTCCTCGTACAGATGCACGCGTAACGGCTCCCTTTGCAGCACTTTAACTAACTTCTCCTCCTCGTAAAGTTGTTTAATCTGTTGGAACACATGTTCCATGTGGTTCCCAGTTTTCAGTTCGATTGCCAGCTCGGCGACATGCGAAGACACCGGTTGATCGAACCATTCTTTCCTCATTTCTCTGATGTTGTCCACCGTGACGGATTCCACGTTGCCGAAATCGACGAAAAACACGAAAACGTAACCGCAGTCCAGACCTTCGATATTGAAGATCTCCGCCCTGTACCAAATTCCGTCTTCAGAATACCGGCAGATGCAAGGCATGCCGATCCTGATATCCGATTTCCTCACAACCGGCTGATCCATGTGCTGTTGGTGAATGTGTTGTCCTAATGTTAGAAGTTCGTCGGTGGGTATGCAAATGGAAGGTTTGATCACAACTTTGTTGAAGGCCAAAACCGCGATGATTGTCATGTAGATTTTTTCGTCAGGCTCTGCCTCGGGAAGCGGTTGAATGGTGTATTTCTGGTGCGGTATCAGAGCTGCGAGATTCAACTGAAAAAGAATGAGAGTGTGTATAAGTATGAACTTGCTTCAGGAAAAGTACAGACTGATATATTCAGTGACATTGTGTATTACACCCAGAATTTTTTGGCAGTTAGGTAGTCTTACAACAAGAATAACACGGGTACTTATTGAACCGCCCTCGTAGTCATTATGTTGTCAAAAAATCAAGTTGAAGAAATTATTTTTCTGGGTGTAACATTTCTAATGTCACCGAGTATATTTATTTCATCTGTTCATGTACAAGATAGACATGTCATTAAAAACTGACTATTTAATAATGGTGGCGCAAGTACACATTGAACTCTAGCTGTCAGAGAAATTTGGATCTCAGTGTATTAAAACAATCACAGAAAAAACAAAGGTACATTAGATATGAAGATTCGACTGTAGAACTGATGGCCAAGCAAATATCAGAACCATTTGCTTATGTTATAAATATACTAAGTGACATATAAATCCGAACACCCAGTTTAAATGATTTTATTTTAATAAAATTTTGTATAAGTACTTAATGAAGCATAATAAGTAAATGATAAAAATTTCAAAATGATTGCACTGCTTTAAAGCCCTTTGACCTTTAATAATGTGTGGATGCACCCTGATGTGCTACGCATTCTCCAACGCGCCTAGGCATGCTTCTGATCAGGTGGTCAATGTCTTCCTGTGGTATCTCATTCCAGGCAACCACCAACTCCTCTCGAAGAGCTTCTAGAGTCTGAGGAGGACGTTGCAAATTGAGCAATCTCCTACCCATCATATCCCACACGTGCTCAATTGGGGATAAGTCGGGAGATCTTGGTGGCCATGGTAACAATGTGACATCATTATGTTGAAAGAAGTCTACTGTCACTCTTGCAACATGTGGTCGGACATTATCTTGTTGGAAAGTTGGATCTGCCAGGGTGTCAAGATAGGGTAAAAGATGGGGTTCTAGAACTTCGTGGATATAACGCTGCGCGTTCATGTTACCTCTGATGAAGATTAAAGGTGACCTGGAACCATAAGCTATAGCACCCCAAACCATAACTCCCACAGTGTGATGAACATGTCTTTCAACAAAAAACTGTGGATTCCTCCTTTCACCACGTCGCCTTCTAACCCTGGCACGACCATCGTGCATGCCTAAACAAAATCGAGACTCGTCACTAAACACAATACTGCTCCATTCCTGATCCCAGAGTGACCGTTGACTGCACCACTCAAGGCGATTACGTCGGTGTTCTCGAGTTAAAGGGAGGACCCAGTGTGGCCGGTATGAAAACAAGCCAAAACTTCTCATTCGTCGGTAAACACTTCGCATGCCAATAGGTCTTCCGTGTTCTGCAAACCATTCATTTGCAATGGACCTGGTAGTGGAGAAACGGTCCCTTAAGGCCAATAATCTTAGGCGGCGATCTTCACGGTCTGTTGTTCTACGGCGGCGTCCAGTGCCCCTTGCTCTTTGCGTACGGCCTTCTCGAAGCCATGCCTGACAACACCTAACCACAGAGTCTACACTTCTTTGCACTCTAACTGCAATTGTCCGAAAAGAAAGTCCAGCTTCCCGAAGTCCCACTATACGGCCCCTATCAAACTCACTAAGTAACCGTAACCGATCGTAAAGGATGTCAAGAACCAAAATCCGCCAACGTTGATTCTTTACTGCGGCTGAAATATTCATTTTTAGAGCGTTAGTGAATTAAAAAAAAGCAGTATAAAAACCGGAATGTCCAACTGATAAGGCTGAAAATTTTTTCACTTGTTATTTACAGTAAGATAAATACATTCACCAACTTTTATTAAAATAAAACCATTTAAACTGGGTGTTCGGATTTATATGTCACTTAGTATAACTTAATCAGCGCGACTAAAAAGTTGCCAGTGTGCGGTTACTCTTACTGAGACAATTCGCTGAAGGGACCAACCGTCAACAAGTGGCTAAAGAGGTTTCAGGAAGGTCGAGAAGATATGAAAGATTACCAACGCTCAGGACGCCCCTCCACATCGAGCTATGAGGGAAATGTTGAACAAATTCGGGGCTATGTTCTTAAATACCGTCGATTCACAGTTAGAATGATAGATGATAGACTCAGAGTTGAACTTAGAGATCGCTTACCACGTCTTTTTCAGGATCATAATCAACGGACTCTTCGTCTTCGATGACGGCTCCGTCTTCTTCGTCATCATCGTCGCCAGATTTGCTCGAATCCAACGATTCGCACCTGGTCAAATTCGGACAACGCTGCGTCAGCAAATGGTTGACGTTTATGCCGTCGGTGGTGAACATTTCGACCAGCGGCATTTCCGTCTTCAGGGAGCTCTTCACTACGATGCGCGCGTAATTCGGGCACAGGCTGAGGAAACATTCGTAGTCGGACGAGAGCCACGAGCCGCACTTCGGGAATACCCTGAAAATGAAAAAAAAATTAGTCAAATAATATAATAATAATATTTATTCACTCAATGTACAAAGATAACAAACAATATGAGTAAATAAATATAAAATCAAAACAAGCCCAATAGAAGGCATCGCCTGTACATGGACCAATAATTTAAGTTGAAACTGTAGAATGCAAATGACAAAAAAGGACAAAACTTAGCTACAGTAGATTATGTATTTAGTTGATGTTCGTATTGATGAGTTTATGAATTTCAGTCCTAGATATAGAATGTAGCCACTTTTTTAAATTTCTTTTGAAACAATTTCCGAAACGTAAGTAAGTCTTTAGGTATAATTTCATAAAATTTAGGCGCTAAATAGAGATATGATCGCTGCATTATAGATTTATGCGGTTGAACTACTGTGCCACGAATTTTGTACCTGGTATAATGATTGTTTAATTTTTTGGTCGGTGTTTACAAATTTATGGTAGTGAGTGATACTGTGTAAGAAATAAAGCTGTCTTATATCATACATTCGAACATCTGCGTATAATTTTTCAGTGGGATAAAGTTTCGGTTTTTTAAATATCATTTTTAGAATACTTTTTTGAAAAACATCTAAATTATAGATATGTGAGGAACATGCAGCTCCCCATGCTAATATACCATATGTGAGATGAGACTCAATCAGTGCATGGTATAATGTTCGAAGATATTTTTCTGTCAATATATTCCCAAGGTATTTAATTTTGTAGGATACAAATCTAACTTTCTTTAAAATATAATTGACATGGATGTCCCATCGTAAGCGGGGATCCAAGACCACTCCAAGGTAGTTTATGTTGGGCACTCTATTAATTTGCATTTTTTGATCATTAATGTTGAAGGAGAAATTTGTGTAATATGGCAGATGTCTAGCATAAGATCCAAATGGTAAAAAATGTGTTTTTGATAAAATCATTTTCAATTACATTTTTCAGATCAGACCAGTCAGTGCCTTCATATAATATTGCAGTATCATCTGCAAAACTAGCTATTTTGCCAACACAATTAGTTTGGAAAATATCATTTAAATATATATTGAATAACAGCGGACCTAAGACAGTTCCTTGTGGGACACCACACTTAATATACATTTCTTTACTAAATGATCCTGATATCTGCACAGATTGTGGGCGATTTGACAAATAATTTTCGATCAGTGAGTACGCGTTTCCTCTGAAACCGATTCTCTCCAATGCTTCTAATAATAATTTGTGATTAACTGTGTCGAAAGCTTTCTTTAAATCAACAAAAACGCAGATTGAAGGGATTCTGTTATCAATATTTTGATGTATTTGATTTACAATTTTAGTTATTGCGTCCGATGTAGCCTTCCCTTCTGTAAATCCATATTGATTTTCACTTAAAATTTTGAATTTTGTGAGGTATAGAATCATAATAGTAGATAAAACTTTTTCAAAAACCTTTGCTACACTGGATATTATTGATATTGGTCTATAGTTGTTAACATCTGTTTTTGTTCCTGATTTATGTATCGGTATTATATTACCTTTTTTTAAAATTGAGGGATATATGCCAGATTCCAAGCAATTCAAATATTAGGGTTCACGCGCTTGTCTGTTTTACTTCTTACGCTAGCAGCGCAGACGCATTGTAACCGTGAAAAAAAGTTTCTCAATTCAGGGGTAATGGCAGCCTAAAGCATGAATTTAAGTGAGAACAGAGATTTTCAAAAAAAAGTAGTGAGAAAATAGACGAAAATACCCCTGGTTTGCGGAATAATCGTAAAGTCTGGTTTTATTGATGAAAGTTGTTCTAGGGGGTATTTAAATCATGGACGCATAAAATGGGCACAACACCAATTTTTGTGGGAAAACTTTTTATTCCACAGTAAAGAATGAGAAAGCGTGTTTTTTGGGATTCAATCGAAAATATTGGCAGGAACGAAAAAACTCTTCAAATAAGATTTTTAGGTATTTATGAGACCACACTTAAAAAGATCCGTCTAATACCAAAAAAGTTATGGCCGAAAAACGAGGCAAACGCAGATTGTGGCACTTGCTCGTAATGCGATGATGATTTCTCGCAGATATTTGAAACTCTTCAAATTCGTAGGATTCGTACTTCTAAATAACCAAAATTGGAGTAGATTGGTCAAGTAGTTTTTTGAGAAATTCTAATTGTTTGTCCCAAAACACGTGTTTTCTGGCCATCACTACTAGTTTCAAAGGGCATTTTATAGCAAAATACACTAATTTACCTTGCCGATATGGATCGCAAACCATTCCGGAAGATAATTGTTATTATTATGCAAAAAGGATGGGTTACGTTTTTTCTTCTAAACAAATTCAAACATTTCGTATTTGTGAGTAATTCACAACAAAAGATGATAGACACATCCGGTTTATTTTAAAATGTGTTTAGTAATGTATGTTTTTCGAATATCGTAGCGTATTTGTTGCTGTTTAATTACTCACAAATACGAAATGTTTGAATTTGTTTAGAAGCAAAAAACGTAACCTTTGTTTTTCGCATAAAAATAACATTTATCTTTCGGAATGGTTTGTGATTCATATCGGCAAGGTAAAGACGTGGATTTTGTTATTAAATTCTCTTTGAACGAACCTTGTAATGGGTTGTCCAATAGGGACGCAGGAAAGTAAACGTCAATTTGACATAGACGCCATCTTTATTTGCTGTCACCGACATGTCATTTTGTTAGTTGAATGTTTACCATTGATCGCTATGGAGTCGTATTCGATTGAAGACCGCATTAAAGTTATTCAAGAGCACTACAAAAATGGTGCAAAAATAAAAAACACGTTTCGCGCGCTTCGTGTACATTTCGGTCGCAACAACCGCCCAAACGAAACAACCATCGGTCGTCTGGTGCGTAAATTCGAGGCAACAGGTTCTGTGGCAAATCTGCCAGGCTCTGGCCGGCCAAGGAGCATTCGCACACCGGAAAATATTGCTGTTGTGAAGGAGAGTGTGAGAGACGATCCGAAACAATCAACAACGCGTCGATCCCAAGAACTGGGCATTTCGAGAACCAGTTTGCTCCGCATTCTCCACAAGGATTTGAATGTACACGCCCAAGATCAAATTGACGCAAGAGCTGCGTCGGGCCGACCATTTTTCGCGCCGAACGTTCTCAGATTGGCTCCTTGAACACCGCCAAATTGATGCCAATTTTTCATCAAAAATCATGTTCAGCGACGAAGCGCATTTCACTTTGAATGGGACGGTAAACAAGCAAAACTACCGCATCTGGGCGAACGAAAATCCCCGTGAGAATCAAGAGCAGCCGATGCATCCTCAAAAAGTGACTGTGTCGTGTGCATTGTGGTCAAAAGGCATCATCGGGCCTTACTTTTTCGAAAATGCGGCCGGGGACGCCGTTACCGTCAATTCTGAGCGATATCACGTGATGATAGAGGACTATTTTTTGCCGTAACCTGAAGGAATGGATATGGACGATGTTTATTTCCAACAAGACGGTGCAACATGCCACACAACCAACGTCAATATCCATCGATTGCAGTCCTTCTTCGGTGATCGCGTGATTTCGCGCAGAGGAACTGTGCCATTTTTATGGGGATATTTGAAAAGCAAAGTCTACGTCAACAAACCAGCCACCCTCCAAGAACTCAAAACAACATCATTGCCGAGATAAATGCCATAGAACCGACCGTGTTGCAAAATGTCATTGAAAATTTCGACCATCGTGTGGACGTCTGTAAATCCAGTCGTGGTGAACATTTCTGTGATATTATTTTTCATACATAAATGGTATAAATGAACCTTCAAAATAAAGTACCCAACTTGATTTGAATATCAATCTTTCTTGTTTTAATATGCGTTTACTTTCCTTCCTCCGTTTTGGACAACCCCATATATTGGTCAATAAACTAGTAGTGATGGCTAGAAGACAAGTGTTTCGGGATAAACAATTTCTAATATTTAGAAATTTTCAAAAATTACTTCACCAATCGACTCCAATTTTGTTGCCGTTATTTAAAAGTATGAAGCTCACGGATTTGAGGAATTTCAAGTAGTTGCGTGAAATTATCGTCGCATAACCTGCATTTTGCTTCGGCGTTCGGCCATCACTTTTTTACTATTAATCGGATCTTTTTACGTGTGGTTTCATTCTGTAAGTCTCAGAAATACCTAAAAATCTTATTCTCATTTTTGTTGTCGAATAAGAAGTTTTCGCACAAAAATTGGTGTATCCATTTTATGTGTACATGTTTTAAATACCAGCTTGAACAACTTGCATCAATAAAACAAGACTTTCGCGTAAATTTGCTAAAATGATTAGACTAAAACCCTGAGAAATAAGCTACGGTCGACATATTTCATTTGAAATTACATTTTGCTTGTGTTTCTCTCAAGCCCTTTCATCTGATGCCCAAATCTAGCTAAAAAAAAATGGTACAAATTTATAACAATAAAAAAACACGATTTAATCAAAAAAATCAAATTTTTTTATTTAAAAAAATGAGATTTTTTCAAACAAAAATATGATTATTTGCAACACTGTCGGAAACTCTAGAGAAAACTTAAAAAGAAACTTCTCCGGAATTACCCTAAAAACCCAAAAAAACGACTGTCCTGTGCGAAAAATAGATTTTGGAATGTTTAAAAAATGTTGGGCCTGGCATCATGCAGATTCGTTACGAATAAAAAAATATAATCAAAATATTTTTCCGAGCAGTCGCAAAGATACTTCCTGTGCTACACTTGTTGAAAATTATCCTACCTGTCCAGTTTGACCCTCGAGGCGAAAGCGGGTATCTTGGGATAGAGTATCTCCCTGTGCAGCTGATCGGGTTTGACGAGATGATCGCTGCCGAAGTCGATCATCACCACCGTGACAGCCTCCGAACTGATACCGTACACTTTTCCTCTGTAGAATTTTCCATCGTCGCTGGCTATCGTGCACAGTTGGCCCACTTCCCACTTATGGTCCTCCTTCTCGCCGGGCGTTTTGTTCGCGAAGAATTCCTTTATGTTGTTTTCCATTTCCAGGTAGACCTAGAAGAGAATCTTTACGTCAAAATTTTCGCTGGATTATATTCGGTAAATATTGAGATTGCCGAGCAGGTTCACCAAACTTAAAAAACTACGAATACAAATAGAAAGATTTTCTTTCTACAAGTATTATGTCGTTCCGACCAATTTTATACTAAAATTTATTTAGAATGCTTTGACTGTATATGTATATCGTTTTAAAGCGAGTTTTTCGATTCATCTAGTTGTTGTATTCGTTCGGTTTTACGATAATTTGTTTTTTAATATACTAAGTGACATATAAATCCGAACACCCAGTTTAAAAGGTTTTCTTTTAATAAAATTTTGTATAAGTACTTAATGAAGCATAATAAGTAAATGATAAAAATTTCAAAATGATTGCACTGCTTTAAAGCCCTTTGACCTTTAATAATGTGTGGATGCACCCTGATGTGCTACGCATTCTCCAACGCGCGTAGGCATGCTTCTGATCAGGTGGTCAATGTCCTCCTGTGGTATCTCATTCCAGGCAACCACCAACTCCTCTCGAAGTGCTTCTAGAATCTGAGGAGGACGTTGCAAATTGAGCAATCTCCTATCCATCATATCCCACACGTGCTCAATTGGGGATAAGTCGGGAGATCTTGGTGGCCATGGTAACAATGTGACATCATTATGTTGAAAGAAGTCTATTGTGACTCTTGCAACATGTGGTCGGGCATTATCTTGTTAGAAAGATGGATCTGCCAGGGTGTCAAGATAGGGTAAAAGATGGGGTTCTAGAACTTCGTGGATATAACGCTGCGCGTTCATGTTACCCCTGATGAAGATTAAAGGTGACCTGGAACCAAAAGCTATAGCACCCCAAACCATAACTCCAACAGTGTGATGAACATGTCTTTCAACAAAAAACTGTGGATTCCTCCTTTCACCACGTCGCCTTCTAACCCTGGCACGACCATCGTGCATGCCTAAACAAAATCGAGACTCGTCACTAAAGAAAATACTGTTCCATTCCTAATCCCAGAGTTACCGTTGTCTGCACCACTCAAGGCGATTACGTCGGTGTTCTCGAGTTAAATGGAGGACCCAGTGTGGCCGGTATGAAAACAAGCCAAAACTGCTCATTCGTCGGTAAACACTTCGCATGCCGATAGGTCTTCCGTGTTCTGCAAACCATTCATTTGCAATGGACCTGGTAGTGGAGAAATGGTCCCTTAAGGCCAATAATCTTAGGCGGCAATCTTCACGGTCTGTTGTTCTACGGCGGCGTCCAGTGCCCCTTGCACTTTGCGTACGGCCTTCTCGAAGCCATGCCTGACAACACCTAACCACAGTGTCTACACTTCTTTGCACTCTAACTGCAATTGCCCGAAAAGAAAGTCCAGCTTCCCGAAGTCCCACTATACGGCCCCTATCAAACTCACTAAGTTGACGAAATCGTCAAGAACCAAAATCCGCCAACGTTGATTCTTTACTGCGGCTGAAATATTCATTTTTAGAGCGTTAGTGAATTAAAAAAAAGCAGTATAAAAACCGGAATGTCCAACTGATAAGGCTGAAAATTCTTTCACTTGTTATTTACAGTAAGATAAATACATTCACCAACTTTTATTAAAATAAAACCATTTAAACTGGGTGTTCGGATTTATATGTCACTTACTATACTTCAAATATTGGCAAATTTTTTTTCCAGTTCAAATTAGGTCGAAAAGCTGCCGAGACAAAAAGCCTCCAATGAGTTCACCGCCTCCAAAACTCCGGATTTCTTCATTAGCGGCAGAAATGAACTTGTTTCTCGTTGGCAAAAGTGTGCTGATTCTAATGGTTTTTGTTTTGATCGATACAGTTTTTGCTCCTATGAACTTGAAGGTTAAAAACCTCAAGAACTTTCCGAACAACCTAATACTAACCTTATGCAATGATTCTTCCCTCAAATAAAGATATCCTTCATTCTCGGCGGTTATGATGATAGCGTGGAATTCTTCTTTATCGATGGGAAACGGAGGAATCCAGTCCTCGATATCGGCCTCTTTGGTATCATACGGCGAATCGTTCTGACTACTAGCCTGTCTCTCTTCTTCTTCGACCAAGTCGTACCAATTCACAGTTTCTTTGCCTTAAAGAAACAGTTATTTACCTAACAGGTGCGGAAATCGATACTTTTCCGCAAGTGTTGGTTAAAAGATTTTTTCTAACAGCGTGCGGAAAATACTCAGTGTCAACACGCAATTTGTTTGTTTGTTTGTTTAAGATTCATTTAGCATGATTGCTACAATTACATTCTTCTAAAAAACTAAACAATTACATAACATACAGACATTAAGAAAAAAAAAACAAAATTTGCATCTCTAAGACGTTTCATTGTCCATGAAATATTCCTTTAATTTTCTTTTAAATATATTTAAATTACAAGAAGACTTTATATCATTATTTAGTTTATTAAATTCAAGTAATCCTTTCTGAAATAGAGCAGACGCTTGATAACGTAAACACGAGATAAAGAAAACTTGCGCTAATGTAAACACAAAGTTCGTTCTATAGGATCAAACGGAACGCGCGATAACGTAAACAATGTGTACGCTCGATAACGTAAACAACTCTCGGCGCACGGAAACAGCGCGACGGTAAAATGCTGAAGCCTCGATGATTTATGTCGGGCGTCGGGGAGTCCCCGATTTATGATGTAGAATGTAGGGGATTCACCTCTGCGATAAAATACGACAAACTCGGTCAGTCGTATAATCATTTAGGATACGTTTATACGTACGTATGTATTTCATTTTTGAACTTAAGTGAATACATTGCACGCGTTAATATATTTTACGACTATGGCATCCACATCCTATAAAAGAAAGTGTTTAAAGTTGAGTGAGAAAGTGAAAATCATAGACGAAGTTGCACTAGGTGCGGGAGTGACACAGTTAGCAAAAAAATATGGAGTATCGAAAGCAACAATCTGTAAAATTAAGCGAATGAAAACTCAAATTTTACAAAGAACGTGCAATACATTTGGTGGTCCGGGACAAAGAAAAACTTTAAAAAATGCGAAGGCACCTAAAATGGAAAATTCCCTGTATAAGTGGTTTTTAAAACAACGGGAAAATCATGTCCCAGTTAGTGGCGAAATACTCAAACAGAGAGCGAGACTGTTAAATGAAAAACTGAAAGAAACTGAAAATTTCGTAGCTAGTGATGGCTGGCTACAACGATTCAAAACAAGATATGGAATTCGACTGCTGTCTATATCTGGTGAAAAATTATCAGCACAACCACAATTAGTGCAACCATTCAAAGAAAAATTGATGAAAACAATCACCGAGCTAGATTTAAGAATGGAACAAATTGACAACGCAGATGAAAGTGGCCTTTATTGGAAAATGTTACCAGAGAAAACCTATGCTGCATCATTTGAAAAATCTGCCCGGGAAGAAAGCCGGAGAAACAACGAATAACGTTTCTAGCCTGCACTAATGCTAATGGTTCACACAAAATAAAGCCACAGGTAATTGGGAAAGCAAAAAATCTGCGCTCATTTAAAAATGTTAATATCCCTGTTGATTATGACTGTTCAAAAACCGCTTGGATGACTAGCAGTATATTCCTGAAATGGTTCCACAGGTGCTTTGTCCCTCAGGTATGACAATCAATTATCACCAATGCTCTATTCATAATTTGAAGATGTGTTTTCAATTTGTAGGTAAAAGGTTTCCTACAACAACAGAAGCTTCCAATAAAAGCGTTGTTACTATTGGATAATGCACCAAGTCATCCTCCCGAGCAACAACTGAGGAGCAGGGATGGGTCAATTTTCGTCATGTACATGCCGCCCAATGTAACACCGTTAATTCAACCGATGGACCAGAATATAATGAGTCTCACCAAACTATACTATAGGAAGTTTCTACTTTCGTCTGTCTTATCAAAGAATCCTGAAAACTTATCTGAGGCTTTAAAAAAAGTAACATTACGAGAAGCTGTTTTAGATTTACATATGGCCTGCAATGAACTTAACCAGCAAACTATTCAAAAATGTTGGGACAATCTCTTTTGTACCAATAATGAAGATGATGAAGAAGACGATGTCCCCTTAAGCGTAATTAGAGAACGTTTGCGATCCAATAATGATAATGTTATTAGTGTGTCATTGGATGTTGTTGATTTATTGAAAACAGTGAATCCCAACATTGTTTGTACTCCTGCTGATATTAATTTATGGAACGAAGATAAGCAGACGAATGATGCTGATAAGGACGAGGATATGGACAGTGAGGATGATGAGAACGATCCCATTGAAGTCAGAAGTGTAGTGACTGACGCGCAAGCTATACAAGTTTTTAACCAAGCTTTAGATTGGGCTGAAAGAAAAGAAGTTTCATACACGGATATTTTAGTTCTTCGTAAATTACGGGCGCAGGCATTGGAAGACAATGCTAAGCGCAAATTTACGCAGACAAAAATTGTTAATTATTTTTCTTCTAATTAAAAAATACTTATCGCTGTTAGAATATTTGTTTATTTTGTTATAAATAGTATGTATTAAACGTTTCTTTTAATAAATCAAATATTACATAAATCACGTTCGCTAATGTAAACATTTCGATAATGTGAACCACACTTGGATTAAATTAGTTTACATTATCGAGCGTCTGCTGTATTGATTTGTTAGTTATATTACTATTGCAATTCTGTAAATGAAAATCTATATTTCCTCTTGTATAATAATTGCGGTAATGATTATTCAATTCTATGTAGTATTCTAAATGTTCTGGCAAAAGATGATTTTTTATTTTAAATATAAAAATAAGAACCAAATATATGAAATTCTTTATATTCAACCACTGCAATTCTTATAACATAGATTTTATTTTGTACTTATTTTTATTCAATATTATTCTCATAGCTTTATTTTGCAAGAATTGTAATTTTGAGAATACAGCTTCGTTGGCAGTGAACAATATAGTAAATGGTAGAATAATTTTATTATAAACTATTTTCTTGGAATAGATACCAAGACTATAAGAAACTCTATAAAAGTATTTTTTTGCAATTTCTGAAATAATGATCCTCAAACTTTAGTTTACTATCAATTTACATACCTAAATATTTAATTGATTCAACATTTTCAATTATTTCTCCATTTATTCTAACTGTGATATTATTTTTATTTAGGTATTTCCCTATTAGCATACGTTTTGTTTTAGAAGCATTCAATTTTAGTTTATTTACATGCAGAAAGTAGCACTTGTGCTGAAATGCTTTGCGTGCGGAAAAGTGCTACTTTCCGTACGCTGTTAGAAAAAAATAATTTTCGATAAATGCACGAATCAACTGCAAGTTTTTCTGTTACCTTTTTGTGAACCGGACGCTTCGGCCGCCTCAGAATCATTTTTATCAGGGGAAGTGTTCTTTTGGAGTTTGACGTTTCCAAAAACGGTCGACTCTGCGTTACTTTCCGGTTTGACGGGTGATTCTCCTACGTCATCGCCAGAAACGTTGCATATCGGTGCCAAAAGCTGAAATATACGCACCTTAGAAATAGCGTTTTACAGTCGCAGTAATATTTTGATGAATAGGCTACTCGGCTCATATATACTTTCATACAATGATGATGAGTGTTTTTTATAACATTTGGCGAACAGCCCTCTTACACTAATAATAATAACCACCCCACTGCAATGCTCTTCCGGCTCTTTTTGGGTACCTCCTCGTATAAAACAAACATAACTAGTAGAATGACTAAAAAAGCATCTCAATACGAGACAAACGTTGATGAATACATTCAAATACACAGGTGAAATATTCCTCGATACTATAGAAAGACATAATTATTAATGTTGCATTAAAAAGAGAGACATTTGGTATGATTTTTATACAATATGGTAACTTGTTTCTCGTGTAATTTGCATTTGGAAGGACAACCTCTTGAACGGACGCGAACACGAGAAAATGTTCTAACCGGACGGAAAACAAAATAAAAAGAAACGCATTGTCTTATTTTTTTCTGTTGAGAGTATCGCTATTGCCTTTCTCAGTATTGTTGATATCGCAGGTACTGTCAATGCTGCACCTGACTATAGGAAAATTTCCAGGGGGAAGTGTTGCATACACTTTTAAAATTTCATAGCGTATCATTGAATTATTTGAGAAAAAAAAGTAAACAGTTTAAAATCAAACAACTGTGCCTAAAAGTGCTGAAAAACTGTTTCGAAATTTTTGGATGTCCTGAATTAAATTGGATCAATTGTTCTGAGAAGCAGTTCGTTTCCCGAAAATTTGAAATGCTCTACAATAGCACCAGTTCCCGAAATAAAAAATAAAAAGTTTTTTTGGTTAAGGTTTTTTTGTATCAATCCGTTGATGTTCTTTAGATATCAATTCTAAAATAGATCAATAGAGCGAGATTATCGATAGATTTGTCTTGACAAAAACGCAAAAAACTCATTTTTTAGGTACGCTAATGCGATGCAAAGCAAAAGAAATATTGAAATTCTGCATTTAGTGCTTCTTCTGGTTGGATGGATAAATTTAGAATTCGCCATAATATAAGTTTTAAAGCGATTTCGGCAGGATCTTAGGTTAATGCTGAAGATGTTTCATCATTTTTATAAAAATTTCCTTACTTGATTAAGCTGTATGCACCGAGAGACAGGAGTGTATGTTGTTAGGATTCTACCCGAGAAAAGAAAGAAAATTGTGTTGGAGGTAAGTATCCCAAAGAGAGGTTTACAATTTGGAACTATGTAAATATGGCGGGTGAAAAAGAAAAACTCCTAGTCATTGGTAAGACAGCTAAACCCAGCACTTTTAACATTAACATAAATCACCTGCCTATATCTTGGAAATATATTAAGAAAGCTTGGATGACAAGACAAATTATTACAGTGTAGTTGCAATACCTAGATTGGAAAATGGCTAAAGAAAAAAGAAACATTTTGGGACAGTATAAGTTATCTAAAAGGCTATAAACGATCAGCTGAAAGCTATTTCAGTATCGGAGTTCCAGCACTGCTATGTAGTAGTAGTAGTAGAAAGATTTATTTAGCACATTTGGCTACATAAACAGAACAATTGTAAACAACTTAGAACTAGTAAATTCAAGCCATATGGTGTATGATGTAAATGCTGGGCAACCTATAATTGTAGATTTAACAAGTGATTTCTCAATTTTACTTTAAATTTTGTCAAAGTTTTCTGGTCTTTTATCTCCTAGTATAATTTATTATATTCAATCAACCCTTGATGGAATACAGATTTGTAGCATATGTTATACTTTTTGGTCATTAAATGGAAGTCATCTTTATTTCTGGTATTATGTAAATGATGGTCGACATTTGATGATGTTAAATTAGTTAGACTTGATGGAAATATATTATTTTTTACTTTATAAATGAATATCATTACAAGATATTTGATAAAATTTTTTACATTGAGCCATTTTAATTTGCTAAGCATTTGCCTAATTGGAGTATATTTATCTTTATTTAGTATTATTCTCATGCACTTATTTTGTAAAATTTGCAGTCTTTCAAAAATGGAATTATTTGCTAAATATAGAATAGTCGAACAGTACAAGAAATTTGGAAGAATGATGGTATTATATATAATTTTTCTGCTATATGAACTCAGACATCCAGAAACTCTCGATAAATATCCCACTTTACTACTAATCTTATTTATAACTTTTTCATAATGAATATCAAAAATTAATCGAGAGTCAACAAAAACTCCCAGGTATTTAAAATTTTCTACGAATTCAATATCTTCACCATCAATATTCAGTTGAACATTTGTACATTGTTTTTTTCCGATAAACAAGGCTTTCGTTTTACTTGCATTTAATTTTAGTCTGTTAGATGCTAACCATTTTGAGACAAGCTTCAAGTCTTCATTTATATAAGAGATACCAGACTGAATATTTTTAGTACTTATATAAATCATAGTGTCATCGGCGAAAATTTGAATTTTGCATTTTTTGGCTATGGCAGGTAAATCATTTATGTATGTATAAAATAAAAAGAAGTGGTCCCAGGATATGAGGAGGAAAAAAACCGTCTCAGCACTGTGTGGCTTCAGAAGTCATTTTGAGGGTGAAAACATTAAATTGTAATTACATCACTTAATTTACGGACATCGTAATCCCAATTGATGAATATTTTTTATTCTTGAATATGAAACGGTTAAAACGCTATCGGCCATGACGAATGAAAAAATCAGTCTCATCACTTAATTTACGGACCTCGTAATCCCAATTGAACAATATTTTTTATTCTTGAATATGAAACGGTTAAAACGCTCTCATCCAAATTGTAAACAAAGAAACGGCATCCGTATGTCACTCGTGAACTAACGTAGCCCTCTCTATAAAACTCCTAATCAATGTGAAAAGAAAAGTTACCGTTTTCTCGTTTTATTGAAAAAAACAACCTTGACGTTGGATTCCTAAAAGCTGAAAGCACAAATTATACCGAAAATTGACACATCGATTGTTGGTAATTTTTTTGCCTACAGTTCAGATCTCAGCTCTGCTTCCGCACCCTGTAGATATCAAAGAGGGATAAAAAAGAACAGACTAAACTAAAGATTTCTTGGGATAATAAGCCGTACTTTACCTTATCACTCGCATCCTTGGGACTGGCAACTTGCACCGGCTTCGGTGCCACTTTATAAGCAAATCCCATCTTAACCAGCTTATTATTGACAGAGATGAATTTCTTAACATTCGCCTCTAAAGCGCCACCTAGTTTAACTTTGGTGTACCACATATGCATAGGAATGCTCTTAGTGGCTTGTGGCTTGTCTGACGCGTCGATAGCTATTTTTGTACCTGAAATTAAGCGATGATGTCAGAATGCGTGCCAGTTTGAAAAAGGTCAAAGGGGAATTGAAAAAATTGTGAAATTTTGTATGAAAATACAGTGTAATCCACTTATAATGAACTTGCTTATAATGGAAACCCGTATATAATGGACCCAAATTAAGGTTCTATAAATAATTGCATATAAACCTTTTGCCTCAAGAATTGGTGTACCCACTTTATGCGTCCATGTTTTAAATACCCCTTTGAACAACTTGCAGCAATAAAACCAGACTTTACAATTATATATATTTTCGTCTGATATGATTAAACTATAATGCTGATCTAGAGGTCCAAATAGGTGAAGTGTGTAAATAAAAAAAAAACTTACCGTAGATATCCTTGTATTTGCCGAAAATTTTCTGTAACGTCTCGATGGAAGTCAGACTCCATTTTTCACCGCCTGCTGGTCTTATATTCCCCAAATGTGCTTTGAAAACACTGTTAGGTTGTTTAGCAAAATACCTACAAAACAATGTGACAACAAATATTCACTATGAATAAACAACGATATCTCAAAGTGCTGTTTTCGTCCGTCCGACCACAGACAGCCAACCATACTGTTTTGTGCTTTTTAGCAACTCATCGGTACGATCTCAAGTGGAAAACGGACGAAAACGTAAAAACTATTTTTTATTGCAGATATGACATCTATTGAAATACGGCAGCACAAGGTGCCATCTATTACCGGAATCAACTAGTGCAAAAATGAATAGCAGCTAGCGGTCGGTACTGTAAAAATCCCAGTTTCACTTTTTATAGAAGCTATAAGCTACGATATTGCATTAACATGAACATAACGTACGAGGAGGTACCCAAAAATAGCCGGAATAGCATTACAGTGGGCGGAGCTTGTGCAGTACACATTTCTGCCCCTAAAGGCGTACAGCGCAACTCATTAAATGTGAGAAACAAGTTAGACAATTGTATAAAAACCATAGCAAATGTCTCTCTTTTTAATGCAAAAATAACAATAATGTTGAATAACGCTTTCTATAGCATTGAGAAATATTTCAACTGTGTATTTGAATGCTGCGATCTTTGTATTCAACAACGTTTGTCTCATATTGTGGTATTATGCTACTCATTATTCTAGTTATGTTTGGTTTATACGAGGAGGTACCCAAAAATAGCCGGAATAGCATTGCAGTGGGCGGAGTTTGTATAGTACACATTTCTGCCCCTAGAGGCGTACAGCGCAACTCATTAAATGCAAATCACATGAGAAACAAGTTACCAAATTGTATAAAAACCATACCAAATGTCTCTTTTTAATGCAAAAATAACAATTATGTTGAATAACGCTTTCTATAGCATTGAAGAATATTTCAACTGTGTATTTGAATGCTGCGATCTTTGTATTCAACAACGTTTGTCTCATATTGTGGTATTATGCTACTCATTATTCTAGTTATGTTTGGTTTATACGAGGAGGTACCCAAAAATAGCCGGAATAGCATTGCAGTGGGCGGAGCTTGTGTAGTACACATTTCTGCCCCTAGAGGCGTACAGCCCAACTCATTAAATGCAAATTACATGAGAAATAAGTTACCAAATTGTATAAAAACCATACCAAATGTCTCTCTTTTTAACGCAAAAATAACAATAATGTTGAATAACGCTTTCTATAGCATTGAGGAATATTTCAACTGTGTATTTGAATGCTGTGATCTTTGTATTCATCAACGTTTGTCTCATAATGTGATGTTATGTTAGTCATTCTACTAGTTATCTTTGTTTTATATGAGGAGGTGCCACCAATTCGAAAACGGTACCGAAACAAATTCTTTGGTGATTGCAAACAAACTAAATGAATATTTTGTGGAAAGTATTGTTGATATTGTGGGTACTGGAAATGCTGCACCTGACTATATGAAAATCAGTTTCCAGGGGGAAATGTTGCATACACTTTCAAAATTTCACAGCGTATCATTGAATTATCTAAGAAAAAAAGTAAACAGTTTAAAGTCAAATAACAACTGTGCCGAAATCACTACTAAAAACGTGCTGAAAAACTGTTCCGAAATTTTGGGATATCCTGTATTAAATTGGATCAATTGTTCACTGAGAAGCAGTTCTTTTCCTGAAAATTTGAAATGCTCTACAATAACACCAGTTCCCAAAATAAAAAATTCTAAAAGATGCAGCGATATGAGACCAGTAAATGTGTTACCAGACATTGAAAAATTATTAGAGTCCATAGTGCATGACCAATTAATGCAGTTTATAGAAGAAAAAAAAATTTTAGTGGAGGCGCAAGCAGGCTTTCGAAAAAAATATTCCACAGAAACGGCTTTCCAGTTGGTAACTGAGAATTGGAGAAGAGCCATAGACTCAGAAGAAGTTGTCACAGCAGTATTTTTGGATTTGAAACGATTGATAGAGATATTTTGTTAGGTAAATTGAAGGCATATGGTATAACAGGAAGTGTTTTAGATTGGTTTAGATATTATTTGTCTAAAAGGATGCAAGTTACAAAAGTTAATGACACTATTTCATCAAAAATTGAAAATACGTTGGGTGTTCCACAGGGCAGTATCCTGGGACCACTTCTTTTTATTTTATACATAAATGATTTACCTGCCATAGTCAAAAAATGCAAAATTCAGATTTTCGCCGATGACACTATGATTTATATAAGTACTAAAAATATTCAGTCTGGTATCTCTTATAAAGGGTGTCTCAGAAATATTTTCGTTTTTAGATCAGTCCTCTGGCGGAATACGCATGCTCCGGAGAAACGAGACAGTTGACAAACGTTTGGCAACATTGTTAAATTTTAGTTGCAATGGAGCGTTTTACAGGGCCGCAACGTGCTTTTTGTGTTCGCGAGTTCTATAAAAACAAGGATTCTTATGTGCTTGTACGTCGTTTGTACAGAAATCATTATAACATAGCAAGAATGAGAGATGTCCCAAGCGCAAATTTAATTAAATATTGGGTAAGAAAGTTCGAGAGCACTGGAAACACGTGTATTAGTAAACCGCCTGGACGGCCAAGGTCAGCAAGATCGAACGAAAATATTGAACGTGTGCGCCAGTCCGTTAACGAGGATCCCCGGCAATCATTAAGACTGCGTGGAGCGTCTCTAACTTTGCATAAGTCAACTGTTCATCGCATTATTCGCAAGGATTTGCATTTTCACCCATACAAGATTGTTGTTACACAACAATTAAAACCACAAGATCCCGCTAATCGATTAGAGTTCTGTAGAACAATGAGAGAGCATTTTAACGGTTACAACAACATATGGTTTTCTGATGAATCGAATTTTCACATTAACGGGCATGTTAATAAACAAAACTGCCGATATTGGGCCGAGCAGAACCCGCAAAATCTTCATGAGACGCCATTACACTCGCCTAAAGTTATCGTCTGGGCTGCTATGTCAGGGCAAGGAATCATTGGCCCGTATTTTTTTGAAGACAATCGTGGCCAAGCTCAAACTGTAACATCTGAGCACTACTGCCACATGATTAGGACTTTTTTAACTCCAGCTATACAGAACCATGGTGGCTACAATAGAAACACGTTTTTCCAGCAAGATGGAGCGACTTCTCATGTCACGAATGAATCCTTGGATGCTCTTCATCAGTTATTCCCAGAGAGGGTCATCAGTCGCAGAGGAGACATTAACTGGCCACCGAGAAGTCCCGATTTGACACCAGCAGATTTTTTCTTATGGGGATACCTGAAGAGTAAGGTATACACCCCACCGCCACAAGATTTGAGAGAGTTGAAGCAAAAAATAACAGATGAAATAAACGCCATTCCTCGAGCAATGCTTCGGAGAGTGATCGAAAACTTCAGTTCGAGATTAAGAGAGTGTGAAAACATGAACGGTGCTCATTTATCCGATACTCTTTTCCATAAATAAAATTAATGTTTAGGCTTTCGTTTGGTAATAAATTTATCTTTGTAAAAATATTCTAAGTATTTTTATTTATAGCATAAAATAAGAAAATATTTATGAGACACCCTTTATAAAAGAAGACTTGAAGCTTGTCTCAAAATGGTTAGCATCTAACAGACTAAAATTAAATGCAAGTAAAACGAAAGCCTTGTTAATCGGAAAAAACAATGTACAAATATTCAACTGAATATTGATGGTGAAGATATTGAATTCGTAGAAAATTTTAAATACCTGGGGGTTTTTGTTGACTCTCGATTAATTTTTGATATTCATTATGACAAAGTTATAAATAAGATTAGTAGTAAAGTGGGATATTTATCGAGAGTTTCTGGATGTCTGAGTTCATATAGCAGAAAAATTATCTATAATACCATCATTCTTCCAAATTTCTTGTACTGTTCGACTATTCTATATTTAGCAAATAATTCCATTTTTGAAAGAAATTTTACAAAATAAGTGCATGAGAATAATACTAAATAAAGATAAATATACTCCAATTAGGCAAATGCTTAGCAGATTAAAATGGCTCAATGTAAAAAATTTCATCAAATATCTTGTAATGATATTCATTTATAAAGTAAAAAATAATATATTTCCATCAAGTCTAACTAATTTAACATCATCAAATGTCGACCATCATTTACATAATACCAGAAATAAAGATAACTTTTAATGACCAAAAAGTATAACATATGCTACAAATCTGCATTCCATCAAGGGTTGATTGAATATAATAAATTATACTCGGAGATAAAAGATCAGAAAACTTTGACAAAATTTAAAGTAAAATTGAGAAATCACTTGTTAAATCTACAATTATAGGTTGCCCAGCATTTACATCATACACCATATGGCTTGAATTTACTAGTTGTTTACAATTATTTTATGTAGCCAAATGTGCTAAATAAATCTTTCTACTACTACTACTACTAGAGCTGTTTCGAGCTTGTTCCGTTTTTTACGATGTTAAGCTTCAGTGAACAACATGCAGCTGTAAAATTTTGCTTTCTAATTGTTAAAAATGCTGCTGAAACTGTTTTAATGTTGAAAATAGCTTACAAAGATGATGATATGGGAAAAACTCAGGTGTACGAGTGGTTTGCTCGATTTAAAAATGGCGACGTGTCGATTGATGACAAACCTCGCTCTTGACGTCCATCAACTGCCCGAATCGACGAAAATGTTGAAAAAATCCGAGAGCTTGTGCTATTTGGACGTTTTAAGACGACTGCGAAACGGTGTTCAGCAAAACAGACCCGATTTGTGGCAGTCAGGAGACTGGTTCTTCCACGATAATGCATGGTACAGCTGCCTCACGCACCTCATTGGCTTTGACCTGGCTCTGTACGACTTTTTGTTATTTCCACGGATTAAAAAGGGCATGAAAGGGCGCCGCTTTGACGACATTGAAGACGTCAAGAAAAAAACGAGAAAAGAGCTGTCGGACATTTCTAAGGAAAATGTTTCGGCCAGTGGAAGCATCGGTGGGACAAGTGTATTAGTTGTAGTGGGCAGCATTTTGAAGGAGATAAGGTTGCTTTCTGGAAAAATTGAAAATAGAAATGTTTCCGTTTTTTTTTGGTACCCCTCGTATATATCACTTGGATCTAAAATAATGTCTTTAATTCCTTAATACTCCAACAAAAAGAGATGTTTCTGCTAGTTTTCATGAAATGTCCTTTGTTTGGCTTTTTTAATTTGATGTAGCTTAGGCAGTTTCTTGTTGGGATCGGTGGTGGTGGAGTCTACAAACACGACGCTGTTGCCACATCTCTCAAAGTTACAGCGAACCGTATTTTTGAGACAACCCTCGTATCGTCATTACATAGACGACCCTTGTGAACACTGATCCGCTTCCAACAGCTTGATCTTCATGTTCATTTCTGTTTGTTTTTCTAGTTTTACTCAGTCCGCCCTTCAAGTGAATTAACTGGGATTTTAGTATCGTAACCTATACTAAGTGACATATAAATCCGGACACCCAGTTTAAATTGTTTTATTTTAATAAAATTTTGTATAAGTACTTAATGAAGCATAATAAGTAAATGATAAAAATTTCAAAATGATTGTACTGCTTTAAAGCCCTTTGACCTTTAATAATGTGTGGATGCACCCTGATGTGCTACGCATTCTCCAACGTGCCTAGGCATGCTTCTGATCAGGAGGGCAATGTCCTCCTGTGGTATCTCATTCCAGGCAACCACCGACTCCTCTCGAAGTGCTTCTAGAGTCTGAGGAGGACGTTACAAATTGAGCAATCTCCTACCCATCATATCCCACACGTGATCAATTGGGGATAAGTCGGGAGATCTTGGTGGCCATGGTAACAATGTGACATCATTATGTTGAAAGAAGTCTATTGCGACTCTTGCAACATGTGATCGGGCATTATCTTGTTGGAAAGTTGGATCTGCCAGGGTGTCAAGATAGGGTAAAAGATGGGGTTCTAGAACTTCGTGGATATAACACTGCGCGTTCATGTTACCTCTGATGAAGATTAAAGGTGACCTGGAACCATAAGCTATAGCACCCCAAACCATAACTCCAACAGTGTGATGAACATGTCTTTCAACAAAAAACTGTGGATTCCTCCTTTCACCACGTCGCCTTCTAACCCTGGCACGACCATCGTTCATGCCCAAACAAAATCGAGACTCGTCACTAAAGACAATACTGTTCCATTCCTGATACCAGAGTGACCGTTGTCTGCACCACTCAAGGCGATTACGTCGGTGTTCTCGAGTTAAAGGGAGGACGCAGTGTGGCCGGTATGAAAACAAGCCAAAACTTCTGATTCGTCGGTAAACACTTCGCATGCCAATAGGTCTTCCGTGTTCTGCAAACCATTCATTTGCAATGGACCTGGTAGTGGAGAAACGGTCCCTTAAGGACAATAATCTTAGGCGGCGATCTTCACGGTCTGTTGTTCTACGGCGGCGTCCAGTGCTCCTTGCTATTTGCGTACGGCCTTCTCGAAGTCATGCCTGACAACACCTAACCACAGTGTCTACATTTTTTTTTTTTTTTATATCGAAACAGCCGCGCAGAAGGCAGAAGCCTAAATGCCGGAACACCGCGGCTGCTATGATGATCCCAAAGAAATTTTGTTAATACGATTTTTGAACTGCCTAAGGTTAGTAGAACTGGGAAAAGCTTCCTCCCGTAGATTGTTCCACAATCTAGACACCCTCGGGACAAAGGAGCGGTCGTATCGGCCAGTTCTGGATGTACGAAGTTTGACACGGTTAGGATGGGACGCCGAAGTCAGGCGGGTCTGTCTGGCAGGCACATCGCGCGGCGGCATCATGGAAGAGAGCTCTGAGGAGCAAATCCCGTTGGTGTAGCGATAGAAAGGAGCTAGATCGCCGACGGCCCGCCGGTGCGAAAGAGTCCCGAGACTGTCTGTTAGAGAAGAGTCATCGATCAGTCGGACCACCCTCCTCTGGACAGCATCGAGCATGGACAATGTAGTCGGGGCGGCAGCACCCCAAATGTGTGAGCAATACTCGAGGCTAGGCCTTATCTGGGCCTTGTATAGAGTGAGAAGGTCATGCGGAGAAAAGTACTTCTTAGCCCTAAATTTTTCCCAGCAGCTGCAGCTATTGAAGAGATGTGTTCGTGCCAGATCAGATCCTCGGTGATCTGGACTCCGACCAGCCGAAATGAATGGCTCTTTGGTAGAACTCGACCGTCCATCGAAACTGTATGAGCGCTAGGACGCTTTTTGTTCGTCAAAGTACAGTACTGTGTTTTGGAAGCATTGAACTGTACTAGATTGTTGCGTCCCCAAGCAGTGATAGCCTCCAGGTCTCTTGTCAGAGAAGAAGTCGTCGCTAGTCTTCTTTTTTCCAGCTCAGCGGCAGATATCGGCTTGTCACTCTGAATTCCTGCATGTAGAGTGCTGTCATCAGCGAAGCTGTGGATTGGGTTGATCGTGCAGGAAAGGAGGTCGTTGATATGTAAGAGAAACAGTGTTGGAGCCAAGACCGATCCCTGGGGAACACCCGCGTTGACGTTGTGGGATGAAGAGGAGAATCCGTCAATGACGACGGATATCCTGGGGCCAGAGATAAAGTCAGCCACCCATCTGCAAAGCTTTTCTGGGAGGCCGTAGGATGGAAGTTTGCTTAAGAGGGCAGCGTGCCACAGCTGATCGAACGCTTTCGTGATGTCAAGAGCAACGACATGAGCCTCACCATGAGACTGGATGAGTTTACTCCACAGTTGCGTGACGTAAGCTAGGAGGTCCCCTGTGGATCGTTGGTGCCGGAAACCGTACTGCCTGTCGCTAATCAAGCTGTGACGTTCGAGGTAGTCTAGAAGCTCGCGATTTATGCACCTCTCCATCACTTTACTTATAACAGAAAGCAGAGCTATAGGCCTGTATTTATGAGGGTCGGTTTTAGATCCTTTTTTTGGGATGGGCTGTACATGAGCAAATTTCCAGTTTTCTGGAAAGGTGCCGGATTCATAAGATATCTGGAAGAGACGCGAAAGAACTGGAGCAAGCTCCGCTGCACATCTCTTCAGTACAATGGCAGGAATCAAGTCCGGACCAGAAGCTTTGTTGATGTCGAGCGACAAGAGCACTCGTCTTACGGTCTTATGCCTGAATGTTACCTCCTGCATAGTGTGGGGAACCCTTTGAATTGACTTCTTCTGACTTCTTTGCACTCTAACTGCAATTGCCCGAAAAGAAAGTCCAGCTTCCCGAAGTCCCACTATACGGCCCCTATCAAACTCACTAAGTTGACGAAATCGTACAGGTTTCCGTACTCTAGGCATCGTAACCGATCGTAAAGAATGTCAAGAACCAAAATATTCATTTTTAGAGCGTTAGTGAATTAAAAAAAAGCAGTATAAAAACCGGAATGTCCAACTGATAAGGCTGAAAATTTTTTCACTTGTTATTTACAGTAAGATAAATACATTCACCAACTTTTATTAAAATAAAACCATTTAAACTGGGTGTTCGGATTTATATGTCACTTAGTATATTTTCATGCAGATAGTCAAATAATTTGCAGGGAAGTAAAAATCTTGAGGAGCGTTTCTCGACGGCCACCAGTAGATACCGAAACGCACTATATTTGTATATTCAATATAAAATCTGTCCTGAACTATTTCCGTCGAAATATGCAGCCAACTGAAGAGTTTAAAGTGTATGTGGACAATTAATAAGTGGAAAAAATACCAGTCACATCTGTGACCGCTAGACACTAACGATTCTGGCGGTACAGTAGATGAATCACGGATATCGTCAACGGTCGATTCTGGTAATAGATAGCGCTTTGAGATGCTTTATTTCCAAAGTATCTTACTTCGTACAGACATAGATTTGCGTCACGTGTTTGGTAGCCTCTTCTACCAAATCATAGACGTTGATTCTATATTGATCGTCCGGGAGTTTGGCTACGATTTTGCCGCGGATGTAGAAGTTCGAGTAGTTCACGACACAGAGCTCGTCAAGCTGAAAAAATGATTATAAAGTAGCCGAGATAGTTTTGGCAAAAAGTGGTTATACCAAGGAAAGACAGACAACGCGAATAAACTGAAGAGAGATAAAGTAACTCGAAATATGGCGTCCACAAAACACTTGCTAATCCTAACGTTTGTTCTTTACTTTTGTTTGGACATTTATCATCCGTTTTCAACCTAGCAAATATACAGGGTATAAACGTTATGACATATTGTTTTTCTTTTCAAAACCCACACTGCACTTTTTTTGTATCTAAGGGTGTTCAAAAAAACGTCCTCCACTTTCCACACAAGCTTCAGTACGACGAACCCAGTTTCTTCTTACTCTAGGTCCTCGAAGTTGTCCATTTATTATTTCAGCCGCATTAAAAAAATGTTCGCGAAGTTGTGCTTCAGTTGTTATTGGAACAGCCCCATAAACAATCCCTTTAAGTTCTCCTCAATACCAGAAATCCATCGGATTGAGGTCAGGAGATCTTGCTGGCCATTTTCGAGGATCAGGAGCATTTCGACCGATCCATCGATTTGGGTAACGTTCATTCAAATACCGAATGACGCCTCTAAAAATGTGTGGTGGTGCCCCGTCATGAAGAAACCACAAATTCTGTCTCCGTTGTAATGGCATGGTGTCTAAGGTCTGTTCCAAAAGTTCTGGTACGGTATTGGCTGGAAAGCTAAGGTATCCTTCTGACAACTTTGGGGGTAACTCGAAAGGTCCAATTACCTGATCGTCAAGAATACCCGCAAACATATTTATTTTAAAAGGTTGTTGGAAATGACCTTTACGAATGGTTTGAGGATTTTTTTGGGCCCACGTGTGAGTATTATAGAAATTTAATATCCCGTCTCGCGTAAGAGTACATTCGTCCGTCGCTAGAAAGTTTTTAACAAAATCCGGATTTTGAATGTTTTTGTGCAAAAACCGCTGACAGAATGTTAGTCTGCGAGGATAGTCTTCTGGTAACAAGGCCTGCACTCGTTGAACATGGTAGGGATAAAGCAAATTTTCCCGTAGGACTCTATGGACTATGGTATGCGATAGTCCTACGCGGCGGCCTAATGCCCGCGTGCTGATATCTGCATTGATTTCCACGATATTTAAAATTTGTTCCTCCTGCTCTACAGTAACCTGTCTTTCACGAGTGCGAATACAGCAGACGCTCGATAACGTAAACACGGGATAATGAAAACTTGCGCTAATGTAAACACAAACTTCGTTCTATAGGATCAAACGGAACGCGCGATAACGTAAACAATGTGTACGCTCGATAACGTAAACAATTCTCGGCGCACGGAAACAGCGCGACGGTAAAATGCTGAAACCTCGATGATTTATGTCGGGCGTCGGGGAGTCCCCGATTTATGATGTAGAGTGTAGGGGATTCACCTCTGCGATAAAATACGACAAACTTGGTCAGTCGTATGATCGTTTAGGATACGTTTATACGTACGTATGTATTTCAGTTTTGAACTTAAGTGAATACATTGCACGCGTTAATATATTTTACGACTAAGGCATCCACATCCTATAAAAGAAAGTGTTTAAAGTTGAGTGAGAAAGTGAAAATCATAGACGAAGTTGCACTAGGTGCGGGAGTGACACAGTTAGCAAAAAAATATGGAGTATCGAAAGCAACAATCTGTAAAATTGAGCGTATGAAAACTCAAATTTTACAAAGAACGTGCAATACATTTGGAGGTCCGGGAAAAAGAAAAACTTTAAAAAATGCGAAGGCACCTAAAATGGAAAATTCCCTGCATAAGTGGTTTTTAAAACAACGGGAAAATCATGTCCCAGTTAGTGGCGAAGTACTTAAACAGAGATCGAGACTGTTAAATGAAAAACTGAAAGAAACTGAAAATTTCGTAGCTAGCAACGATTCAAAACAAGATATGGAATTCGACTGCTGTCTATATCTGGTGAAAAATTATCAGCACATCCACAATTAGTGCAACCATTCAAAGAAAAATTTAAGAAAACAATTACCGAGGTAGATTTAAGAATGGAACAAATTTACAACGCAGATGAAAGTGGCCTTTATTGGAAAATGTTACCAGAGAAAACCTATGGTGCATCATTCGAAAAATCTGTCCCGGGAAGAAAGCCGGAAAAACAACGAATAACGTTTCTAGCCTGCACTAATGCTAATGGTTCACACAAAATAAAGCAACTGGTAATTGGGAAATCAAAAAATCCGCGCTCATTTAAAAATGTTAATATCCCTGTTGATTATGACTGTTCAAAAACCGCTTGGATGACTAGCAATATATTCCTGAAATGGTTCCACAGGTGCTTTGTCCCTCAGGTATGACAATCAATTATCACAAATGCCCTATTCATAATTTGGAGATGTGTTTTCAATTTGTAGGTAAAAGGTTTCCTAAAACAACAGAAGCTTCCAATAAAAGCGTTGTTACTATTGGATAATGCACCAAGTCATCCTCCCGAGCAACAACTGAAGAGCAGGCATGGGTCAATTTTCATCATGTAACACCGTTAATTCAACCGATGGACCAGAATTTAATAAGACTCACCAAACTATACTATAGGAAGTTTCTACTTTCGTCTGTCTTGTCAAAGAATCCTGAAAACTTATCTGAGGCTTTAAAAAAGTAACATTACGAGAAGCTGTTTTAGATTTACATATGGTCTAGAATGAACTTAACCAGCAAACTATTCAAAAATGTTGGAACAATCTCTTTTGTACCAATAATGAAGATGATGAAGAAGACGATGTCCCCTTAAGCGTAATTAGAGACCGTCTGCGATCCAATAATGATAATGTTATTAGTGTGTCATTGGATGTTGTTGATTTATTGAAAACAGTGAATCCCAACATTGTTTGTACTCCTGCTGATATTAATTTATGGAACGAAGATAAGCGGACGAATGATGCTGATAAGGAGGAGGATATGGACAGTGAGGATGATGAGAACGATCCCGTTGAAGTCAGAAGTGTAGTGACTGACGCGCAAGCTATACAAGTTTTTAACCAAGCTTTAGATTGGGCTGAAAGAAAATAAGTTTCATACACGGATATTTTAGTTCTTCGTAAATTACGGGCGCAGGCATTGGAAGACAATGCTAAGCGCAAATTTACGCAAACAAAAATTGTTAATTATTTTTCTTCTAATTAAAAATTTACTTATCGCTGTTAGAATATTTGTTTATTTTGTTATAAATAGTATGTATTAAACGTTTCTTTTAATAAATCAAATATTATATAAATCACGTTCGCTAATGTAAACATTTCGATAATGTGAACCACACTTGGATTAAATTACATAATCGAGCGTCTGCTGTATTAGTGGGCTGAATACTTCCTGTATCTCGAAGTCTTTGGTACACCTGCACAAATGTCCTTCTGTCTGAATGTACCTGTTGGCCAAATCTATCAAGATAAATTTGAGCTGCAAGATGTGAATTCTGACAAGCTTCACCGTAAACTAACAACATGTCGGCGAACTCTTGATTCGAAAACATTGTAAATAAACACGACGACGTACGCGAACAATAACTAACCACTGTTACCGTTTGCGATCTATTGCCGGTTCGATAAGAGTGATGAATGACCGACGCGCTGTTGTCATGTGTGTTTTAAATGTTTAATTTAATGAAACTTACTGACTACAAATTCTGGCTTAACTTAGAAAAACATAAAATTTATTTGTTAATTACCCAATTTAAAAACGTTTTAGATTGGATTATAAAAATTAAGATTGTGGTCGATATAAAGCACTTAAAGTTGTGAACTATAAAGCAATTTAGACAAAAATCTATTGACTTTCAATAATGACTATCATAAAGTTTACACCCTGTAGTTTTCGTGATCACATAGCTGTTTCACTTTTAGGTACTTACGCGGAATATTACACGATGTAGTTTAGTAACAAAAAGGAATATCAGCTTGAAATCGAATTTTTGTCTAACCTCAAATTGTTTATTTCACCAATTGTCTGTGTATTTGACATGGTTGCTTTTTGTCGTAACCACAGAAAAACCATTGAAAAAACTCGGAATTCAGATCAGTATGAATGTAGCGTTTTCTAAAAGTTTTATGTCAATTTGGCAGCACAGCCTCGGTAGATGCGAATCGCGTACCGAATCCCAAGAAAAAACTCAAGATCAATACAACTGTCTTTTCTTGGTATAATTACTCTTTGGTTTCGGTATGAAAAATTACATGAGACATTTTTAATTTATTATACGAACCTCCCAACTATCTTTAGTCTCTTGCTCCTTGAAATAATGTATCTGCAATTCCTTATGCAACTGCTGTTCTTTTTCTAGCAACGATTGGAACTTGATGTGAATCAGTTCGGGACTGACGACTTTGACTACGTTTATAGGTTGTTTGACGACATTCGGATCATCGTCTTCGGATCCGTCATCGTAGTCACTTTCTTCAGCCTTCTCCAAGAGGCTTTCGACGAGACCATCTTCACCTGTGAAGCCCTGGTTCTCCATTACATTAGGCCATTCAACCACTTGGGAACTGGAAAAAAATGTTGAGTTGTTCAATTGGCAATACGATTCAAATATCGCTTAATTACGAGGGTATTTTTTTAAGTAAGAACCGTTTTGTAATGGAGTCAGAGAAGCTTTACTTAGGAATGCAAATTGTATCAACAAACTAAACAAACTAAAGCATGAACGTTTTTAGTATTTTCTAACACAGCCACCATAAATATTTGAACATTTGTCAAGTCGTGGCCTAGCTTTTGAAACCCTCAGTGACTTTATACAGGGTGACAGGTAAATAGGTGTAAAACATTTTAGGAGGTGATAGTACAGCTCCTTTGCTATCAAAATTAGTATATAATACCATACCCTATATTCAAAGGTTAAAAAGTTATGGAAGATTTATTTTTTTAAAAAACAACGCAGATTAGAGAGTAAAATAGTTGAGATAAAAAAAAGTTGGTGATTAAACATTCTTTTTTTGGTGGTTTCAGGTTATTATTTAAATAAATAATTCTCATATATTAAAAAACATAAGAAAACACTACTGAAAACGTATTTGTTTTCATTTAAATGTTAAATGAAAATTTTTATTTTCAACTTTCACATTAAAAAAATCATAATAAAGAAAATGTACAAATAACTGCAAAAACTTCCTCGTTTCATTAGGTTTCTAAAATGGTATAATAACATATCAGTAAGTAAACCATTTAACAAAACAATATTACTTTGCTAGAAAGGACCGCTAAGCGCATTTCATTGTACTGAGCGGGTAAACCGAGCCTTTCGTGGTTCGACCCTTTTTGTTATTTTTTGTGCCCTGTGCCGTTATTCGGGTTTAAGTATTCGGAATCTGTCGTCGCTCCTCGGAAGCAAGCTCTGCGTGTGTAATGAATTGACACAGCTGACGGATCAAGGAAAGGGAACTAACGCTTAGGTTAGTTAGTAGAATATCAACCTTTAACGCGGTAGGACGTACTTTTACTTATTTGATCAGTTTTAATAATGGCGAGTTACGGTAACGAAGAATACGCTGATATTGTTTTGTTATGGTTTAAGTGATGGAAATTCCGTTGAAGCCAAGCGAGAATACGAAAGCCGTTTTCCGAATCGGCGAATACCGAGTCATCGAGTATTTGCTTCTGTGTACCAACGCGTCAAGGAAAGCGGACAGGTTCATGAGAGACGTCATGATGCTGGTAGACCTCGGTTGTTTGACGACGAAGATCGAGAGGCAATACTGGAATGCTACGGCAGAGACCCGACGACGTCTACACGAGTTATAGCAAAGCAGCTTGGTTTAACTCAGTGGAAAGTTTGGTTCGTTTTGCATTCGGCGAGACTTTACCCTTTCCATTACACACCGGTTCAAGTATTAGAAGAAGGAGATCTCGCAAGAAGAATTGATTTTTGTCGATACATGCCTTATCGGGATCAAGAAGAACACGACTATTTAACTAAAATATTGTGGACCGACGAGTCTAAGTTTGACAGAGAGAAATTATCACAACTTACATTATTGGGCCCCACGAGAGGCAAATCCCCACATGGCAAAGCCAAAAGCCCATCAAAGAAGATTTTCGGCAAACGTGTGGATGGGAATCATTCATACGTATCTAATTGGACCAGTTTTTTTGCCTGACAACCTGAATGGTGAATCCTATGAAAACTTTTTGAGATCCGAACTCTGGGAGTATCTCGAAGACCTGCCTCTGAATATCAGGATGCAGATGATCTACCAACACGATGGCTGTCCCGCGCATTTCCGTCTGGGTGTTAGACAGTGGCTGGACGAGAAACATCCTTGTCGCTGGATTGGCCGAGGTGGACCGACACCGTGGCCAGCGAGGAGCCCAGATTTAACACCGTGTGACTATTATTTATGGGGGCACATGAAGTCGCTGGAGTACGCTGAGCCCATAGACACTCTTGCTCAGTTGAAAGAAAGAATAATTGCTGCTGCTGACACTATCAGAGGACAACTAACTGGCCGCATCACGCGTACCAACATGAGAAAAAAGGACTACGGGCGTCAGTTCGAACAACAATTGCAATCAATTTTACCTTCATTTCATTATTGTATTTTACTTACCAATTGTAGTAACTTTTGGTCAGGTTTTATTATTCTGTAGTACAATTACAACTGTGTAAATAATCTAATCGTGTAACTTAACCGTAGTTTAAAATAATAAATATCCCATAGCTTACAGTTACATTATTTTCACAAAAACACTTTCTTATCAATCAGAGAGTTGTGAAAATAGGAGACAAGCCATTGGTAAATTTACTCCCTATTGTTGTATTACAATACATTATGTTTAGTTTCACACAGTTTTTGTGCACTTATCATACCAATTTAGATTCCTTATGAAACGAGGATATTATTTAAATTGTTTGTACGTTTTTTTGTAAAACACCTTACTTACTACAAAACGTTATTTGTTTTTCTTAGTTAAACATTTTTGAATGAAAATGAATACGTTGTTTGGTATTGTTTTCGAATATTTTTTAATTTATAATAGTTAATTATTGAAATAATAACCCAAAACCACAAAAAACAAATGTTTAATAGCCAACTTTTTTCTCTCTCGACTTTTTTACTCTGAAATATGGATTGTTTTTAAAAAAATCTTAAGTCTTCAATAACTTTTCAACCTTTGAATATAGGGTATGGTATTATATACTAATTTCGATAGCAAAGGGGCTGTACTATCACCTCCTAAAATGTTTTACACCTATCTACCTGTCACCCTGTATACATGTTTATGTATCATTATTAGTATTTTTTTTAATTGAAAAACATTGTTCTCCTGTTAGAAAAAACACATTATCTGAAATGAAGTTCGATATTGGGGTAATGAAAAAATACAATACTTATTTAACAGAAAGTGTCAACGACATTGTAAGTTCAATTATTGACGGGGAACCTAATCAATATCCCATTAGATCAGATTATAATGCATCATTAGTGAGTTTAGAACAATAAACATTAATCGTCTCATGAAGATTGTATAGTAAAATTGAAATCAAATCAAAATCAGAGAGAGATTTTGTATAAAAGGGTGTTGAATGAATGTTTTGATATTATTGGAGCAAAAATAAATTACTGTTCAAAATATGGCGAATTTCCAACAAAACTAAGTGTTCTATCATAACTCCTGTTTCGAAAGTTAAGATTTCTGACTTGTACACCAATATGCGGCCAATAAATGTTCTTCCAGGTGTTGAAAAAGTCTTTGGAGAAATTATTTAAGAACAGATCATCAAATTTATCGAGGAAAATAAAATTTTAGAAAATTCAATACAAATGGTTTTAGATGGACAATATGAAACATACAGTGTCAGTGTTTCTGGACTTCAAAAGGGCGTTTGTAACTATTGACAGGGATAAATTACTTACACTTACTTACTATGGATTTAAAGGATCTATATTCAAAATTCTACAAAACTACTTAATTGACAGAAGCCAAAAAACCAAAATTGGATCTACATTATCAAGCTCAACAAATATTTCTGTTGGTGTACCACAAGGTAGTAAACTAGGTCCACTCCTGTTTATTTTATACATTAATGGCATTTGTAATATTTAATATTATTTTAAAATTCCGATATTTGATTTAAAAATGCTAAATTCTGATCATAAATCGGTTAAATGTAAAAAAAAATGAATGCTTCTAAAACAAAATGTATGCTAATAGATAAATACCTAAATGAAAATTCTATCACAAGATAAATGGTGAAATAATTGAAACTGTTGAATCAATTAAACATTTTGGAATATATTTTTCGTTATTTCAAAATTGCAAAAAAAAAAACAAATTTCTTTTATCTGGCTTCTCATCGTCTTGTACATATTAAAAAAAACTTTATAATACAATTATTCTACCGCATTTACTACACATATTGTTCAACTATCTTGTTCACTGCATTCTCAAAATTCCTGCAAAATAAAGCTATGAGAATAATATGGAATCAAAAAAAGAAAACCAAAATAAAATCTATGTTGCAAGAATTGCAGTGGTTGAATATAAAAAAAATTCATATATTTAGTAGTAGCAGTAGAAAGATTTATTTAGCACATTTGGCTACATAAACAGAACTAGTAAATTCAAGCCATATGGTGTATGATGTAAATGCTGGGCAACCTATAATTGTAGATTTAACAAGTGATTTCTCAATTTTACTTTAAATTTTGTCAAAGTTTTCTGGTCTTTTATCTCCGAGTATAATTTATTATATTCAATCAACCCTTGATGGAATCCAGATTTGTAGCATATGTTATACTTTTTGGTCATTAAATGGAAGTCATCTTTATTTCTGGTATTATGTAAATGATGGTCGACATTTGATGATGTTAAATTAGTTAGACTTGATGGAAATATATTATTTTTTACTTTATAAATGAATATCATTACAAGATATTTCATAAATTTTTTTACATTGAGCCATTTTAATTTGCTAAGCATTTGCCTAATTGGAGTATATTTATCTTTATTTAGTATTATGCTCATGCACATATTTTGTAAAATTTGCAGTCTTTCAAAAATGGAATTATTTGCTAAATATAGAATAGTCGAACACTACAAGAAATTTGGAGGAATGATGGTATTATAGATCATTTTTCTGCTATATGAACTCAGACATCCAGAAACTCTCGATAAATATCCCACTTTACTACTAATCTTATTGATAACTTTTTCATAATGAATATCAAAAATTAATCGAGAGTCAACAAAAACCCCCAGGTATTTAAAATTTTCTACGAATTCAATATCTTCACCATCAATATTCAGTTGAACATTTGTACATTGTTTTTTTCCGATTAACAAGGCTTTCGTTTTACTTGCATTTAATTTTAGTCTGTTAGATGCTAACCATTTTGAGACAAGCTTCAAGTCTTCATTTATATAAGAGATACCAGACTAAATATTTTTAGTACTTATATAAATCATAGTGTCATCGGCGAAAATCTGAATTTTGCATTTTTGACTATGGCAGGTAAATCATTTATGTATAAAATAAAAAGAAGTGGTCCCAGGATACTGCCCTGTGGAACACCCAACGTATTTTCAATTTTTGATGAAATAGTGTTATTAACTTTTGTAACTTGCATCCTTTTAGACGAATAATTTCTAAACCAATCTAAAACACTTCCTGTTATACCATATGCCTTCAATTTACCTAACAAAATATCTCTATCAATCGTTTCAAATGCCCTCTTCAAATCCAAAAATACTGCTATGACAACTTCTTCTGAGTCTATGGCTCTTCTCCAATTCTCAGTTAGCAACTGGAAAGCTGTTTCTGTGGAATATTTTTTTCGAAAGCCTGCTTGCGCCTCCAATAAAATTTTGTTTTCTTCTATAAACTGTATTAATTGGTCATGCACTATGGACTCTAATAATTTTTCAATGTCTGGTAACACATTTACTGGTCTCATATCGCTGCATCTTTTAGATTTTTTTATTTTGGGAACTGGTGTTATTGTAGAGCATTTCAAATTTGCAGGAAAAGAACTGCTTCTCAGTGAACAATTGATCCAATTTGTTACAGGATATTCCAAAATTTCGAAACAGTTTTTCAGCACGTTTTTAGTAGTGATTTCGGCACCGTTGTTGTTTGATTTTAAACTGTTTACTTTTTTTCTTAGATAATTCAATGATACGCTGTGAAATTTTGAAAGTGTATGCAACATTTCCCTGGAAACTTATTTTCATATATTCAGCTGCAGCATTGGCAGTACCCACAATATCAACAATACTTTCCACAAAATATTCATTCAGTTTGTTTGCAATCACCAAAGAATTTGTTTCGGTACCGTTTTCGAATTGAACTTGATTTACACAATCATGCGGCTTCGAATTGATCAGTCTTTTTAAAGTCTTCCACATCTTTACACTGTCGCACTTGTTATTATCGATTTGTTTATCGTAGAATTTCCTTTTTTCTTCTCTAATTACATATACACATTTATTCCTAAGAGTTTTATATACCTCCCAATCATCATTTGATTTTGTGAATATACATTTATTGTATTGTTTGTGTCTCAAATTTTGAGCTGCCTTAATATTCTTGTTATACCAGGGTGTATTTTTTGTCGAGCAAATCACTTTTTTATCAGTTGCAAGATCTAAACAAGTTTTTATATTTCCTATTATGTTGTCATATATTTTTTCCATATTCTCACCAAAATTCCAATAGCAGCCAGCAAGTTCTCGTTCAAGTTTTTCGTACTTAATAGTATTTACGATTTTCTTAATTTTTGTATCAGAAAAATGCCCTACCAAGGGCAGCATTGTCCAACTGTGATCGCTAACTTTAGGTGTATGTACAGCTTTAATCCCTGCACATTCGAAATTTACAATAACAAGATCTAGCAAAGTCTCTGATAATGATGTTATTCTGGTACTCTCTTCAATTTTTTGCTTGAACCCATAGTTGTTTATGGTTTCTTTCAGTTTTCTTGTTTTCATGCTTTTACCATAATAATTTAAATTAAAATCACCTAAAAGTATTATATTGTTTCTAAAATTCCACATTTCTTCGCATTTTTCTTCAAAAAACGTTAAAAATGTATCCGCACCACTGTTTGGTGAACGGTAAAAAGTACAAAGATCATAGCAGTTCCCAATAATTTGAACTGTATATGTGCATACCAGTATGCATAGTCTGAAGTGGTACAATCGAATAATGTGATCTGTATTTTGTGGAAAACATAAATCACTACACCTCCAGTATGTCTGGAGTTGGAGTTGCATCTGTAGGTTTTATAATTATTAATTTGTAATTCACCATCAGTGATGTCTTCTGTAGCATGTGTTTCGGTAAGACATAATACAAGTGGTTTTCTCCATCTTAAAAACTGTTGAACTTCATCTATATTATTCAGGACTCCTTGTATGTTTAAATGGTATATTGAGTTATATTCATCACTTACAGATTTAGCCACGTCTTGCAAATCTGAGCTTAGTAGTTGCTATTCATTTGCATAACTAATTTTTTCCCTCTCACGTTCAATTTTCCTTTTATATACTTCACAATTTTTGTCAAATGGTCCATAATTAAATGGTAATCCTAGATTAAAATCCTGGATATTTGGTTCTTATTTTTATATTTAGAATAAAAAATCATCTTTTGCCACATCATTTACCACAATTATTATACAAGAAGAAACAGATTTTCATTTCCAAAATTGCAAAAGTAATATAACTAGCAAATAAATATTCCAGAAGGGATTACTTGAATTTAATAAACTAAATAATGATATAATGTATACTTGTAAGATGTTTAAACGAAAATTAACGGAATATTTCATGGACAGTGAACATTCTTAGAGATGCAAATTTTGTTTTTCTAAATATCTGTATGTTATGTAATTGTTGTAGTTAAAATAATGTAATTGTAGCAATCATGCTAAGTAAATCTTAAACAAACATTATGTGGGTTTTCTTATAAAATGTCACCTTTGAACCTCGTATATGTATGGTACGGTGGTACCGTGGTATGCGCCCACGAGACCGCGTGGTACAACTAGACTTTTTTTTGTTTCCTCGCCTGAAAAGGCAAGCATTTTGAGACGACAGAGGGGATCCAAGCAGCATGCACCGCGGCTCTCAAGGCTATTCCGGAGAATGCCTTCCGTGACGCCTTCAATGCTTGGAAATCGCGCTGGCAGCGCTGCATCGACGCAGAAGGAGCCTATTTTGAAAGTTTTTAAAGAATTGTAACGATTGGCTCAATAATTTTTTTTTAAATCGACACAGAACTATTACTTTCCGTACAAACCCTGTACTTGACAATCCGGTTTGTTTCACTTGATCGCCGCCAGATGGGGCATCAAGCAGCTTGAAAACACAAAGGAACAGTGGCGAAGACAGAATTTAATTTGCTTTTAACAGTCGATCCTGAAAGTTTAGCTTCTTATCTCTCAAGTAGTTGTTTGTTTGTAGGAGATGTTCCCGTCCCAAAAATCCTATACAGATCGAGTACAAAATTCGGAAACAAAACTGTTCAGACTTACATTTTACCAGTGGACACTGCAATTTTCTCCCTGACGAGCAATGCGTTTACGCATATGTCCACAGTGTCTTTCATCTGGAACAGCGCCACCTCGAACGGATCGGTGTTGATCGCCTTCATTTTCAGTGGTTCTTGCGTTGCAAAGTAAGTTTGCAAAAACGTCGTTGCTCTGTCTGACCACGCTAACGATCCTTCGGGCGGTTCTATCTGAGCCAGACGAACCAGAATAGCCTGAAAGACAAAAACAAATACAGCAGACGCTCGATAACGTAAACACGGGATAATGAAAACTTGCGCTAATGTAAACACAAACTTCGTTCTGTAGGATCAAACGAAACGCGCGATAACGTAAACAATGTGTACGCTCGATAACGTAAACAACTGTCGGCGCACGGAAACAGCGCGACGGTAAAATGCTGAAGCCTCGATGATTTATGTCGGGCGTCGGGGAGTCCCCGATTTATGTGTAGGGGATTCACCTCTGCGATAAAATACGACAAACTCGGTCAGTCGTATGATCGTTTAGGATACGTTTATACGTACGTATATATTTCATTTTTGAACTTAAGTGAATACATTGCACGCGTTAATTTTACGACTATGGCATCCACATCCTATAAAAGAAAGTGTTTAAAGTTAAGTGAGAAAGTGAAAATCATAGACGAAGTTGCACTAGGTGCGGGAGTGACACGGTTAGCAAAAAAATATGGAGTACCGAAAGCAACAATCTGTAAAATTAAGCGTATGAAAACTCAAATTTTACAAAGAACGTGCAATACATTTGGTGGTCCGGGAAAAAGAAAAACTTTAAAAAACGCGAAGGCACCTAAAATGGAAAATTCCCTGTATAAGTAGTTTTTAAAACAACGGGAAAATCATGTCCCAGTTAGTGACGAAGTACTTAAACAGAGAGCGAGACTGTTAAATGAAAAACTGAAAGAAACTGAAAATTTCGTAGCTAGTGATGGCTGGGTACAACGATTCAAAACAAGATATGGAATTCGACTGCTGTCTATATCTGGTGAAAAATTATCAGCACAACCACAATTACTGCAACCATTCAAAGAAAAATTGATGAAAACAATTACCGAGCTAGATTTAAGAATGGAACAAATTTACAACGCAGATGAAAGTGGCCTTTATTGGAAAATGTTACCAGAGAAAACCTATGCTGCATCATTTGAAAAATCTGCCCCGGGAAGAAAGCCGGAGAAACAACGAATAACGTTTCTAGCCTGCACTAATGCTAATGGTTCACACAAAATAAAGCCACTGGTAATTGGGAAAGCAAAAAATTCGCGCTCATTTAAAAATGTTAATATCCCTGTTGATTATGACTGTTCAAAAACCGCTTGGATGACTAGCAATATATTCCTGAAATAGTTCCACAGGTGCTTTGTCCCTCAGGTATGACAATCAACTATCACAAATGCTCTATTCATAATTTGAAGATGTGTTTTCAATTTGTAGGTAAAAGGTTTCCTAAAACAACAAAAGCTTCCAATAAAAGCGTTGTTACTATTGGATAATGCACCAAGTCATCCTCCCGAGCAACAACTGAAGAGCAGGGATGGGTCAATTTTCGTCATGTACATGCCGCCCAACGTAACACAGTTAATTCAACCGATGGACCAGAATATAATAAGACTCACCAAACTATACTATAGGAAGTTTCTACTTTCGTCTGTCTTATCAAAGAATCCTGAAAACTTATCTGAGGCTTTAAAAAAAGTAACATTACGAGAAGCTGTTTTAGATTTACATATGGCCTGGAATGAACTTAACCAGCAAACTATTCAAAAATGTTGGAACAATCTCTTTTGTACCAATAATGAAGATGATGAAGAAGACGATGTCCCCTTAAGCGTAATTAGAGAACGTTTGCGATCCAATAATGATAATGTTATTAGTGTGTCATTGGATGCTGTTGATTTATTGAAAACAGTGAATCCCAACACTGTTTGTACTCCTGCTGATATTAATTTATGGAACGAAGATAAGCAGACGAATGATGCTGATAAGGAGGAGGATATGGACAGTGAGGATGATGAGAACGATCCCATTGAAGTCAGAAGTGTAGTGACTGACGCGCAAGCTACACAAGTTTTTAACCAAGCTTTAGATTGGGCTGAAAGAAAAGAAGTTTCATACACGGATATTTTAGTTCTTCGTAAATTACGGGCGCAGGCATTGGAAGACAATGCTAAGCGCAAATTTACGCAGACAAAAATTGTTAATTATTTTTCTTCTAATTAAAAAAATACTTATCGCTGTTAGAATATTTGTTTATTTTGTTATAAATAGTATGTATTAAACGTTTCTTTTAATAAATCAAATCTTATATAAATCACGTTCGCTAATGTAAACATTTCGATAATGTGAACCACACTTGGATTAAATTAGTCTGCTGTATGTAACTAAAATTAGTAAACGCCGTTCTTTTCTGAAGCCTCCTCATTGCGAGAGTTGTTTCAAAAATAAGATTCCCAACTTTGCCGCGTCTGAAATCCGGCAACACCGTCGTGTTTGACGGCTGCCCCACCACCGATCCCAACAAGAAACGCCTAATGCCTCCAGGTGGGAATTCGTGCGGTCATCCGATTTTTGCAGGCAAAAACGTTACCACCCATGGAAATGCATCGCCAGTCGAGTGAAAAAATGTTGACTATGTAGAAAAATAGCTCAAAGATCAACGTATCCAATGATAAATTCGTTTTTTCGCCAAAGAATACCTTGTGCCTGAAAAAAATGTGGGAACCTTATTTAGAGACTTGGCTACGAGAGCGACCGTTGCTTAAACATAAGATGTGGTATTTTTCATTACCTGACTCTCCAATCTACAAAACTGTTCGGCGAGCATTCTGATGTTGTTCCAGGGGACGACGACGTTATTACCCCAATCGATGAACTTTACGCTGGCTGTGCTACTGTTCAAATTGACTTTTTTGATCAACGCGCGATGCCAGTGACCCCTGATGGCGTCTTTGTTCAAAACTGCCACAAAACTACCTAAAAAATCCTCTATTTAATCCAACAGAAACCCTCAATAAATGAGTTTAAAACGTCGCATCAGTGATTTGCAATTGTGGGTAAGAAATTGGGGGTTGAGTATAGAAGGAAGAAATCTGTCATAAGCTTGTAACGAAATAGTACTTACCTTCAACAGGAACACATGAGAAAGTATCCATATTTCTGTAGTAGCTTTTCATAGCGCTGGTCACTTTTCGTAAAGCTTCCGCATTCGACGCCTGGAAAAAAAGTGGATGAAAAATAAACTACAGTATATTCAGATAAGAGATAGACCGGATGTAAACAAAAGGTTCGGGTGATTTTCACGCTAACGCCGCCGTCTCGACGTAAAACAAGAGCCCTCATTGGTCAATTCGCAATTAAATGCCTATGCCGAGCGGCAGAGCAGTCGTATCAAGGCAGAGTCACATTCAGGTTCAGACGTGTTACGTATGTCGTGTGCATCATTGCAATTTGATATTTCTTTGGACGTTTTCGTTTGTTATCTTATTAAGTTGTTGAGTTTGTCGTTGTTATTGTTATACCTTGTTATTGATTGTTATTGTTATCAACTGCTTGCGCAAAATGCCCAGTAGTACAGATACTGCCGATGAAGTTGTAAACTCCTGTAGTCCACCTAGGAAACGCTCTAAAAAAAGACACCTGAGTGCAGAAATGAAAGAGGTCATTTTGAATATATATAAGATCGAGCGCGAGGAGAACGAGGCATCAACCATCAAAGAAATTGTTGTGAAGGTTTCTCACAAAGTTGGGGTGTGTCGCGCATCAGTGTTTAATGTGTTAAGACAATACAAAAAAAATCACACCTTTTCCGAGCCAATGACCAGTAAACATCGCAAAAGTATTGTTAAATCATAGGATGAAGCTGATAAGCATGCGATTAGGAGGAAAGTGCATGAATTCTTCTTAAGGAATGAAATACCTACTATAGATAAAGTACTGCAGGAGGTAAATGGAGATACAACGTTGCCAAATTTCAAACGATCAACTTTCCATGCGTTACTGAAGCATTTAAATTTCAAATGGAAAAAACGGGGTCGTAATAGTTTACCACTGGATAGAGAAGAAATTGTGCTATGGAGGAGGGATTATTTAACAAAAATTGGGAAATATAGAAATCAAAACAGGAAGATTTATTACCTTGATGAAACGTGGGTAAACGCAGGACACACTACAAGTAAAGTATGGGTTGATGATTCTGTAACTTCATCCAGGAGGGCCTTTCTAGATGGACTGTCCACCGGATTAAAAAATCCAGCAGGTAAATACGAGTAATAGACAACAATCGGATGTTTTTCAAACCTTGGGAACAAGGCTCTAAACATTAATTCCAGGGGGCAGATAAAACATATTACAAGTAACAAAACTTTTATAACTTTCGATAAAATGCGTGGATGTTTTATTGTCATTTTCATTTGTTAGAACTTTTTTAAGCCATGTTTTTATGTGTTTTCGATATTTCAATAATTTTTTAATATAATCTTAAAATATGTCGAATATTATAAACTTAAAAAAAGTTACTAAGTTTTATATTGTGTACCGTTCCTAATATTTCTAATCATTTTAATTCATACTTTAAGCTTTATAAAGTTATAATTTGTTAATATTAATATTTGCGCGTATTTCAGGTTCCTGATCATTCATTTTTTAGAGGTTTATAACTTTAAATTAAATTGTGAAGCGCTGAGTAATCATACGACGTTCAATATTCTTTCTTTCAACATGACTAAATAATCCCAATTATAGCAATCTGATACTCATGTCTCAATGTTTTTTCGCTGAATGTGATGAAAACATTTGAAAAAGGTTCGCTTATTGAAATAAATCTACACCAGTTAGTACTTCGATTTCCAGGTAAAGGGAAAAGGCTCATTATCTGCCATATTGGCAGTGAGGATGGATTGGTTGTTGACGGTCTGTGGTGCTTTGAGTCTAAGAAAACTGAAGATTACCACGAGGAAATGAATGGCGAATCGTTTGTACAGTGGTTTTCAAAAATTTTACCGAACTTAGAGGAAAACGCAGTAATTGTGTTGGATAATGCGCCTTATCATTCTCGAAGAATGGAGAAGGTCCCAACAACGGCTTCAAGGAAAGTTGATGTTCAAAATTGGCTCCGCTCGAAAAATATCAACTTTGAGGAAGCAATGCTGAAAGTACAGTTATTAAGAATTGTCAAGGATCACAAGGCGGAATATCAAAAATACGCCATTGACGAAATGGCAGCAAGTCAAAATAAAACTGTGCTCCGTTTACCTCCATACCATTGCGAGCTCAATCCCATTGAGCTCATATGGGCAGAGGTTAAAAATTATATAGCTAAGCACAATACAACTTTTAAATTTTGTGACCTCAAAGGACTTTTCAAAGAAGCACTAGAATTAATAACAGCGCAAAAATGGGAAAACTGTATTAAGCACGTGAAAGACAAAGTTGAAAAGAGAATGTGGGAACTGGACAATATTTTAGAGGAACAAGTCGAGCCATTCATTACTGACGTTGGTGCTTCAGGCAGTAGCGATGATGAAAGCTCATCAAGCTCATCTTTCCAATAAAAGATGTCGTTCATCAAATTCGGTAAGTTATAAGTAATTATAAAGCTACTGTATTTTTTAATTAATTATTGACATTTTTGAACCCATTTTGGCAAAACCTATTCAAGAATCTACTTTCTGACAATGTTCAACCATGCACATTTTTTTACGTTTTGAACGTTTTAATTTGGTTACATATTTACCTAGAAATCAAAAAATATACTAATCAATATTCTAAAAGCAATTTTAAGAGATATACGATTATTTTTAATTTAGGCTAATTTAAACGCCATTTTGAGATTATATTCGACTGTATTTCACCAAACATCAGACGGCATCCGAAGCTGGAAATCGAATCGAAAATTTTGAAACCCTTATGTATATTTACATCATTATATATTTCTTACCCCACCCCCACATGATCCTATATCCATCACCAATCGTATACACATCGAATTGTGCTAATTTACTACAAAGTTACGCAAAGCAGCATCTACTATCTAAAATATGTACTGCGTGACTCTTAATACGTCCCTGCCGAATGTTACAGCGTTCGATGATCACGTGGTCTTGTTTATGTCCGGTCTATCTCTTATCTGAATATACTGTAGTTCGCGAACGAACTATTCTTATGCCTTAACTAAGTTCATCAAACTGTTTTCGTAACCAATTTTTTTTTTTAAATAAACCGCCAAGCATTTCCCGCCAAGCCGCATTCAGGAGCGAGATGTCATTTTTCGTACATCGTGAGATCGATAGTTAACTATTTCTTTCATGCTTGTGACAAATTAAGATAGCAAGTTCCGGTTTGAATACTGCATTTTGCACTAATCAACATATTCCTCATTAACACTTTTGAATATTTGCGAACGTATCCTCCCAGTATAACAGGAAGTGTTTTAGATTGGTTTAGAAATTATTTGTCTAGAAGGATGCAAGTTACAAAAGTTAATGACACTATTTCATCAAAAATTGAAAATACGTTGGGTGTTCCACAGGGCAGTATCCTGGGACCACTTCTTTTTATTTTATACATAAATGATTTACCTGCCATAGTCAGAAAATGCAAAATTCAGATTTTCGCCGATGACACTATGATTTATATAAGTACTAAAGATATTCAGTCTAGTATCTCTTATATAAATGAAGACTTGAAGCTTGTCTCAAAATGGTTAGCATCTAACAGACTAAAATTAAATGCAAGTAAAACGAAAGCCTTGTTAATCGGAAAAAAACAATGTACAAATGTTCAACTGAATATTGATGGTGAAGATATTGAATTCGTAGAAAATTTTAAATACCTGGGGGTTTTTGTTGAGTCTCGATTGATTTTTTATATTCATTATGAAAAAGTTATAAATAAGATTAGTAGTAAAGTGGGATATTTATCGAGAGTTTCTGGATGTCTGAGTTCATATAGCAGAAAAATTATCTATAATACCATCATTCTTCCAAATTTCTTGTACTGTTCGACTATTCTATATTTAGCAAATAATTCCATTTTTGAAAGACTGCAAATTTTACAAAATAAGTGCATGAGAATAATACTAATTAAAGATAAATATACTCCAATTAGGCAAATGCTTAGCAAATTAAAATGGCTCAATGTAAAAAATTTTATCAAATATCTTGTAATGATATTCATTTATAAAGTAAAAAATAATATATTTCCATCAAGTCTAACTAATTTAACATCATCAAATGTCGACCATCATTTACATAATACCAGAAATAAAGATAACTTCCATTTAATGACCAAAAAGTATAACATATGCTACAAATCTGTATTCCATCAAGGGTTGATTGAATATAATCAATTATACTCAGAGATAAAAGACCAGAAAACTTTGACAAAATTTAAAGTAAAATTGAGAAATCACTTGTTAAATCTACAATTATAGATTGCCCAGCATTTACATCATACACCATATGGCTTGAATTTACTAGTTCTAACTTGTTTACAATTATTCTGTTTATGAAGCCAAATGTGCTAAATAAATCTTTCTACTACTACTACTAGTCCCATCTCTAGTATTCGTTATCCCACTACTCTTGACAGTTGGTACGTCTGCGGTGCTGCCAAGCTAGTAACAGTAAACATGAATATGTGTTAAGGGGCAAATGTTTGTTATTTTAACACATAGTAGTTGAACCTAATAACATTTATTTTTCAATCCAGTTCAAAGAGCCGAAATGGAGTGTTATACGACCAATCTGACGTTAATGTTGTGGATCTACCGCGATTAAAGCCTCACGACTTTCCGTTGAACAATTTAATGTGGTAGTACTAGACAGTTCTGTGACTGGACAGCTGAACTGATGAAAGGCAGTCCTGGTTTCAAGCATAATAAGGATTTTCCTGTTTTTTCTTTTCCTCAAGAAACCTACGTACGCTATATGCATACTAAAATACTTTTATTAAAAATATGATTCCCAATATAATATAAAACCTACAGATGCAACTCCAACTCCAGACATACTGGAGGTGTAGTGATTGGTGTATACAGTTCAAATTATTTGGGAAACGTTATGATCTTTGTACTTTTTACCGTTCACCAAACAGTGATGCAGATACATTTTTAACGTTTTTTGAAGAAAAATTCGAAGAAATGTGGAATTTTAGAAACAATATAATACTTTTAGGTGATTTTAATTTAAATTATGGTAAAAGCATGAAAACAAGAAAATTGAAAGAAACCATAAACAACTATGGGTTCAAGCAAAAAATTGAAGAGAGTACCAGAATAACATCATTATCAGAGACTTTGTTAGAGATCTTGTTATTGTAAATTTCGAATGTGCAGGGATTAAAGCTGTACATATACCTAAAGTTAGCGATCACAGTTGGACAATGCTGCCCTTGGTAGGGCATTTTTCTGATACAAGAATTAAGAAAATTGTAAATACTATTAAGTACGAAAAACTTGAACGAGAACTTGCTGGCTGCTATTGGAATTTTGGTGAGAATATGGAAAAAATATATGACAACATAATAGGAAATATAAAAACTTGTTTAGATCTTGCAACTGATAAAAAAGTGATTTGCTCGACAAAAAATACACCCTGGTATAACAAGAATATTAAGGCAGCTCAAAATTGGAGAGACAAACAATACAATAAATGTATATTCACAAAATCAAATGATGATTGGGAGGTCTATAAAACTCTTAGGAATAAATGTGTATATGTAATTAGAGAAGAAAAAAGAAAATTCTACGATAAACAAATCGATAATAACAAGTGCGACAGTGTAAAGATGTGGAAGACTTTAAAAAGACTGATCAATTCGAAGCCGCATGATTGTGTAAATCAAGTTCAATTCGAAAACGGTACCGAAACAAATTCTTTGGTGATTGCAAACAAACTAAATGAATATTTTGTGGAAAGTATTGTTGATATTGTGGGTACTGCCAATGCTGCACCTGACTATATGAAAATCAGTTTCCGGTGGGAAATGTTGCATACACTTTCAAAATTTCACAGCGTATCATTGAATTATCTAAGAAAAAAAGTAAACAGTTTAAAATCAAATAACAACTGTGCCGAAATGACTACTAAAAACGTGCTGAAAAACTGTTTCGAAATTTTGGGATATCCTGTATTAAATTGGATCAATTGTTCACTGAGAAGCAGTTCTTTCCCTGAAAATTTGAAATGCTCTACAATAACACCAGTTCCCAAAATAAAAAATTCTAAAAGATGCAGCGATATGAGACCAGTAAATGTGTTACCAGACATTGAAAAATTATTAGAGTCCATAGTGCATGACCAATTAATGCAGTTTATAGAAGAAAACAAAATTTTAGTGGAGGCGCAAGCAGGCTTTCGAAAAAAATATTCCACAGAAACAGCTTTCCAGTTGGTAACTGAGAATTGGAGAAGAGCCATAGACTCAGAAGAAGTTGTCATAGCAGTATTTTTGGATTTGAAGAGGGCATTTGAAACGATTGATAGAGATATTTTGTTAGGTAAATTGAAGGCATATGGTATAACAGGAAGTGTTTTAGATTGGTTTAGAAATTATTTGTCTAAAAGGATGCAAGTTACAAAAGTTAATGACACTATTTCATCAAAAATTGAAAATACGTTGGGTGTTCCACAGGGCAGTATCCTGGGACCACTTCTTTTTATTTTGTACATAAATGATTTACCTGCCATAGTCAAAAAATGCAAAATTCAGATTTTCGCCGATGACACTATGATTTATATAAGTACTAAAGATATTCAGTCTGGTATCTCTTATATAAATGAAGACTTAAAGCTTGTCTCAAAATGGTTAGCATCTAACAGACTAAAATTAAATGCAAGTAAAACGAAAGCCTTGTTAATCGGAAAAAAACAATGTACAAATGTTCAACTGAATATTGATGGTGAAGATATTAAATTCGTAGAAAATTTTAAATACCTGGGAGTTTTTGTTGACTCTCGATTAATTTTTGATATTCATTATGAAAAAGTTATAAATAAGATTAGTAGTAAAGTGGGATATTTATCGAGAGTTTCTGGATGTCTGAGTTCATATAGCAGAAAAATTATCTATAATACCATCATTCTTCCAAATTTCTTGTACTGTTCGACTATTCTATATTTAGCAAATAATTCCATTTTTGAAAAACTGCAAATTTTACAAAATAAGTGCATGAGAATAATACTAAATAAAGATAAATATACTCCAATTAGGCAAATGCTTAGCAAATTAAAATGGCTCAATGTAAAAAAAATTATCAAATATCTTGTAATGATATTCATTTATAAAGTAAAAAATAATATATTTCCATCAACTCTAACTAATTTAACATCATCAAATGTCGACCATCATTTACATAATACCAGAAATAAAGATGACTTCCATTTAATGACCAAAAAGTATAACATATGCTACAAATCTGTATTCCATCAAGGGTTGATTGAATATAATAAATTATACTCGGAGATAAAAGACCAGAAAACTTTGACAAAATTTAAAGTAAAATTGAGAAATCACTTGTTAAATCTACAATTATAGGTTGCCCAGCATTTACATCATACACCATATGGCTTGAATTTACTAGTTCTAAGTTGTTTACAATTGTTCTGTTTATGTAGCCAAATGTGCTAAATAAATATTTCTACTACTACTACTACTACTACTAATACTATGCATAAACTTCGCGCGCACACACAGAAGGAAACAGTGCTTCATATATCTACAAATTTAAGTGTCGCTGTATTTTTAAAAATACAGGGTGTCCCAACGAAAAGGTCGCATCCCCATTTGTTTCTCTGCTGATATATTTTGGGAAAAACGCTCGAACCTGTCAATTTTGATTTCTAAGGGGACGTCTTTTCATCTATAGCCGTACAATATAAGGGATGATCCAAAAATAAGATATTGCGTTATACTTTAGATTTTTAAATAGAAACCCACGTTTTTTAATTTTTAGATTTTCCATAAATTTTTAGTATTTGTATAATAAAGCCTATACCTATGCCCGTGTAAAGTGTAAGTTGTTTTTTGTTTGTTTAATAGTCGGAGACTTGTTTTTAATTTGAAAGTAAAGTTTTTGGGAACGTGTCTGAGCGTTTTTCCCAAAATACGCCAGGAGAGTCACAAATAGGGGTGCGACCTTTTCGTTGGGCCACTCTGTATATCATTTTTTCTACAAATTATCGCTCTCAGGTAAGTAATACACTGTTCTTTTCAATAAGGAGCTCAGTAATTGATGTCATACCAAACTCGGCGTTATATCAGATTTGGTCCTCTATGATTGGTAAATTTTTACTAAAACGCTTTCTAATTCGTCATCATCATAGGTTTTGATCTGCGGATCAACTGAAAAAATGTTTTTGTCGCTAAGCCAGGTGGTTAATAAAAAACTTCTTAATTTCATATTACACAAATCGTATATTTTGTTCGCTAGTTTGAGAGATATTTTAGAAAAAATCCGCTCCGGATCAAACATTTTTATCTCCTGCTAGAAAAAGCGAGCCTAAAACAAACTAATAAACACTACCAACAATTGTCGTGTTTTTTTTTTTCAAGTACGACTCCTCAGGCAAAAATTAAGTGGAACACTCTGTTCAAAAACTTACGATCTGAACGAAGATGTTATGCGGATCGACCACATTAGCTACAATGACATCGTATGAACAATTCTTCTTGAACTTGTAGCTGTTGCTATATACCTTAACGTCGGACGAGAAAGGCACCTACAAATAAAAACAAATCAACTATCTATCTTGGTATAACCGTTTTGAAAACTCGTACCATTGGCAACGATGAAACGCTAGAATTATCGTCACTAGCTGCGCTCAACGGGTTGCTGCAAGTGTTGATCATAATATCAACTATGGACGTCATTCCACCATCAGACGAGGATACCAGCAGATCTACCACGTGTACACAGTCCTGGATATTTTTCAACATCATGTATACTTCTTTGCTGAAATTATATATACAGTGAAATTCATCTCCGCTGACACCCCACTTACATGGACATCTCATTTATAGTCAACGCCAAACAAAGTGGCGTGCACGTCATCACGATAAAAATTCCCCGACCTAATGCCTAGGTTTCTATCACAAACAATTGCTCTATTGCAGTTTCATATTAATGTGATATATAAATTGTAAAATGGTCATTACTCTCTTATTATGGTTAATAGTCATATAAACATTGTTATTAAAATATCACATAAGTTGCTTTCTGATAAATTTAGACGCATTATGCGAAATAAAATGTTTTGCAAACGCTCCAATCACTTATCGACATGTAAACGCACTAAACCGATTTCGCAGCGTTGACACATTGTCACCTTGAAACTTATTTAAACTGGGAACTGACATTTGTATTAATTTTGACACTGAATCAATTTGTGGCATTTCAAATCTTTATAAATCCTTTGGCCCCGCATACTGTTAATCAACAACTGTTTGTTTCAAAACAAAATTATTCATTTTACGAGTAGATAAAGGCAATTTTGGTATATAAAGATGCCCAAACAGTTAATTAGTCGGTGTAAGGAACTCGTGGCCTCGTTAATGCACTACTTTGAGCAAGAAAGGGACAACAACGGGCCTTTGTTGCCTTTAAATGCTGTTCAAGAGGTAGGTTACTAATAATTATATGTAATGTATATTAATAATAGTGAAATTTTATTTCATTTTTTGTAGCGTGTTGCTGCTGCTTTAAAAATTAGTTTAAGGACAGTTAGTCGTATTTCCGAGGGTGTGAAAAGTGATGCAAATTTAGAATCGCTCAAGAAAAAGCGGAGTTATATTAAACGTGTAACCAACACAGCGACATTGGATACAAGTGCCATTTGAGAAGTGATCTATAATATGTATCACAAAAGTAAGATCTTATTATAATAACTTATCAAAAATTTGCATTAATTTGTTAACTAAATTATAATGTCATATTACACATGGTTTCAGAAGAACAAGTTACGATACAAACTTTATGGTCTCGATTAAGAGATAGGGCATTATTTGATGGTAGTGCCACGTCTTTAAGGCGGTTGCTTAGAGATCTTGGATTTAAGTGGCTTAAGGACAATCCGCGACGAGGGCTCATGGAACTACCAAGTATAGCTTTGAAAAGGGTGGAATTTCTAAGGCAATACAATCAAGCCAAGGTTGAGGCCTTATACCAGTTTGTCTTCCTCGATGAAACTTGGATATTTCAAAATGGGACCATAGGTCGCTCTTGGCAAAATGGAAACCAAAAAAGCGTGAAAGCTATTAAAACAGATGGTAAAAGGTATGTACTTTTACACAATTTGCACTATAAAATTTAAAACTAATATATTTTAGATACATTATATTACATGCTGGAAATGAAAATGGGTTTATTGAGGGTAGTGAAGCGATATTTTCTTCGGAAACAAAATTGAGCGATTACCATGGAGAGATGAACCAGGACAATTTTTTGAAATGGTTTCAACATCAGTTATTAGAAAAATTGAAGAGTCCATCTATGATTATACTGGATAACGCCCCTTATCACAGCATGATATTGAACAAAGTGCCCAACAATGCATGGACAAAAAAAAAATATCCAAGACTGGTTGACAAATCAAAACATACCATTTTTAAACACAATGTTTAAAACAGAGCTATTGAGTATTGTTGCTCGGTACATAATGCTTCTTAATTATATATATTTTGGTCGACAGTTTATATTTCTTTTGTTTATTCCTATTCTTAAAATAACTGCTTTTTTAGAAACAAACCACCTAAAATATACGTGATTGATGAATTGGCGGAACAACCTGGGCACAAAGTTCTTCGTCTGCCTCCTTACCATTGTATATTTAACCCTATTGAGTTAATTTGGGGCATAGCAAAAGGTTACTATAACAGACATATTGGTAGAGATGGTAACAGTGAAAAAGACTGTTTGGATATGTGGAACGAGGCTCTACAAACGGTTACTCCAGACATGTGGAAAAATAGTGTTCGACATACTGAGCAAGAAATTTTTAAATGGTATGAAAGAGAACGAATTTTTGATCGACCAGACATCGAACCTTTAATAATCAACTTTGAGAGTGATGAAGATTCAGATTCAGACAGCGCTGAAGAAAGAAACTCCGACTAACTTTATTGTACAGAAAAAGCTTACACCAGTAGCTTACCTAATTTTAGAATGCATTTTTCTGTATGAATTCTGTAAAATAAATACCATGCATAAAATTTGGAGGACCCCATTTGGATTTTTATTCAGTACCTTTAAGCTATCAATTAAATATGGTAGTTTCATAGTGTCATCTGATCAATAATTGTCATACTTAATGATTATGCAAGTACAGATCTATAATTTTATTATACTATTATTTTTGTTCTCATTTGAGGTTAATATTGCTTATAAACCTAGATATGTAAATAATAAATTTTACCATTTTACAAAAAGTTTGGCAACAATGTAAATTTTTCAACACACCCACCTTGATGACGTGCACGCCACTTTGTTTGGCGTTGACTATAGTTTATAAAGGCATATTTTGGTACAAATCTCGAAGTGCGCCAACTGAAGTGGGAAGGGGCTCGTATAGGGAAATACAGTTATCGAAATTTGTAATTTTGGCGCATATTTTCAGATCATCGCCAAATAGTAAATTGTGACACTTTAGTGATGCGGTAATTTTTTTATTTTAATCTATGCCTTTAATCTAGAATGTTCACTTACCCATTTATCATTTTTCCCATATAAACGTGAGCATTGCGATTCCAGCTGATGTTAGCTGGATTGTACAGCTCGCATCTTATCGCAAAAGGTTTTATTAGTTCTAAATTAGGCGTTATTTCTCTCAACCTAAAACATAATTATCTATCAATTTCACATGTCGCGTGATGATCGAATTTACATACTTGGAAATGTTCACCGTTTGGGTACTACCGAAATCGATAAAGAATATCTCGTAAAGTGGTTCTCTCTCTCCATTTTTGAATTCGACGAGCCTTCCTCGGCACCATCTTTTTTCCTTTTGGGTTGTGTACATAACCAAATATAAATTATCTGAGAAAAAGAACATATTTCAGAACAACCGCATCTGTTTGAAGTATACACGTAATATTAATCTGCATATACAGGGTGTCCCAGAAGTCGACGTCAAGCCGAAACCGGGTGATAGGCAAAGTCATAACAGCTATCAGAAAAATATTTAAAAAAATTTTATGTATGTGTTTTGAAAATTATAGGTCTTTGAAAAAGATATAGAAATTTCACACGCTACAGCAGTCTGTCAACTCCTGTTACTACAAATATTAACTTTTTTTGGATTTTATTTTTACAATGTAATGATGAATAATGCATCTTCAAACTGGTGTCTCAACCTTACTGCCAACTTTTCTCGTTCAGGAAAAATTGCCACTTATTTCCCAACCAAGTATTCCAAAGTAAAACTTTGCCCAACTTTAACTGGATGTACTGGAAAAAATGTACTACGAGAGTTTGGCAAGTAACCTTAAAAGTTGGCGCATTTAATAAGGATTCCAAAATGGTATAACACATAGAAGATTACTCGTTAACTTATGCACAATTTTTATTTGAAGAAAAACTGATGAAAATTTTTCAAAATTTCCTAATTAAACAGCGATTATGAAAACGCACAAGGACCCTTAAGGATAACTGTTTGCACAACAGTGGGCGTCAAAATGCTGCTGATGATGATTTACCTTTACAGCAAATGCTCAAACTGTTTTCCTTCAGCCGCAATACACGCTCGACATCTTCTTAAAAAAGATCGGGTTATTAAACGAGCGAATCCACGGTTATTAACAAACTCGGCTGCTTCCAATAGTATTTGCCGTAGCTCAGCTACATTTTGAATCGGCTTGAAATACACTTTTTCTTTTACAGTTCCCCAGTAAAAAAAATCTAACGGATTCAAATCTGGTGACCGGGCTGGCCACGGTATTGTACCAGACCGCCCTATCCATCTGCCTGGAAAGTTTTGATCGAGATACTCTCTCACTGAGAGTGCATAGTGCGCTGGGTAGCCATCATGCTGAAACCACATGTCCCTGTAAATACTCAGTGGCACGTCCTCCAATAAATTTTCTAAATGATTTTGCAAAAAACCTAAATAAACCTCAGCAGTCAATGTCTCTCTCTCTCAATCCATACCACGTACAGCGTGTTCAAGCTCTTCTGCCCCGGGATTATGAGCCTCGAGTTGCTTTTTGTCGCACAATGTTAGAAAGACACAGGGAAGATCCACGGTTCTTTGAAAAAATTTTATGGTCGGATGAGACCACATTTAAGAAAGATGGGTACATGAACCTGCATAACTTACACGAGTGGCACGTAGCAAACCCACATTTGATGAGAGAAGATAAATCTCAATATCGCTTCAAGATAAACCATTGGACAGGAATTTTAAATGGTAAAATAATCGGTCCGTTTGAGTTCCCAGAGACTTTGACTGCTGAAGTTTATTTGGATTTTTTGAAAAATCATGTACAAAATTTATTGGTGGTCGTGCCACTGAGTATTTACAGGGACATGTGGTTTCAGCATGATGGCTGCCCAGCGCACTATGCACTCTCAGTGAGAGAGTATCTCGATCAAAACTCTCCAGGCAGATGGATAAGGCGGTCTGGTACAATACCGTGGCCAGCCCGATCACCTGATTTGAATCCTTTAGATTTTTTACTGGGGAACTGTAAAAGAAAAAGTGTATTTCAAGCCGATTCAAAATGTAGCTGAGCTACGGCAAAGACTATTGGAAGCAGCTGAGTTTGTTAATAACCGTGGATTCGCTCGTTTAATAACCCGATCTTTTTTAAGAAGATGTCGAGCGTGTATTGCGGCTGAAGGAAAACAGTTTGAGCATTTGCTGTAAAGGTAAATCATCATCAGTAGCATTTTGACGCCCACTGTTGTGCAAACAGTTATCCTTAAGGGTCCCTGTGCATTTTCATAATCTCGCTGTTTAATTAGGAAATTTTGAAAAATTTTCATCAGTTTTTTTTCAAATAAAAATTGTGCATAAGTTAACGAGTAATCTTCTAAGTGTTATACCATTTTGGAATCGTTATTAAATGCGCCAACTTTTAAGGTTACTTGCCAAACTCTCGTAGTACATTTTTTCCAGTACAGCCAGTTAAAGTTGAGCAATGTTTTACTTTGGAATACTTGGTTGGGAAATAAGTGGCAATTTTTCCTGAACGAGAAAAGTTGGCAGTAAGGTTGTGACACCAGTTTGAAGATGCATTATTCATCATTACATTGTAAAAATAAAATCCAAAAAAAGTTAATATTTGTAGTAACAGGAGTTGACAGACTGCCGTAGGGTGTGAAATTTCTATATCTTTTTCAAAGACCTATAATTTTTAATTTTTTTTTTAAATATTTTTCTGATAGCTGTTATGGCTTTGGCTATCACCCGGTTTCGGCTTGACGTCGACTTCTGGGACACCCTGTATAGTAGCTGACAAAAATTTGGAAACAAATATTAACATTATTGTGAACTATTTCACATGTTCATGTTAAATTAAAATTGTGAAGGAATAGACAATATAAATATTAAAGTCTACCTTTATCTCCCGTACTAATACACGGTTTATCTTATCAATATTCAAATTCGCTGAAAATAAAAACACGCGTTTTTTATACCACAGTTTTTAAACTACAAAAGCAGTTTTGCCGTATGGTATTCGTTCTGCGATTTTCTGATATTGCGTGCGATGAATATTAAGATCAGTGAGAATAGCGAAAGTAAAAGAATTTTCAAAAGATTTCAGAGACAAAGTGATTGAATTATTTAGAAGTGGTGTCAGAAATGTTGACATTTCTCAATAATTAAAAATGAACAAAGGGACGATTTCTGAAACTGTTACGGATACGGATCAACAGCAAAGCGGCCCAGGTGCGGAAGACAGAAAGAAAAAACGATTATGTTTTGGATCGCTACATTCAACGATTCTCCGATAAAGATCCTCAAATGCCAGCCACACAGATTTTCAAAAGAATCCTGGAAGAGGGTGCCGAAAATCTTTCTCGCTTGGAGAATTTTGGGCTTTTTGGTGGACGCCCAGTGCAAAAGCCTCTCATTAAAAAAAATCGTATTGCTCGGTTTGAATTTGCTATAACTCATCTAACTTGGTCAGAACAACAATCGAATACAGTTTTATGGAGCGATGAAAGCAAATTTAACTTCTTTGAATCTGACGGTACGGCATATGTGAGACGTGCAATACGAAAAAGATTCGACAAAGAGAATCAGTCGCCAACAGTTAAGCACGGTAGAGGCAACATCATGGTTTGGGGCTGTTTTTCTAGTTCTGGAACGGGTCCAATTGTTAAAATTGTTGGGACAATGGATCAAAAACTTTACAAAGATATTCATAAAGGGTTGTCCAATAGGGACGCAGGAAAGTAAACGTCAATTTGACATAGACGCCATCTTTGTTTTCTGTCACCGACATGTCATTTTGTTAGTTGAATGTTTACCATTGATCGCTATGGAGTCGTATTCGATTGAAGACCGCATTAAAGTTATTCAAGAGCACTACAAAAATGGTGCAAAAATAATAAACACGTTTCGCGCGCTTCGTGAACATTTCGGTCGCAACAACCGCCCAAACGAAACAACCATCGGTCGTCTGGTGCGTAAATTCGAGGCAACAGGTTCTGTGGCAAATCTGCCAGGTTCTGGCCGGCCAAGGAGCGTTCGCACACCGGAAAATATTGCTGTTGTGAAGGAGAGTGTGAGAGACGATCCGAAACAATCAACAACGCGTCGATCCCAAGAATTGGGCATTTCGAGAACCAGTTTGCTCCGCATTCTCCACAAGGATTTGAATGTACACGCCTACAAGATCCAATTGACGCAAGAGCTGCGTCGGGCCGACCATTTTTCGCGCCGAACGTTCTCAGATTGGCTCCTTGAACACCGCCAAATTGATGCCAATTTTTCATCAAAAATCATGTTCAGCGACGAAGCGCATTTCACTTTGAATGAGACGGTAAACAAGCAAAACTGCCGCATCTGGGCGAACGAAAATCCCCGTGAGTATCAAGAGCAGCCGATGCATCCTCAAAAAGTGACTGTGTGGTGTGCATTGTGGTCAAAAGGCATCATCGGACCTTACTTTTTCGAAAATGCGGCCGGGGACGCCGTTACCGTCAATTCTGAGCGATATCTCGTGATGATAGAGGACTATTTTATGTCGCAACTTGAAGGAATGGATATGGACGATGTTTATTTCCAACAAGATGGTGCAACATGCCACACAACCAACGTCAATATCCATCGATTGCAGTCCTTCTTCGGTGATCGCGTGATTTCGCGCAGAGGAAATCTGCAATGGCCACCAAGATCGTGCGATTTGACTCCCTTGGACTTCTTTTTATGGGGATATTTGAAAAGCAAAGTCTACGTCAACAAACCAGCCACCCTCCAAGAACTCAAAAACATCATTGCCGAGATAAATGCCATAGAACCGACCATGTTGCAAAATGTCATTGAAAATTTCGATCGTCGCGTGGACGTCTGTAAATCCAGTCGTGGTGAACATTTGAGCGATATTATTTTTCATACATAAATGGTATAAATGAACCTTCAAAATAAAGTACCCAACTTGATTTGAATATCAATCTTTCTTGTTTTAATATGCGTTTACTTTCCTGCGTCTGTTTTGGACAACCCCATAGTATACACATGCTCGCTTTTGCTGAAGAAAAAATGCCTTTACGATGGACATTCCAGCAAGATAATAACCTCAAAATTCGTAAAGGACTAGTTAAGACAAAAAAATGTTAATGGTCTTACATGGCCTTCGCAATCCCCGGACCTAAACCCTATAGAACATCTCTGGGAGCATGTTAAAAGACAACTGACAAGAAAACTTTTAAAAATAGGAACGATTTATTTGATCATGTAAAAAATATTTGGCAAACTATCCCAAAAGCGTTTGTAAAAATTTGGTGTCTTCTACGAGCGGCAGATGTCAGGCGGTGTTGAATGCTAAAGGCTATGCTACCAAATGTTAGCTAAACAGTTTTTTTAAGGTCTTTTTGTAGAGTTATTGTATTAAATTTTGCAATAAAAAATATGTCCCAGCAAATACAAATTGTCATTTATATCCTCAAGTCTGTAAGCAAACTATATGAGAAAAGAAAAATAGTTTTTAATAATAAAGAATAAAAAATTAGCACACTTTTTAAAAATTACTAAGAATCTTTTCAAACTTTTGTCCGCTACTGCAAGTCACAGCAAAAACAAACAAGTTAGCTATGCGTCTTAAATCATTAGATTTAGAACTTTTCAAAACAGAAGTATTTTAAAGCTTGTACGTAAAGACCATCAAAATTTGTTTTCCTAGCCCTTGAAAAATATAGTTTTTCCAAATAGAAAGACTGAATTATCTAAAACGCATTTCGAAGATGGGGTAGTGTCAGAAAACAGCAAAAACATGTATTGGATAGACTCTAAATCAAATAGTGAAGACGACTGATGACGGTGATCTGAACTTATGTTCATTACACGTTTATCTTAATTCATCAATGTATCAATTTAGGACAATAAGCATCAACAATCTAACAGCTATCTCAGAGTTGAAATCTAATAAGAATCCAAGTGAGAACCTCTCAAAATAGATTGTAAATGATCTTTTCAAAAAACGGGGAAGAAATTATTATTATTGGTGAATCATTATCATGGTGAATTCCCATCAAAATTAAAGTGTTCCACCATTACTCCTGTGCCAGAAGTTCAGGATTCTGAGCTATATGCAAATATGCGGTAGATTAAAGTCTTTTGCCAGCTGTCGAGAAACTGTTCAAAAGGACAATATACGAACAAATCATTTAATTCATTGGAGAAACAGCAATCAAAATGGTGGTGGAAGACTGGAGAAGAAGTATAGCTGAGAAAGAAAGTATTTTTAGGCTTCAAAAGGGCGTTTGAGACTATAGATAGACAAAAATTGTTAATAAAATTGTATCACAATGGTTTTTAGGAACAATATTAAACATTTTACAAAATTGTGTAGTAAATAGATGTCAAAAAACTAAAGTTGAAAATATACTAAGTGACATATAAATCCGAACACCCAGTTTAAATGGTTTTATTTTAATAAAATTTTGTATAAGTACTTAATGAAGCATAATAAGTAAATGATAAAAATTTCAAAATGATTGCACTGCTTTAAAGCCCTTTGACCTTTCATAATGTGTGGATGCACCCTGATGTGCTACACATTCTCCAAAGCGCCTAGGCATGCTTCTGATCAGGTGGTCAATGTCCTCCTGTGGTATCTCATTCCAGGCAACCACCAACTCCTCTCGAAGTGCTTCTAGAGTCTGAGGAGGGCGTTGCAAATTGAGCAATCTCCTACACATAATATCCCACACGTGCTCAATTAGGGATAATTCGGGAGATCTTGGTGGCCATGGTAACAATGTGACATCATTATGTTGAAAGAAGTCTATTGTGACTCTTGCAACATGTGGTCGGGCATTATCTTGTTGGAAAGTTGGATCTGCCAGGGTGTCAAGATAGGGTAAAAGATGGGGTTCTAGAACTTCGTGGATATAACGCTGCGCGTTCATGTTACCTCTGATGAAGATTAAAGGTGACCTGGAACCATAAGCTATAGCACCCCAAACCATAACTCCAACAGTGTGATGAACATGTCTTTCAACAAAAAACTGTGGATTCCTCCTTTCACCACGTCGCCTTCTAACCCTGGCACGACCATCGTGCATGCCTAAACAAAATCGAGACTCGTCACTAAAGACAATTCTGTTCCATTCCTGATCCCAGAGTGACCATTGTCTGCACCACTCAAGGCGATTACGTCGGTGTTCTCGAGTTAAAGGGAGGACCCAGTGTGGCCGACATGAAAACAAGCCAAAACTTCTCATTCGTCGGTAAACACTTCGCATGCCAATAGGTCTTCCGTGTTCTGCAAACCATTCATTTGCAATGGACCTGGTAGTGGAGAAACGGTCCCTTAAGGCCAATAATCTTAGGCGGCGATCTTCACGGTCTGTTGTTCTACGGCGGCGTCCAGTGCCCCTTGCTCTTTGCGTACGGCCTTCTCGAAGCCATGCCTGACAACACCTAACCACAGTGTCTACACTTCTTTGCACTCTAACTGCAATTGCCCGAAAAGAAAGTCCAGCTTCCCGAAGTCCCACTATACGGCCCCGATCAAACTCACTAAGTTGACGAAATCGTACAGGTCTCCGTACTCTAGGCATCGTAACCGATCGTAAAGGAGTACAAGAACCAAAATCCGCCAACGTTGATTCTTTACTAAGGCTGAAATATTCATTTTTAGAGCGTTAGTGAATTAAAAAAAAGCAGTATAAAAACCGGAATGTCCAACTGATCAGGCTGAAAATTTTTTCACTTGTTATTTACAGTAAGATAAATACATTCACCAACTTTTATTAAAATAAAACCATTTAAACTGGGTGTTCGGATTTATATGTCACTTAGTATATTATGTCAAGCGTTCAAAATATATCAGTAGGGGTTCCACAGAGAAGTAAATTAGGGCCGTTAATATTTATTATTTATATTAATATTTCCGACATTTTAGAACACTGCAAAATTCAAAAAGACGAATAATTACGCAAAATTGACGTTGTAGAATTAACGCTAAATAAATCCTCAACAAACGAACGGGCTCACGATATATTTTTAAAATAGTAAATTTGATATTAAACAGCTAGGTGAAAGTCATTTCTAATTCATATCTTCAGCTATAACTTCGAACTTAAAAACGAAGGTAATAATTCTTTTTCAATATCCACTTACTTAATTCAGGATGAACGACTGGACCAGCCATTTGTGCATAGTTATTTATTTCCTTTTCCAATTGGAAAAATCGAAACTGGTTCTTCTTGAACTGTATGTAGAAACATTCCAAAGACTCAATGTGAGTTACCTCGACAGATTCAGTTTCTGAAAACAAAAATATGAACAGAAGTAAAAAAATTCCACCTACATAATCACATTTTGAACCAGGAATAGGAAGAAGTTGTAATTAAAGTTCCTAATATTAACGTGTTATACAGGGTGGCCCATAAGTCCTTTGAGCTGGAAAAAAAGGAATAAAACCAAACTAGTTACATTATGAAGAATTATTATATTTTGTTATCATCTTTATTGAATGGGAATTATGTTTTAAAAATCACATCGTCTAAATGCAATCCATTACGATCACGGCACTCATATAAACGACGTCTAAAATTGTCGATGACTGCGCGGCAAGTCAACAATTGTAATGCTTGCCATTTCTCTTCGGATATTTACTTTCAGGACATCAACTGATCGCGGATTGGTGTCGTACACTTTACTCTTGAGGTAGCCCCATAAAAAGAAGTCCATTGGGGTCAAATCTGGACTACGTGGTGGCCAGGAAATGTCTCCTCTTCGAGAAATTACTTTGCTGGGAAAAAGTTGACAGACGACGGGCATAGAAGTGTTGGAGGTGTGGGCAGTTGCTCCGTCCTGTTGAAACCAGGTCTGCTTATTATAGCCTGGAAAGTTCTGCAACGCTGGTGTCAAAAACTCTTCTATCATTGCTACATACCGCTCCGAAGTAACAGTTAATGCGCGACCTCTGTCGTCCTCAAAAAATAAGGGCCTACGATGCCATGCGCTGACATAGCAGCCCAAACTGTCACTTTAGGGCTGTAAGGGCTTCTGATGCTTACGCCTTGGATTTTCGGGGCTCCAATAACGGCAATTTTGTTTATTTACATGCCCGTTTAAATGGAAGTGAGCCTCGTCCGAGAACAACACATTATTGAGCGAAGAAAATCGATTCAACATTTCATTCGCAAAGTTTAGTCTCTGAATAGCGTCATTATCTTTTAATTCCTGCACTAACTGAATTTTGTAAGCGTGCAGACGTAAATCTTTCCTTAAAATCCGCTGTAAAGATGTTCTACCCAGTGCGGTAGTGCACTGGAACGCTTACGAGTAGACTGGGTAGGATTTTGACGAACAGACTGTGCCACAATGTTGATGTTTTCTTCAATACGAGTTGTCCTTGGTCAACCCCACCGCTGTTTATCTAACGTCGAACCAGTCTCTTCGAACTTAGCAACCCAGTTCTTAATCGTTTGAGCTGTTGGACACTTTGTAAAATTGTGGTATTCTCGATATTTACGCCGCGCAATGGTTGCCGAATCATTATTTTGATAAAACGCGCGCACACAAAAAGCACGATCCGCTCCAGTGAAACACTCCATGGCGACTGAATTCCCAGACACTGAAGATACTGCCCCCAACTCGCCCGCGCCGCTCACGCTCACCCGTTAAATTTTATTCAAATTTGAAATTTCAAAGGACTTATGGACCACCCTGTACAATAAAAATACAAACGGTACTATAAAGTTTTGTAATGTGTCAACAAACGGACACGGGAGGCTGCATGTTGAGACTATGGAGAACGCTGAGAGGGAAAGAAGGCCGCGAACGTCAAACAGTAACTGCTCGGAGGAAAATGCTTGACGAAGCCCGGAGAGTGACATACCAGCAGATAGAGGAGACCTTACACCTTCATGCACCAGCAATTCATTTAATTCTGCATGACCATTTACACGTAAGGAAACTTTGTTCTCTCTGGGTACCGCATAGTCTGACAGACGACTTGGTGCCGAAAGACGCTAAAAATGTTTAATAAGGGACAATCTCGGTATGTGAACAGCAGCAAAATCCCGATCTGGGGGAACACGGATTTCTGTGCGATCCCACCACCTCCCCGGTCCAGGTACCCTCTCTATTTCCGGCCAAAGTGGCGGTACGTGGACTGGACACTCCTGTAACCTGTGTTCCTATGGTGGAAATTACTTTGAACGAAGTCAATAAGTAAAGCTGTATTGCAAAACTTTTATAGTACAGTTACAGAAAAAAAAAAATTTCATCAAACCGAAAAAAAAACATAAAAATGCTTACCTAATTTATCACGTTTATCCATGGACTTTCTCCCTATCGACTTAGCTGCAAGTTCAGTCTCTTTACTCTTTTTGTTCACTTCTGTCTTGACAGACTTATCTACAGACAAAAATACACATATCAAAAGACGATATGAATATTTTAACGAAATCTCTTACGTATTGAACTGATGCAGCTCTCAATATCATTTTCGTATTGCAGCTCGGCAGGATCTTTTTTGTAATCGGAAGGTAACTCCTCCACGCTCACCAGAGTGCATTCGCTGATTTCGTTTCTGGCAACTTTGAAAAGATCGTCCAGTTTGTCAATCACCGGATCAACTTCAAATCTGAAAAAATATACAGGGTGTAAACGTTACGGTAGTCATTATTGAAATGAGTAATAGGGGGGTAAAAAAGAGTCAAAAAGTTCATATGACCCATGGTCCAAAAGTCAATAGATTTTTGTCTAAATATTACTAATTTTTATAATCTAATCTAAAACGTTTTTAAATTGGGAAATTAACAAATAAATGGCATTAAGTTTTTCTAAGCTAAAATTTGTAGTCAGTAAGTTTCATTAAATTAAATATTTAAAACACACATGACAACAGCGCGTCGGTCATTCATCACTCTTATCGAACCGGCAATCAATCGCAAACGATAACAGTGGTCAGTTCGCGTACGTCGTCGTGTTTATTTACAATGTTCTCGAATCAAGAGTTCGCCGACATGTTAGTTTACGGTGAAGCTCGTCAGAATTCAAATCTTGCAGCTCAAATGTATCGCGACAGATTTCGCCAACGGGTTCACCCAAACAGAAGGGCATTTGTGCAAGTGTACCAAAGACTTCGAGATACAGGAAGTGTTCAGCCCACTAATATTCGCACTCGCGAAAGACAGGTTACTGTAGAGCAGGAGGAACAAATTTTAAATATCGTGGAAATCAATGCAGATATCAGCACTCGGGAATTAGGCCGCCGCGTAGGACTATCGCATACCATAGTCCAGAGCATTGATTCCCAAAGTGGTCTATATCGACCCCTAGGGGTCTATGACAACCTGCAAGGGGTCTACGTCAGCGAAAAAAAATTTGGGGGTCCATGAAATGAATATGGGGGTCCACGATAGTGGATCTCAACACATACACCGATAGTACCTATTTACTTACATCACAATATCTTATAATATCAAAACATCATTATTTATAAAAGTACCTATGAAGTAAAAAATTTATTATATATGTTTATAAAATTGTGTAAGTTGTAGGATGCTGGTATTCGCTTTGTGGTCGCAATACATTTTGAACTTGTAAAAACCTGAGAGTCGCAGTTTCATAGCTTCGCTACCTTGCACTGACTTGTTCAATTCGTCACTTTATAAATACGAATGTGGGACAAATACGTTTATTCGTTTCCTGAATCTTGAAAAGGAAAGTGCTAAGAAAATATTTTAAAAAATATAAACAGATAGTATATCACACAAATTATAGTGAGTCAGTGTTATTTTGTTTGAGAGTGCTGGAGAAAAGTAAGTACATTATTTTTTATTAAATTTTAGTTTTGTACTCGTAGATAAATTACGCCAATCATGACTTTAGTTATTAGTAGTTAAATATTCAATCATGCAAAATTACACGAGTACTCCTCAATAGTTTCTTTTTGAAAGTTTTAGCAATCGGTAATATAATTACAGTGCAATCTCCGTAATTCGAGCTAATTGTTGCAAGATGTTCGAATTATGGAATGTTTTCGGAAAAATCAAAAAATATTTTTAATATACAGCTGCTGGATTTTCTGTCTTATTTAAATAATTTAATTTTGCCCACAGATGACTGATGCCATGTCCGAATCTAAAAAGAAATGTAGACAGTACAGTGTTGATTATTTGAAATTTGGCTTCATTCCATCATTGCCGGACAAACAATCGCCTATGTGCCTTTTATGCAACAAAGTTTTGGGCAATGACGCTATGAAACCATCTAAACTGCAAGATCATCTGAGAAGATGCCACCCTGATAAAACAGAGAAAGATTTGAAATACTTTCAAACACTCAAAGATAAATTTCAGAAGAGACCTACACTGGACAGAACGTTCGCTTCGACGTCACAAAGAAATGATGATGGTTTGCGGGCGTCTTACAATATCTCGTTACTTATAGCAAAATGCGGAAAACCGCATACTATCGGAGAGAAGTTAATTTTGCCAGCCGTTGAAGAGGTTTTAAAAACTGTTTTACATAAACCTGCATGTGATATCATTAAAAGAATTCCCTTAAGCAACAATACTGTTGAAAGACGTATTGATGAAATGAGTTCTGATATTGAAAGCTTCTTATGTAATTATTTGCAAACGACCCATTTCTCTATACAACTGGACGAGTCAACTTTACCTGATAATGCGGCATTATTATTGGCATATGTTCGTTTTATTATGAATCAAGAAATCTACGAAGAACTGCTCTTCGCAAGAACTTTGATAACCGACACTAAAGGTAAATCAATATTTCATGTTTTGAAGGATTACTTCATTGAAAAAGCAATTCCTTTATCAAATATAATATCAGTAGCTACAGATGCAGCACCTGCCATCGTTTGACGTTATCGAGGATTTATAAGCTATTTAAAACAAAATGTGTCAGGGGTGTTAGCAATACATTGCGTCATCCATCGACAACATTTAGCTGCTAAAAATTTGAGTGTTAGATTGCATGAATCACTTCATTTAGTCATTGATGCAGTAAACCGAATCCGAAGCAACGCGTTGAATACGCGGTTATTTGCGCAGTTGTGTGAAGAAAATGACGAACACTTTCATCAATTACTCCTTCACACTGAAGTACGCTAGCTGTCGAAAGGCTTATGTTTGACAAGATTTTTTGCACTTTTTGAGACTATTTTAGAATTTCTGGATACTAAAGATAAAATTTTAAAAGAAAATTTAATGAAGAGGAAAACAGACATTGCCTACTAAACAGATTTGTTTACAAAATTTTATATGGTTAATTTGCAATTACAAGGAGACAGTTTAAATTTGATTAAAACAAAGTCCATCTTATCAGCGTTTCTTGCCAGAGTTAAACTAATGAAGCAAAATATTGGACGGGGCGAATTTTCTCAGTTCCCCAATTTGTCACAGACAAGCTGCTAGGAAGGCGACGTTTCAACTTACGTTCAACATTTAAATGCCCTTATTCAGATTTTGAATCTAGGTTTGAGGATATTTTGACTATGGTAATACCACCGTGGATAATTAATCCATATGGTGACATAGAAGAAACGAATGTCATAATACAAGAGGAACTGACTGAACTAAGTACAAACGAAGAACTTAAGGTTCAGTTTAAAAACGGATATCAGCAATTCTGGCTGCAAAACAACATACCCGTTACTTATCCCGTATTATGGAATTTCAAAAATTTCCAAAAAAAAAAAGAATTACTTTTATAGGGCTTCTCATAGTCTTTGTAGATATTCCAAAAAAATTGTTTATAATTATTCTACCGCATTTACTATATTGTTCAACTATCTTGTACACTGCCAATGAAGCTGTATTCACAAAAGTCCAGGAAAATAAAGCTATGAAAATAATGTTGTATAAAAATAAGTACACAAAAGTAAAAATCTATGTTAGTGGTTGAATGTTAAAAAATTTCATATTATATTTGGTTCTCATATTTATATTTAGAATAAAAAATCATCTTTGTCCACAACATTTACCACAATTTATACACGAGGAAATATAAAATTGTAATAGAAATATAACTAGCAAATCGATATTTCACAAAGGAATACTTGAATTTAATAAACTAAATTAATAATGATAAAAAATCCACTTGTAATTTAAAGATGTTTAAAAGAAAATTAAATGAATACTTCATGGATAGTAAAAATTCTTAGTGATGCAAGTTTTGTATTTTTAAATCTGTATGTTACGTAATTATTGCAGTATTTTAACAGAATGTAATTGTACAATCATGCTGAATAGATCTTAAACAACGACACTTTTTGGCTAAAAATAAAAATGCGATATTTACCTTATTGGATCGAGTCCCTTATTATCAATATTAGTCAAATAGCAAGGCACGTTCTGTACCTCTTCCAACTTAGTCAGCAGAGTCTTCAAATTCACTTTTCTAAAATCGGCTTCATCGCTAGCGATCACGACTTGCTTCAGCTTTTCGATGGACGAAGCTAGAGACGTATGAATTGTATCCAGATTTTTTGAAGAGTTGCTGATATCTTGGAAGTTCTTGAGTTCTTTTCGCAGGTTTTTTTCAACCGCCAGAAGCCTGGCGTGCAAGTTCATGAAATACGAACATATTTTCTTTTCGGCCGTTACCGCGTTGTAGCTGTAAAGATCCTTGATTCTCTACGAAAAAAAAAGTCCAAAAAATTATGTTGTTATTTTTTATACACGCATGTCAATAGGTGGCGCCGTAATAGTTGTTTAAAGCACATGTGTCCAATTCATCATTGAGCGCTACACGATCCCACAACGCGTCCGTATTGTTAAAACGTTTTACTTAACGAGTCGAGTTGGTGCGGAAAACTGAACAAACAGATGAAGTAGAAGACTTGCCAAGATCGAGCCGTGTTCGAACTGTTCGGAAGACATCGAGAGAGTTCGTGAAAGTGTAGTGGAGCGCCCTGAGACGTCTACCAGACATCGTTCTCAAGAACTGGGTATCCGCCGCAGGACATTATGCACTAACCTACGAATATTAAGCATTTTAAGTGCCAAAACCTGCGGATTGCCTCGGTTTTCGTCCATAAATTTTTTGCTATTAATCGGATCTTTTTGCGTAGATCACAAAAATACCTAAAAAGAGTTTTTTCGTTCCTGAAAACACTTTCAATTGAAACCCAAAAAACACATTTTCTCATTCTTTGTTGTTGAATAAAAAGTTTTCCCACAAGAATTGGTGTATCCATTTTATGCGTCCATGTTTTGAATACCCCCTTGAACATCAGCAATAAAACCAGACTTCACAATTATTTCGCAAACCAGGGGTATTTTCGTCTAATATGATTAAACTGTTGAGTGAAATGTCTGAAAAAATGTTCAAGTTTCACGGTTCGCAGCTTGGCCATTTTTGAAAATATGGGGTTGTCCAATCTGGCGATCTTGGGGGCCATTAAATGGCTCCTCTTCTACCAATCCATCGATCGTGTTAACGTGATTTTTTGCCAAACTTGTGTTCCCCTCGAAAACAAAATCGACGAGTCTGAGCGTTTTTCCAAAAAAAAACTGAGCTGCCAGTAAATGCGTCTGTTTCGTTTTCGATGCGCCACCCTGTATATTCCACATGTAGACTTAAAATCAGATATTTCATGGAAACATTATATTTTTTTTGAACAAGACTCATCTTAACCCAAGACATTCATTATGAAATTGTGGTATATTCCAAGTCGTTCTGTCGATTCCCAGATGTTTGATCTCAGGTACAGTATTTTTTCACAGTCACGTTCTCATGATGTTATTTTAAAAAAATAAAATTCCCAAGTGTCTATTAAAAATATAAATTATTTTCGCTATGCTTTGCAGTTTTTTCTATGATTTTTTTAAATCCGCTCAACTTGGTGGTCCACCCTGTACAAAACTTGGAAAGTACGATTCAGCGGTTTACGTGCCATCTAGGAAGAAATTCTCCATTTTCTTATGGAGGATCCTGTTTTTTCTCCATCTCAATTAATGCTACAACAGAAATAAATATAATAAACTCACCCTTTCAGAAATCATGAGTTGTTTCAAGATCGTCTCTGCATTCTGCTTGTATGTCTGAAGCTTCTCCATTTCATCGTCAGACTGAAAAAAGATGCTAAAAAGTTATAAAGTTCCTAAATATATATGAAAAAAAAGCACCTACCAACTTAGCAAGATCATCCTTCTCATGTCCCCCATGTTTCTCCAGAAAACAGTAACAACACGCGTCTTGTCGACAGTCCTTACAGAAGAATTCTACATCCATACCATGCTCTTCGCACTTTTCCAGGCAGGCACTGCATTCGTTCTTCAATTCTAGTGGATACTATAAGAAAAAAAAAATAAAAAGTCGAATAACTTCTGTATACCAAAAAAATTGTGTATAACACTATAATTCTTCCCCATTTTTTATATTGTTCAACCATCTTGTTTACAGCAAATGGAAACCTATTTTTAAAATTACAAATTCTACAAAGTAAAGCTAGCTATGAGAATCATTTTAAATAAAAACAAATACGCTAGGATTAAGTCCATGTTAGAAGAACTACAGTGGTTGAATGTTATTTAGTTCTCATTTTCATAGTCAAATTAAAATATCATTTATTATCATCTCATTTAGGAAACGTCACAAAATTAAATAGCCATTATCATAAGTACAAAACTGGAGGCAGTATAGATTTTAATTTGCAAAATTGTAATAGTAGCACAACTATGAAATCTGTATTTCAAAAGGGAGTATTTAAATTGAATAACGAAATTGAACAGTGTTCGAATTTAAAAAATGTTTAAGGTGAAATTAAAAAATCTCGATGAATACTCAAAATGCACAGTGATGTAATTTTAATAAACAAGAATGTAAAATTACAGAAAATGGATTAAAAAAAATGTGTAAACGAATAATTGTACAAAACTGTAGCATTAATGCTAAATAAATCTTCAACAAACAAACAAAATCAAGAATTAGACTGACGAAAAATATTATGTTATAAAAATATTACCTGTTCATGTCCCCACAAAGATTTGCCACTCTTGTGAATCGTAACCGAGCAATCTGCACAATACACATCATTGCAATCTTTGCACCTGAGTTTTGCTGGTTTGGTACAGGAATAGAATGCACATATTTCTAAAACAGAAAAATCAATAGACATAATAATAATGCTTAAAGTCACAATAAAATAAGAAGCAAATAAATGGTAAAATCCACAAACCTAAAACCTTATTTTTGTGCAAAAAATAAAATAATATAAAAATAATTATTATCAATTATTTTTTCTATCTAATAACTGCGATTTTTGATCTGCGAGTAGCCACAAAACTAAAACCTTGTTTCTGTGCTAAAAATAAAATAATATAAATATATTATAAATATTTTTTCTATCTAATAACTGCGAGTTTTGATCTGCGAGTAGCCACAAAACTAAAACCTTGTTTTTATGCTAAAAATAAAATAATATAAAAATAATTATTATAAATATTTTTTCTATCTAATAACTGCGATTTTTAATCTGCAAGTAGCCACTCCTTAAGCTTATTTTGAACAAGAACACAACCTTATTTCTCAAAAAAACTGTTAAAAATACTTTACTGTTACATGCAACAAACTGGTAACATTTTTTGCATAATTTATAAAACTTACGTATATTAGGAGCAACTGCTTCCTTAAATGCAATTTGCTGTTGCTCTACAGGCACCAGTCCTATAGAGGTTCCTCGATGTTGAATACCCTTGCATCTGGAATATTTACCAGTTTTTTTATCACTAAATAAGGATTGTAAAGCAATCTGTACGTCAATTTTATCACATATGGTAATGGGCAAAAGTATATAGACAAGTTAATATTGTGCTATATTTCTTTTTTTAAGTTGTTTTATTAATACACCAACCTGTATACATAACTCGTTATAGCATAATACTCACTTATACATAAATAAATTCAATAAAAAATTAATTGAAAAAACTGGAAGTATGAAGGACAAAAATATATAGACAAAGCAAAACAATTATAAAAAAAAAGAAGCAAAGTTCATTGAATTATAGAAAACCAACCATGTTTGTGTTAATATTTTGTAGCATAACCATTACACTGATCAACAGCCAAAAAATATCCTAAATAAAATCAACAAAATATTACTATTTTTAATGTGCTAAAACCGGAATGAAACTTATTTTTTCAATATTAGTTCAAGTTTTAGAGATACGGTAATTATATGTGTTCCTGCTGTGACAGTGTTAATATACTGTAATTCACAAGAATGCACCTGCTACATTTTTATATTCGGCAAGGAAAGATGATGTAATCGGCATGATTGTGTTACGTTATACATACGTGTACATTATATTGTTTTGTATTAGCCATTTTTTCCTCAGTTGGCTGACAGCGTTCATGCAAGATGTCTCGAAAGTGTGTAAACAATCCAGATCAGTTTTGTTACGTGTGTGGTGATGTGACTTTTGCGTCTCAGAGACGGTCTATTACTCCAGTAATAACATAGGCATATCAGCTTTATTTCGGTTGAAAAGTAGGTGATCAAGACAAACAGTGGGCACCCCACATCTGCTGTAATACATGTGCTTCAAGTCTGAGGAGCTGGTTAAATGGCAAAAAACGGTCTATGCGCTTTGCTGTCCCAATGGTTTGGAGAGAGCCTACAAATCATATTAATGATTGTTACTTTTGCATGGTACCTTGTGTTGGACAAGCCACACGTATGTCCAAGAAAAAAAAATCGGTTATTAACTACCCAAACATACCATCTGCGATGAGACCTGTGCCTCACAGTGACGAAAATCCTATTCCAAAACCTCCAGAATCCTACACTTGCGAATCAGAAAACGAATCAGATCATGGAGATCGAGTGATTCGTCAGGAAGAAGATATGCCATCAACGTCAAGAGATCCTGATTTTATACCGAGCACGTCATGCCACCAACCGCACAAAATAACACAGTCAGAATTAAATGATCTTGTAAGAGATTTAGAACTTCCAAAATGTAAGGCAGGGTTACTTGGATCAAGACTGCAGCAGTGGAACTTGTCAGAAGACGATGTTTCGGTATGTGTTTTTCGTAAACGCCACAAAGACTTAGAACCATTTTTCAATATGGAGAATAACTTGGTTTTCTGCAGTAACATTAACGGCTTACTGGCGGCTTTAAATATAAACTATAACCCAGAAGAATGGAGATTGTTTATAGACAGTTCAACATTGAGCTTAAAGGCAGTGTTATTGCATATTGGAAATATTTTACCATCTCTTCCTGTAGGGTGTGCAGTTCACATGAAAGAATCATATGACAATATGAAGTACCTATTGACATGCATAAAATACGATGAGCACCAATGGCATATTTGTGGCGATTTGAAAGTTGTTGCACTTTTACTTGTGCTGCAGCTAGGCTACACAAAGTTTTGCTGTTTTTTGTGTGAATGGGACAGTCGGGCAAAGGCACTTCATTACACCAGACAAAACTGGCTTGTTCGTCAATTCCTAGAGCCAGGTCAAAAAAATGTACAGCATATGCCATTAGTAGATTCGAAAAAAATTTTATTACCACCACTGCATATCAAGTTGGGCCTAATGAAAAACTTTGTCAAGGCATTAGATAGAGATGGGTCAGCTTTTCAATACCTGCGTCAGAAATTTCCAAGACCAAGTGAGGCAAAGGTTAAAGAAGGTATTTTTGTTGGGCCACAGATTCGAAATATTTTGATAGATACACAGTTTGAAAACACTTTAACAGGTCTTGAAAAAACTGCTTGGAATGATTTCCGTCTGGTGGTCACTAATTTCTTGGGAAATAGAAAAGCTGACAACTATAAAACCCTTGTCAAAAATATGCTGTCATCGTATCAAAAGATGGGCTGTAATATGTCTCTTAACATACATTTCCTACACTCACACCTGGACTTTTTTCCTGACAATTGCGGAGCCGTAAGTGATGAGCACGGCGAACGTTTTCATCAGGATATTTCAACAATGGAAAAAAGGAACCAGGGAAAGTGGAATCCTTCCATGCTTGCAGACTACTGTTGGACTCTTGGTAGAGATGCTCCAGAAACGATCCATAAAAGAACAGCAAAAAGACAGCGCATATAGTGATTCTTATAAGTATATGAATCTTGTTACTTTTTTTAATATATCCTTAAAAATAAAAAGTTTTTTTCTAAATCGCAACTAATTTTTTTATTTCATTGTCATTTTTGGATTCAGCGCCCCAAAATTAACAAAGAAGAGCACTTTTCCCACAAGATACAATTAAAAAACTAAAATTTGTTGTCCAGTGATTATCAATCACCGCCTGGCATCGTCTCGGCATAGATTGTAGAAGTTTCTTGATATATGATTCATCAATCTGTCTCCACTTTTTCTCTAAAGCGGCAAAAAGTTCATCCTTGTTTGAATAATTTTAATCTCGTATTTGCTTATCTAAGTATTCCTATAGATTTTCAATGGGGTTTATATCAAGAGGCTGTAAAGGCCATTTGAGAACTGGTATTTTTTCATCCAGAAAGAATTTCTTTGCGAGATTAGAAGTGTGCCTCGGGTCATTATCTTGCTGGAAGATTTATCTTAAGGGCATATTGTCTTCCATATAGGGTAACATGACATGTCTGTGTATACAAACTTATCCATAATGTCATCTATTCTATGTAAAGGACCCATCTCAAACTCCGAAAAGCACCCCCAAACCTTGACAACGTTTGACAGTGGGCAAAGTGTACTTGGGGTTCAATCTCTTTGTCCACTAGGACGTCCAACGTAATGAACACCATCTGATCCAAACATATTGAACTTGGATTCGTCACTGAAACATACCCTCTTCCAGTCACAGATGCTCCAATCAAGATGCAACCGTGCAAATTGTAATCGGTGCTTACGGTTTTTCCTCGAGATTAGCGGCTTCTTATTCTTACGTGCAAATAACTTTAAATCATTTAATCTTCTACTTATAGTTTTTGTAGAAACACTGGCAATTCCTTTTGTCTCGATTTCGGCTTTTATTTGTCTTGGGGTTTTAAACGGATGTCTGGACAAAATTACTTTTATTAATCTAACTGATCTAGCATTTAGTTTTCTAGGCCGACCACTTCTCTTAGAGGCTTCCAAGATACCTTTTTATTTATATTTGCTCAATATTGCCCAAACTGCTTTACGCTTCAGCTTCAAATTTTTGGCAATGTCGACTTGACGTTGACCATCTTTCTATAAGTCAATGATCCTAGTTTTCACATCGAAAGAAATTTCTGGACCTCGCGGTATGGTCTTAAAATCACTCAACTTATTCCACAATTCTTGATGAACACAAACTAATCCTCTTCTGACACGAAACTGTACTAAACTAATGTTGAAAAGAATGTGTCTACATATTTTTGTCCCTCATAAAAAAGTGCTGATATTCATACTTGTATTGTGTTTATCGCAGATAATGTAAAAACAAGGAATTTAGTTTTTCTACTAATAACGCATTTGTTTATGGAGCAATGAAGTATGAATTCGTTTTCTAAAGGTATTTAGGTAAATATTCATATTTGTCTATATACTTTTGTCCATTGCTGTACATGAAAAAAAGGGGTAAGCCAATTTTGGGACCGCAGCCAATATTCAAGAATGGTGTATACTATTTATTCATCATATACTAGCTTTCTGTCCCACAGTTTAAAAGTAATCTCATTCCTCAAGCATGCAAGTTGGCTGTCAATTTAATAATGTAATCAAAGAAGCAAAACGTGATCAAAAGTTCATCGCATACAAAATAAAGCCTACTATCACGCTATCATCTGTAAAAGAAGTATATTTCAGTCTCCTATTATTTCAAATGCCTTCGTACCTCGCTACTGCAAATATTCCAAGAGTGCAACAGTTGACAGGAAAGACCTCTTGTAGATCTTCAATCAATCTTCTATCAGCCAACACGGATGGATTATGGCACAAAGGGCAGACTATCTTCTCGTTAAGAGCCATATGGTGGATGCACTCTTGACATGTGGTATGCTTGCAGTTTAAGATCAGCGGTACTCTGCCAACCAACTGGTTTGATCGATCTAAAAAGATATTGAAGAAAAATATGATTCTTGTCTAGAGTCTAGTCTAGCACTAAAAATAATTACAATTTATTTCTCATATTGTTTGTTCAATGATATGCATTTTTTCACTGTAGAAGGATGGTGTTATGTTTTAAAAAATCAAAAGAAGTACCATTACGTATTTTAGCAATAAAACCAACACTTACTCATAAATTCAAATGGTTTATTACACCCAGGGCAAACGTACATTCTGGAATCAACATCTGTATTTGTCAAATCAGATGCAGAGCTATTAGATCTGCTTGAAGCCCTTTTGTCCTGATTTCTAGGTCTTGTTGCCTCTTGAAAACCTGGTACGAAGTTTCTGTCTCTTCCACCTCTTATAGGAGTTCTTGCATCCCTGAATCATATTAAATTGGGTTGCACATAGTATTTAAAAGTAATAAAATCTATCAAATTTTTTATTCTAAACTATTCTTGCTATTCAAAACAATCATCACAGCTAAACAGACAACTAAATTCATATAAACGAAAAACAACAAAACATGTTATTTTATTTCCTTAATTCAGAAATTAAACCCCCTCCCCCCTACACATGAATAATGATTTTGTTTACGGCAAATCAAAAAATGTTTTCAAGATTACAGATTCCACAAAATAAAGATATGATAATCATTTTAAGGAAAAATAAATATGCTAAGAATTACAGTGGTTGTTATTTAGTTCTCATTTTCATATTGAAATTAAAAGATTATTTCATTATTACCACCAAATTTAGAAAACTTGATAAAACTAAATAGTTATTATCATAACTATACTAAGTGACATATAAATCCGAACACCCAGTTTAAATGGTTTTATTTTAATAAAATTTTGTATAAGTACTTAATGAAGCATAATAAGTAAATGATAAAAATTTCAAAATGATTGCACTGCTTTAAAGCCCTTCGACCTTTAATAATGTGTGGATGCACCCTGATGTGCTACGCATTCTCCAACGCGCCTAGGCATGCTTCTGATCAGGTGGTCAATGTCCTCCTGTGGTATCTCATTCCAGGCAACCACCAACTCCTCTCGAAGTGCTTCTAGAGTCTGAGGAGGACGTTGCAAATTGAGCAATCTCCTACTCATCATATCCCACACGTGCTCAATTGGGGATAAGTCGGGAGATCTTGGTGGCCATGGTAACAATGTGACATCATTATGTTGAAAGAAGTCTATTGTGACTCTTGCAACATGTGGTCGGGAATTATCTTGTTGGAAAGTTGGATCTGCCAGGGTGTCAAGATAGGGTAAAAGATGGGGTTCTAGAACTTCGTGGATATAACGCTGCGCGTTCATGTTACCTCTGATGAAGATTAAAGGTGACCTGGAACCATAAGCTATAGCACGCCAAACCATAACTCCAACGAATGAAAAGTTTTGGCTTGTTTTCATACCGGCCACACTGGGTCCTCCCTTTAACTCGAGAACACCGACGTAATCGCCTTGAGTGGTGCAGACAACGGTCACTCTGGGATCAGGAATGGAACAGTATTGTCTTTAGTGACGAGTCTCGATTTTGTTTAGGCATGCACGATGGTCATGCCAGGGTTATAAGGCGACGTGGTGAAAGGAGGAATCCACAGTTTTTTGTTGAAAGACATGTTCATCACACTGTTGGAGTTATGGTTTGGGATGCTATAGCTTATGGCTCCAGGTCTCCTTTAATCTTCATCAGACGTAACATGAACGCGCAGCGTTATATCCACGAAGTTCTAGAACCCCATCTTTTACCCTATCTTGACACCCTGGCAGATCCAACTTTCCAACAAGATAATGCCCGACCACATGTTGCAAGAGTCATAATAGACTTCTTTCAACATAATGATGTCACATTGTTACCATGGCCACCAAGATCTCCCGACTTATCCCCAATTGAGCACGTGTGGGATATGATGGGTAGGAGATTGCTCAATTTGTAACGTCCTCCTCCTTAAAGCAGTGCAATCATTTTGAAATTTTTATCATTTACTTATTATGCTTCATTAAGTACTCATACAAAATTTTATTAAAATAAAACCATTTAAACTGGCTGTTCGGATTTATATGTCACTTAGTATACAAAACTACAGGAAACATAGATTTTCACCTACAAAAGTGTAATAGTAGCATGACTAGCTAATCTGTATTTCAAAAGAGAGAATTTGAATATAATAAATTGAATAAGAATATTAAACAGTGTTCAAAGTAAAATTAAGTTATTATTATTAACATTAATGTTAAATTAATATTCAACAAACAAAATGTGTGGCTATGGAGTTTTAAGCTTTATCTTATTTTCAGTATTATAAGTTATGTCATTGCAAATGTTTGCGTCTACCACACAACAGGGCCATCAGTAGAGTGTATTCATTTTGCATTTTTCACTTAAAATGATATTTACTAAGTAACTCAAATTGCTGACTGCATTTATAAACATATAAAGATAGATTTTAGAAAATCAAAATCTGTGAATTTTGTAGTAATGTGTCTCAATAACTTTTTCATTTACTACAAAGTATATATCAACTTTTTTTAATTATGATTTTCTTAGGAAAAATTATGGACAATAATTTAAAATGTAATTCCAAAAACTAAACACTTCAGCAGTTTCCTAAATGCAAAATATCTATACATAATTTATCACACACTTATTTCTTATGGAATCTTATTGGAATCATGAATAATTATAAAAAGATCTAAATTGCTCATCAGAAATGGATATTAAAAATTATGTTCAACAAAAATAAATTATATGCAACAGAAAAGAAAATCTTTATAGTGAATCAATACCCAGATTAAATAAAAGCTCAAGTCAATGATCATTTTATTTTCTAGGTCTAAAATATTATTCTACCAAATTTAAAACATATATAACTAGGATGACCATATGTACTTTTTTAGTAGGACAGTATCTTGTTTACATACATGTATATATATATACACTAAGTGACATATAAATCCGAACACCCAGTTTAAATGGTTTTATTTTAATAAAAGTTGGTGAATGTATTTATCTTACTGTAAATAACAAGTGAAAAAATTTGAACATTCCGGTTTTTATACTGCTTTTTTTTAATCCACTAACGCTCTAAAAATGAATATTTCAGCCGCAGTAAAGAATAAACGTTGGCGGATTTTGGTTCTTGACATCCTTTACGATCGGTTACGATGCCTAGAGTACGGATACCTGTACGATTTCGTCAACTTAGTGAGTTTGATAGGGGCCCTATAGTGGGACTTCGGGAAGCTGGACTTTCTTTTCGGGCAATTGCAGTTAGAGTGCAAAGAAGTGTAGACACTGTGGTTAGGTGTTGTCAGACATGGCTTCGAGAAGGCCGTACGCAAAGAGCAAGAGGCACTGGACGCAGCCGTAGAACAACAGACCGTGAAGATCGCCGCCTAAGATTATTGGCCTTAAGGGACCGTTTCTCCACTACCAGGTCCATTGCAAATGAATGGTTTGCAGAACACGGAAGGCCTATTGGCATGCGAAGTGTTTACCGACGAATGAGAAGTTTTGGCTTGTTTTCATACCGGCCACACTGGGTCCTCCCTTTAACTCGAGAACACCGACGTAATCGCCTTGAGTGGTGCAGACAATGGTCACTCTGGGATCAGGAATGGAACAGTATTGTCTTTAGTGACGAGTCTCGATTTTGTTTAGGCATGCACGATTGTCGTGCCAGGGTTAGAAGGCGACGTGGTGAAAGGAGGAATCCACAGTTTTTTGTTGAAAGACATGTTCATCACACTGTTGGAGTTATGGTTTGGGGTGCTATAGCTTAAGGTCACCTTTAATCTTCATCAGAGGTAACATGAACGCGCAGCGTTATATCCACGAAGTTCTAGAACCCCATCTTTTACCCTATCTTTACACCCTGGCAGATCCAACTTTCCAACAAGATAATGCCCGACCACATGTTGCAAGAGTCACAATAGACTTCTTTCAACATAATGATGTCACATTGTTACCATGGCCACCAAGATCTCCCGACTTATCCCCAATTGAGCACATGTGGGATATGATGGGTAGGAGATTGCTCAATTTGCAACGTCCTCCTCAGACTCTAGAAGCACTTCGAGAGGAGTTGGTGGTTGCTTGGAATGAGATACCACAGGAGGACATTGACTACCTGATCAGAAGCATGCCTAAGCGCGTTGGAGAATACGTAGCACATCAGGGTGCATCCACACATTATTAAGGGTCAAAGGGCTTTAAAGCAGTGCAATCATTTTGAAATTTTTATCATTTACTTATTATGCTTCATTATGCACTTATACAAAATTTTATTAAAATAAAACGATTTAAACTGGGTCTTCGGATTTATATGTCACTTAGTATACATATATATATATATATATATATATATATATAAATAATAGAGACAAATATTTCTACTAAAGATCAATGGCTCGAAGTTTTCCTAACAGAAAATGCATTTATGTGAGTTTGTGTTTTGTCTGCCTGGGACCAATGCATCAATTGAGAGGTTATTCTCAAATGTTAATAACTATGGGAGTTCTAAAAACTCGCAGTTGAAGACATCTACTCTGGAACCCACCATGCATTTCTACACAAACTTTAATGATACTTGCATTGAAATGTTTAATTTTATAAAGGGTAAGCCACAATCTTTAAAGGCAATCTAGAGTTCCCAAAAGTATGACTGGTACCAAAATGAAGATCTGAATGGTCAAGCTAGCACGTCAAAGGAAAATTAACCTTTAAATATTTACATACATATTTTTTTTTAAATCTTTTGTTATATTGCTGCTGCAAGCATAAATACCTTTATTTTGTTAGATTAAAAATGTGATAGATTTAAACAAAAAACTGCTCTTCGTATCAGTGGTGATTTTACTTAAAAGTGTACTTTTTTTTTTGTTTGAAAATTATGGTCACCCTATTCATACATAAATTTTCATCAAAAATCATCATGTTCCATGACTAAATTATTATTATCACTAAAGATGGCCAAATTCCACATTTGACCAAAACATACAATCTTTTTAAAATATTTCAACTTTGATACATACAAGTTTGGGTATGTTTATTGGTAGATCCTCAGGTTATTCGTATTACATTTTGAAGTTTAACCAATAAAAATATTATTACAAGAAGTCATAGCTAAAACAAGTATATTTGAATATTCTCACCTCTGATACGAGACTGGCTCCCTAGGAAGTATTTTCTCTCTCCTGTTGTCACCATAATGCCTATGATCCCTATGCAGGTTATAGTCTCTGCTCCTTTGGTTGGGATTCCCCATTTGATTTGGGGCATTCTGGTACATCATCTGCGGAGGAATCATACTCGAGTGCCTCCCAAAATCGCCGCTATTCCCAGACGTTGTCGGATAATCGTAAAACGAAGGCAACGATTGCATTTGCAAATCGTAATCATTGTCGAACAATGGCCGATTCATCGAATGGCTTGGGTTTTTGTTATGCCGACTCGGTATCTTCTTATGTCTGTCTCCGTACATCTTCAATTCCTCATGTAAGCAGAATTTCCGAAATCACTGCCAGAGCGTTTGCGAAAAGACGCTAAAAACAAAAATTGGTAAACATGGAGATAAGCGGTTCATGTCATGCTGAAAAGATACCTCTATCTTTGGGATAAAGTTGAAAGTTTTTTCGCAATGTGTTTGATTAAGTGAAATTTAGGTGAAAAGTGAAAACTATTGATGAAAATACCCACCAAAGCCGATAACCGGAAAAGAAAATTCGATGCGCAGAACAAGAACGAGAAAAAACAACAAAATCACAAAACAATTAATTTGAGGATTTGAGCTGGGAGCATGGAGAATAGACGACGTAAGCTAAAATCATAAGACAGTATATCTATACGCCATCTTGATTCCAACAGGCCACCTTAGTCATTTTGTCCATCTTTCCTCCTAAACATTCTTCAAGTTTAGTGTTACCTGAACCGCTTTCCAGTGCCGTTACTTGGAGTAACTCGGAGCTATCCACCACCTGTCAATACCGTTCCAGTGCTCCAGAGTGTCATGAACATTTTGGAAATCCTCTAATGCACCAGCTTTTTATTCGGTGTCATACGTTCGGAAATATATCCTATTTCATCAGTATCTATCGCGGTAGAATTACAGCTGATTATCTAGTGATATCTTAAAATTCCCCATATCGGCACAGGACACATAATTCTGACGGATTCGTCAACTCCAAGTGTTCAGAGCCGTATTTTGTTTTGGCTTTTTGTACGACACGGATTGATTTTGTATTTGCTAACAGCACTTTTATTTAGAAAAGTTCATTTGCATACAAAAAACAAAACGCCACAAACTAGTTTTACCAGATTTATACTCGATTCAACGTCGTTGTGTTGAGTAACACAAAATTAATCAAATCCAAGCGAATAACCAAAATTTCTGTGTTATGTGCCGCGGTTATAATATGGTTCAAGATGACACACGGGTTGATGACGTCAGTTACACGAATCGCTTGAACGCGTTGGTTTTAACCGCGGTTTTGTTGCAAGTTGTTTATTTTAGAAAAGCGCGTATATAATCTCTGATTATTTTTATTATCACTTAATAATCGGTGCTTTTTCGTCTACAACTGTATATGGAAAGTTTAAATAAGAAACCTTTCATAATATTCATGGGAGAAATGTTTTGTTCAGATTTTTTTTTTAATGATGGAACCATGGCTTTGTAGCTATGATAACTTTCAATTCTCTAAATTTTTCCGCATGTCAAAGAAAACATTTATTGATTTAGCAGAAATGATGAAAAAAGAAATTAGCAAAACCGTATACAGGTGGATATCATCTAGTGAGTTTATATGGCCATATTTTAATATTCTTGTGGTATGTGGCTACACAGGATACTTTGTTAAGCATAGGAACTACATTTAAAGTGTCCCCAACAACCGTAATGAGTATAACTAATAAGGTGCTCTACTTTATGGTAAAACTGGAGTCAGCCTGTATCATTTTTCTCAAAAATGAAGCTGAAGTACAATAACAATATCCAATACCCGGCAAAATTCTAACTTGTCACATTTCAAATAATAACCAGAAATATAAAACTACTCTTGAGTTGGGTAAATACCACAATTTTGCGGTGATGACTATGACATATAACAGCTGATTCGAGACGTCACGGATCTTATAACCAAACTGATAACTACACTCGCTTGAACGGATTGGTAAATACCAACCCAAAATGGTAAATACCATTTCCATTTGGTTATCCGCTTGAATTTGATTAATGTAACTTGCAGATTAGCTGTTCACCTCAGTAGATGTCAAAGCGTGATGGATACTCGCGAAGTAGGGTATAGGGTGACCTTCTCTGATTGGCAGTCACATCCATGAAACAAAATGGCGGATAAAAATACGTCTCTTCTGTTTAACGAAGATGCTCCATCTAAGCCATGCTCTGTGATTGACCAATTAAAAGCGATTGCAGCGTTGCCGGACATCCTTTTTGAAACAGTAAAAAGCCCATTGTGATAGAATATTTATATTATATAAAAAATATAATTCAAAATAGTCAAAAATGATTAGCATACAATAATGGTATTTATGTTTCAACTTCCGTAAAATTGCAGTCTGTGGGACGGTAAATCTGTAAATGGTTGAACTTTGGCTTAATTATCACCAAAATATTTCAAACCATGGGTATGTTAAACATTGACACTATCTTTATACCATTTACAGGTTATAATACCATAGGTCAAAATATCACACGTTTTCATTCATAGAACATTTGATTCGATTGCATCATGCGTTTTTCTAACTCCTGAAACACATAAAAAATTAAGTGAGATTAGCTTCTTTTTTCTTCTGCAATCTCAAACATTTTCTGCAAGAATCCTTCGTTGGATTCCAGCACCTTGAATGATAACAACTTCCGCATCTGCTGCATCTTGCCACCGATTTCAATTGCCAGGGAAAGATTATTTCATCTTTATTGCATATCTCGCAAATAAACCCTCTACCCAAACAAATCTGCAAGAAAAGTATCAGAATAACCCACTGCAATCAATCAACAGAATCCTGTAAAACGAAAGATAATTCAAATTATAAAAATGGCGTCAAGTATACGCTATTTTACGAATACCCGTCTTGGTAGAATGACAGCTGGTTATCTAGTAATACTTCAAAATTCCCCATATCGACACAGGACACATAATTCTGACGGATCCGTCAACGCCAGGTAGACAAAGCCGTATTTTGTTTTGGTTTTTTGTACGGTACAGATTCATTTTATACTTGCTAACAGCTCTTTTATTGAGAAAAGTTCATTAGCACACAAAAAAGAAAACGCTACAAACAAGTTTTACTAGATTTATACCTGATTTATTATTGCCAATCGAATTGAAACAGGGTATAGGGTGACCTCCCACGCAACGTTGTCCCCAGTTCATTTTTAAAAATATAGGGAGTCCACTGGGAAAATTCACTTTTTTATTTGAGAAAAAACTACAAACTTAATAAAAAGAAAATATTATATTTATTACTATCAACATATCCGTAAATTTGAACTCTCCCACTTGACATCCTAATATCCAAAAATCATATCTCATTTTGATAGTGTGTCGAGATTGATACTTCTCTGCCAATGGAGTGGGAAGTAAAATAGAATTTCCATAATTTACTCTCACAAATTCAGATTACTTTGTAAGTTAAATTTAAGAATCATACATTTTTTATACCATCAATATATGTACCAAGTCATATTCAATTTCTCCAAATTGCTGGAGATAATATTGCACAATAGAATTTACTCTGCAGTTCATAGATCTCCGTCCCATTTCCTGAATGGGTTTCTTAATAAGACAGCAAGTCAGATATTGTCGATTTACTAGCTTGGAAAGCATGTTGCTTATCTGTCAGTAAGTTGAACTTATTTAGGAAGTCAAAAACTTTTTGTGGCCTGTAATTGGTTAAATCGTGCGGTGACCCCTTTTTTAAGACGGGAATACCAACCGAGAGAGATTGAGGGAAAACCACCAATAGTGAAAGATAAATTAACATATACAGGGTGACTTTGAAGTTGAGTCATTAATTTTCAGATAATGATTGTAGAAGGAAGATAAACCAAAATATGTGTGTAAAAATAAAAAAAAAAAATTGAAAAAAAAAAATTTACCTTGTTTTATAAAGTATCCTCCCGACAAGTATTTCAGTGCGGACCTGTATTTGATCGTGAGGTCTTGGAGCACCGGCATGCCGTCCATATGTGAGGTCTTAAGTCAAATGATTCACGAACCCGTTGTACTTACATTAACAAAGGCATGAGGGGTTGGTTGCACTCGATTGGGAAACCGATCCGCATAAACATGTGCCATTTTTTATTTCTTTTGAACCGCGCAACAGACACCACTATCCACTACCGACTGACACTGACTGTTTACAACTGAATGAAATAATTGTAAAAACATCGTTCCAAATTCTTTCGCTTTTTTGTTTCCGATGCGATGAACCGATAAGGCGAATTCTATCCGTTGTCGCCAAACACGAGCACATAATATTATTATTGAGACAGGGCAGTACTCAAACTTCCAAAGGGCTATAACTTTGTTACTTTAATGTTACCAGAAAAATGGTAAAGGAAAAAAACATTTCTTTTGATCAGATCTACTCACTGTTAAAATAAATGACTCAACTTCGAAGTCACCCTGTATAGTATAACGATATTCAGCTAAATTTCACCTTGCACTCCACTGTGTGCTTGCAACATGTTTGAAAAAGCAATCCCAACTGTTCTTTCATAACGCCTGTTTTGACGTTCATCAGATCATTCAAGGAATACACTCCAGGATCTGTCAAAAGGTACGACCTTTCCTGCTCGAGTCTTTCTTTAATGCTACAACCAAATAAAAGTAGTAACTTGTATGTGACTTTGCGATTGCAGCACTTACTTTTCCGCATATTTACAAGAAAATATAAAGTCCTTCAAGTAATACAACGCTTGCCTGTATTGGTTGCAAATCAAGAGGTGTTTTGACATTTTCGTAATATTTTTATTCAGCTCCAGCACGTGAAACAGCGGATCTGTATACATCTGCTCTAATAGACGGTAAGAAAACGTCGACACAGGATATCTGAAAAACAAAGTATTCCATGTTGTTTTAATATATTGTTTCAGCTGATTATTAAATTGCAAAAAGCGTTAATGTGATAAATAATCTGAAATTACCTCCTGAAGTCCCATTTTTGTAAAACTTTCCCAGGTATAAGTGCCAGCTGATTAGTATGACATCCTGTACAGAAATACCGACCCAAATATTCGCAGTACCGAAATTTCACCGCGTATTTCGCAGAAACTTTCATACTGCAACCTGCACATCTGTAATTTTGGTTTGCGATCAGATCCTTCCTTCTGAAAACAAAATACGGATATTCGTTGTCGCATCACAACAGTTTGATCTCTACATAATCCAAAAATCAATCGAAACAAATTCTACCAATCAAAAGTTTTTTATAAAGTAATGAGTCTAAGAATATAGTCGATTTTTTCTGAATCATCTCTCGTGTATGCTCATATTTTAAAAATTCCTTAGCTGAGATGGCTGGTCTTGTAATTCGAGTGCAGCACGATTTACCTTGGACGAGGATGTGGGGTAAAAATGATCTGCGGCCTCGGTGGGGCCCACTCGAGAGTTCCTCTCAAAGGTGTTGTATTTTCCTCGCCGCTGTCGGGGCTTACCGGCCAACTTTTCGGTAGAGGAAGTAAGGCTTGAGGTGCGTCTTCTTCGGAAACTAGCCATTCAACATCCGAGGCCCTAAAGATTATTAACACCTTAAAAGTTCTATAAATAACGTGCAATAAAATATAGGGTAGTCTATTAAAAAACATATGTTTGCTTTGGAACGTTGTTATGGACCACCCTGTATGTATTAAAATATACACTAGTAACATATACTAAGTGACATATAAATCCGAACACCCAGTTTAAATGGTTTTGTTTTAATAAAATTTTGTATAAGTACTTAATGAAGCATAATAAGTAAATGATAAAAAATTGAAAATGATTGCGCTGCTTTAAAGCCCTTTGACCTTTAATAATGTGTGGATGCACCCTGATGTGCTAGCATTCTCCAACGCGCCTAGACATGCTTCTGATCAGGTGGTCAATGTCCTTCTGTGGTATCTCATTCCAGGCAACCACCAACTCCTCTCGAAGTGCTTCTAGAGTCTGAGGAGGACGTTGCAAATTGAGCAATCTCCTACCCATCATATCCCACACGTGCTCAATTGGGGATAAGTCGGGAGATCTTGGTGGCCATGGTAACAATGTGACATCATTATGTTGAAAGAAGTCTATTGTGACTCTTGCAACATGTGGTCGGGCATTATCTTGTTGGAAAGTTGGATCTGCCACGGTGTCAAGATAGGGTAAAAGATGGGGTTCTAGAACTTCGTAGATATAACGCTGCGCGTTCAAGTTACCTCTGATGAAGATTAAAGATGACCTGGAACCATAAGCTGTAGCACCCCAAACCATAACTCCAACCACCACGTCGCCTTCTAACCCTGGCACGACCATCGTGCATGCCTAAACAAAATCGAGACTCGTCACTAAAGACAATACTGTTCCATTCCTGATCCCAGAGAGACCGTTGTCTGCACCACACAAGGCGATTACGTCGGTGTTCTCGAGGGGGACCCAGTGTGGCCGGTATGAAAACAAGCCAAAACTTCTCATTCGTCGGTAAACACTTCGCATGCCAATAGGTCTTCCGTGTTCTGCAAACCATTCATTTGCAATGGACCTGGTAGTGGAGAAACGGTCCCTTAAGGCTAATAATCTTAGGCGGCGATCTTCACGGTCTGTTGTTCTACGGCGGCGTCCAGTGCCCCTTGCTCTTTGCGTACGGCCTTCTCGAAGCCATGCCTGACAACACCTAACCACAGTGTCTACACTTCTTTGCACTCTAACTGCAATTGCCCGAAAAGAAAGTCCAGCTCCCGAAGTCCCACTACACGGCCCCTATCAAACTCACTAAGTTGACGAAATCGTACAGGTCTCCGTACTCTAGGCATCGTAACCGATCGTAAAGGATGTCAAGAACCAAAATCCGCCAACGTTGATTCATTACTGCGGCTGAAATATTCATTTTTAGAGCGTTAGTGAATTAAAAAAAAGCAGTATAAAAACCGGAATGTCCAACTGATAAGGCTGAAAATTTTTTCACTTGTTATTTACAGTAAGATAAATACATTCACCAACTTTTATTAAAATAAAACCATTTAAACTGGGTCTGCGGATTTATATGTCACTTAGTATATTAAAGCTCCCACAAATTTAAATTCCCTTTATTTGCGTAAGGTGGTTGGTCACGTTTTATTATGTTGTTTTTCTGGGGCCGCTGATTGGATTTTCGTGCATGGTTTGTGCATTATTAAGAAAATTACGATTTTTTTTGGCCAATTTTTTCAATCTTATTTCCATACTTTCTCGAAAAACATCTATGCGACCGAGTTCAAATTTCGTGTCCACCTTAAGTTAAAGTATGTTAATGTCATGAGCACATTGTTTTTTAAAAACATATTTTTTTGGGCAATATTTTCTGATAACTTTTTTACAAACCTTTTTTGTCACGTCTTGGATGCCTCATGACATGTAAACAATGATATCTTGTCGACACGTGAAGAAATTTTTGAGATTGTTTAAAAAATTAATGAGATAATATGGAAAGACGATGAAAAAATCTATTCGACCTCGACTCCCACTCACTCTACCCATTTACCAGAGCCAAGCCGTATATAGCCTGGTTGTCAGATTGTTGAAAACATGTTATAATACTTTCCTATTACAATTATTTTCGGAAAGTACAGAGTTCTTTGCTTAATCATATTCAGTTAAAAATGCCGCGTCAACCGGCCATCGCTGATACCCTGAGCGATATTTCTCAACATTGAAAAGAATCAAGACTTTTAGATACATAAGGAGACTTCAGACTATTCAAAATGCGTGTCTCAGATTTGCTTGTGGAGTGAGAGAATTTGAGACAGTGTCACATAAATATCGTGAGCTGGGTGTTCAAAAAATAGAAGAGCTACAAAAAATGCATGTATTGACCTTGACCCATAAGGTAATCACAACACAAGCACCTCCATATCTGTCAACCAAATTTATCAGATACTCAGATGTTAATCAACTGAACACAAAGAATAAGCATATCTTGGTTATCCCGAGACATTCAACATCTCTATTTAAAAGGTCGTACGTATATACTGCTATCAAGCTATACAACGCGTTGCCTACCGAGTTCACTCACTACTCTATAAAGAATTTCGAAAAAAGATTGAAGAATTTTATCTCTGATTTCATTGCCCAGTAAGTAGACCATGGCCATGAATAAGGACTCGTTACAGGTTTTTTTTTAACTCTTGTTTTCATTGGGATTAGAAAATATACATAAATATTTGTTGGGTTAAGTTGAAAAACGCTTTTTAGCCGGATTATTATTATTATTTACCTTGGTTCGTTACACTTACTTAGGCAGTTGCTTATCACTGAACTTCCTGATGAGCGATATCGCCACGCCCTCGGCGCTGACATCTACCGGCATACTATCGCAACTCGACGCCGCGCCGTCCGGTGCGCCTCTCGGCGGCAAGGGGCACGTCGTCGACCAGCTGAGACTCCGCGACAGGTCCAGCTCGCTGCAGAGCGTCGTCGTGGAGGCTGATCGGTTGGAAGATAAGGTGCATAGGGATTGTTCGAGATGAGCGTCGCCGAGGTCGTCGTCGAAAGCCAGACTGCTAAGGCTGGTACACGAGTTCGTTGGCGAGGAGTTTGAGCTGGTCGAGAGCGGGCTGGCTGTGGTGGTTGCTGGAAAAATGCAGAGATCCATTTCTGTTTGAGGCCGCATATACCCTATTTCACGAGTATCCAATTTTGAGATATTACTAGATGATTACTTGTTATTACGTGATGGATACTCTTGAAATAGGGTATATTTCAAACGGTTTTTATATCTTCAAAAAATCTTATAAACCCTTTATACCATTTACTTACTATCAGATTTCAAGTCACTCGCCTTGGCCGAAGCCCAAGCCTTTCTATGCTTCTCCATTACTTTGGCAGTTCTTCTCAGCCTTATTTTCTGCTTTAGATCTAATATTTCAGGATCACTGTCATCTATTTGCTCGTCCATTTCCTTTAAGCCATGCTTACACCTAAGATATGTCCTAGTTACTTTGTTACTAGAGATTATTCGCAAATATGCGTATAAAAGAAAATGAATAGAGTTAAGAGCAGAAAACAGATTATTTTTCCTGTAATCGTGTTTCTTAATGATTCTTTAGATATTTTTTATTTACCTAATCTGTTCTACAGCTGAAATTATTGCTTCAGATATGCTAAAATGTGCGTTTTCCCTATCTAATTCTGCATTTGTTCTGTTCAACTGACTCGAACATAGGAAAGACAGTAAGCTTTGACCTTTAGCCGGTTTTGGAAAGTAACCAGTAGACATTGGAAGGACACTCATTCCTCCATCTTCTATGAAACTTTTCTTTGGTAATTTCTTGTAGTCCTTTTCACCTGGATATTACAAAAACAATATTACCACGACTAATACCAGTGACATCCATCACCTAATCCAATCAATGCCGCGACGAATGTCATTTTCTATTTATCAGTAGACCTCAAACTTGTAAAAGTAAACACACAATTACAGCACTCAGTACAGTATATTTTACTAAATAAAACTATTTATTTTCATTTATGAAAAATTTATGTTGCTTATCCATAAAAATATAAAAAAAATTTGTCACGAAATAAGGTTCAAATGCACGGTAACTAAATAAATTATTTGAAAACTAAAACAACAAAGATTTTGCACTTGGCTATTCTCAACATGTCTGCCTTTATGATAAAAAAGTTTTATCTCGACATCTCATCAAAAATTTTTTTACAAAGATCTAGAATATGCTGAAGTTTGGGCCATTTACCTTATACAGGGTGTTTCAGTTTATTGTTGCATAACTTTCAGATTCGATAGAACATTTAAAATTAATGCATAAAGTCTATATAAACATGGGTCGAAAAATGCGTGGCTTCCGAAATACAGGGTGTTTAAATTTACTTTCTAAAATAGTTTTTTTTAAATATTTCTAACTATTTGAAGTATAACAGTGAAAATTGATATACAAGGGTTTTTTGGTACGACAAAACGAACCGTGGGCATAGTTTTACTGTAGCCGCTAGAGGGCGCTCTCTACTGTACCTGTAGTGTATTAAAATGACCGAAAATTTTTTCTTAGTGCAATTTTTTGCTTTTTGAATAAAAAAACTGATTCTCCGCACTTTTCAACATAAAAAAGCTCTCCTGTGAGTTTTCGTTATAGTTAGCCGTTTTTGACATATTTCAATTTTTAAGGTTCGATGCATTTTTAATTATTTATGGCAAAATAATATTTTTTTTACATTTTCGATTTGGGCATTACAAGTAATTAAGATGATCGTTTAGATTGTGTTTTTAAACACAGCAATAATTCCTAACTCCAAATAAACACAAAAAAACAGAATATTAATTTGTTTAATTTTCCAATATTATTTTTAACAAATTAAATTAATTATTTACAACTAAAATGCTATTGGATAGTTAGGACAAACATACAAAATCTAAAGTAGTTGCTCGAAATGTAAACCCGATAGTTCAATACACAATTCACATCTACGAATGATCGAACGTGGTATAGCATTATTCAAATAAGGCCTTATTTCATCACATGCATTCCTGATTCTGTCTATTAGCATATCTCTTGTGGTTACGGGAGTCTGGTACACTTTTTCTTTTAGAAATCCCCACACAAAGAAATCTAATGGATTTAGGTCAGGGGATCGTGGAGGCCAGGCGACTGGTCCTCCACGGCCGATCCATCTTTCTGGATAATTTTCGTCCAGCCAGTTTCTAACTATTCTCGAATGATGAGCTGGACAACCATCAAGCTGGAACCAGGCCAATCTTCTTAAATCTAACAACATCATCCCACATATTTGCATGTTCAGCCTTTAAAAATTCCAAGAAGGTCGCAGCATTTAACCTTGCAGGCAAAAGGTAGGGTCCAAATAGTCGATTACGGTAGATACCAATCCACACGTTCACACTAAATTCATACTGAAAATTTCTTTCCCGAACTGCATGCGGATTTTCATGCGACCAAATATGTTGATTATGAAAATTTACCACTCCACGTCTAGTGAAGCATGACTCATCGGTCCATAAAACGTTACTTAAAATCTCCCTATTATTATCAGTTCTATCAAGAATCCACTGACAAAATGTCATTCTTCGTTCTCCGTCCCCTGGCTGTAGTCCTTGCACAGGTTGCAAATGGTAAGGACGTCTATGGTCATTTCTAAGAACATGGTTTGCTGAAATTCCCAAGGCACCAGAAACTCTCCTAACACTTGTGGTCGGATCTCTATCAAACTCACGCAGAATCATACGGGTAAATCTGCGCTGACGAACATTTATGTTTTGATCCCTTTGGAGATTTCCAAAACTATTTTCAATTATCTGGCGATGCACTCTCACAAATACTGAGCGAGTTGGATGTCGTCTGTTTGGAAATCTTCGTGCGTATTCTCTGGCTGCTTCTGCTGCGTTTCCTTTTACAAAGCCATACACAAAATGAATATCCGCTAACTCTTGATTGGAGAATAAAAATGGCATTTTTATAAAACTTACAAAAAAAACAGGTAAAAGAAACTAAATTTCGTGCATTCACAATTGCAAAAAACGTTTCAGGTTTCAACAGACAACAAAACTAACTGTCAACTAATTGACGTTTAACCTTATTCTGCTTTCAATTTCAAAAATATTTGCAGGCACAGCCTACTTCTAAAAATTATCGAGATACTGACTTTTTAACGTTATTTTATCATAAATAATAAAAAATGCATCGAACCTTAAAAATCGAAATGTCTCAAAAACGGCTAACTATAACGAAAATTCACAAGAGAGCTTTTTAATGTTGAAAAGTGCGAAGATTCATTTTTTTTATTCAAAAAGCAAAAAATTGCACTAAGAAAATTTTTTCGGTCATTTTAATACACTACAGGTACAGTAGAGAGCGCCCTCTAGCGGCTACAGTAAAACTATGCCAATGGTTCGCTTTGTCGTACCAAAAAACCCTTGTATACCAATTTTCACTGTTATACATCAAATATTGTTCGAAATATTTAAAAAAAACTATTTTAGAAAGTAAATTTAAACACCCTGTATTTCGGAAGCCACTCATTTTTCGACCCATGTTTATATAGACTTTATGCATTAATTTTAAAAGTTCTATCGAATCTTAAAGTTATGCAACAATAAACTGAAACACCCTGTATACTGCATATGTACTTTGTAACAAATACCTGGTACCAACTCATATTTACTGTTGTACATTTGTTTTGGTTAAAATACAATATGCCTAGCATTGAATTTTAAAAAAATGTATTCACCTGACTTGGGTAGAAATGATTCCACAACTTGCAAAGGTGATGTTGACAAGCCACTTTTTCTAGGTGATATATTTGTAGGAGTTAAATCTTCTTTGGAAGTATCATCCACACTTTGAGGTGGAGTGTGCTCAACAATAGCAAGATTGTTAAATATGATTCTATTTCTTTCTTTAACCTTTGGGCATTTTTTATGTAATGTGCCCCCTTTCGACTTTGATGATTGAAATTCAGTCTGTAAATTGAAACGATGAATAAACAAGTTCAATAAAAAATTTCATCAGTCTCACCTCTGTTTTTACATTGTGTACTGGTGTATTAGGCAAAGTTTTACTTCTGGCTCCCTGAAATTCCCTTTCAAAATAAGTATGCAAACATGGCATACTTCTCCAAGGTTTAAATTTACCCTGAATACAAGCCTTCGTAGAAACAATCTTTTGATCTCTACCATCTGATATATCGGTAGAAACATTTTTCAATGCCTTTTCTTCGTAAACTTTCTTCATATAGTTATCAGGAAAAGATGCACATCTCCTGTGCTTCTTCATTGCATCTCTCTTATCCAAGAACAAATACGGATCAATTTCTGACAAGAAACTAGCCTCATTCCTCTCCAAAGCTCTCAAGCATATCAAGGTAGCTTCGGAGTATTTTTGTTGACACAGGAAAGCATAACTGTGGTAGCAAGAATGTAGATGGGTTTGATTTGACAGTAACCATGATAATTTTTGTGATAAAGCATGGTTTTCAAGGTTTCTATATAACCAGATAGATGATCTGTTATTTTTAAGGTGTGCTGGGATGTGTGACCGGTACTCACAATCAATGTGAAAGTAGGATTTTGTAGTGTCTGGTTGTAGCCATTCTAGACCTTGGATAAATTTGTAAATTCCACCTTCCTATAATATATTCAAAATAGAAAAGTTAAAGCATAGTAGTAAGATAGAACAGTATATAATCTGCTTTAGAACATCTGATTACACTATAAATCTAGACAAATCCCTTACTAATAGATCTTATTTACCTATATTGACTGGGCTATGACAAGAATCTGATGTGCCCTTACACAGGGTGTTACAATACAAATATTCCAGTTTACACTGAAAAAATAGGACTTGCCACATGTCTCTTGAGGTACCACACTTTTCTATTATGTATTTCAATGTACATACTAACACATAATGCCTGATATTTTTAGTAAAAGAGTATGCATTGAAAACCTACATTTTCAGATGTTTTGCATCCATGTTTAAATATCTTTGACATAATATTATGCAGTCGATTTAAGCCTCCATATATTGTCCAAACATTTGCTACTTGAGTTACTAATAGTCCTTCAATGGTATTTTTTAGATCGCATAATAGTTGTCGGTATTTGGAGGAATGTACACAGAACTCCAAACGTCTATCCATTTTTGTTAAATTCTACTTAACGCAGCTGCAAATTCAATCAGTAATGTATGTGTTATTACTAAAAATAATTTATATTTACCAGTTTCACATTCATAAACAACATGCATTACAGGTAATCAACCATATCCCTGAAAAAATATAAACATGCACACTTTACTTTTGTTATACACATCCACCAAGTGCTTTATCAAAATTTCGGTCTTTATGCGCTAAAGTGTAGTCTAACCCTTTATCAAAAAATACTTTCAAGTACAGTAATCAAACAAATATTTGATTGTAATTATTTACAAATTACAGAATACTTTTTGTAAGCCAGATCTTCGACAGCAATCAGCTGTAATAGAGATGATCGATATATCGGTACCGGCGACCTTTCCCGGTGACTTGAATGGTCGCCGTTAGTCCCGGCGACCGGATTCTCCATGAAGCAGCGACCCAGATCGCTGTTTAGAAGTATCGGTATCGGTAACCACTGATCGGTAGCTGTAGCGCTTAGAGATGATCGATATATCGGTACCGGCGACTTTTCCCGGTGACTTGAATGGTCGCCGTTAGTCCCGGCGACCTGATTCTCCATGAAGCAGCGACCCAGATCGCTGTTTGAAAGTATCGGTATCGGTAACCACTAATCGGTAGCTATAACGCTGTTTCGGTCGCGGTCGCTGCCAGGAAGCATATACACATCGCGTTCGCGATCATCGCGCGGGAAGTACAGGGTCGCTACAGCGTAGCCTAACATATTTTGTTAGTTTTTATTGTTGCGAGTTCCTGTTTCATAGAAAAATGTTTCGTTTATTAAGCAATGTTTAGCATATAAAAGAAGCATTTTTATACTACATTTGTTATGTTTTAAAAGTTTTATTTTGACTGGTAAAATAGTATTTTGTTTACTTTTTAAGATTCATAGAAAGATATTTTATGTATTTTTATGATTTTATGTGTTTTGTGCTCAATATTGTTAAAAACAAAAACCTTAAATATAGTTTAATTCAAATCTTTAGGAACCTGAACATCTACACCTCGTTAATATCAATGGATAACCGCCGCCAAATATCGAGTAATTTAATCAGCGCCAGGGAGTCGCTGGCTGCTGGCAGCGACCATAGATAAGCAGTGACCTAAAGCGCTGCTAAATCTACCGGCGACTTTAAGGTCGCTGTCACCGGTATCCCGGAGACTTGCGATCATCTCTAACCGGTGCCTAGTTCGAGGTACCGCGACAGATGAGTCATCGTTCAACCGCGGTGCTGCCGGCTCTTACCGAAGATCCCGCTATTTTCGTTTTTTTGTAAGCTTTATTATGAATCTTTGCCACTTTCATACCTCTTCCAAAATCCAGGTCAAACTCTCTGCTATTCAGTTTTATTTTGCAAATTACTCGGAGTCTCAATCTTTCTTTTATCGTTCACTTCTCAAAACTTTTGTTCTGTGTGTGACGTTAACCTCAAATTCTTTGAACGTCAACAAAACAATCATAACCTAAATCTGCAACTGTGCAGAGGAAAATTCGCTTAGACAATATTGAATTAATATACTGGAGAAATGTTTACCCTGGACGAGTACGGTCTCCGAAATATCATTTTGTTTCTAATATGGGCAGAATTCTTTTGGGAAACGTATCTTTCATATCGCCAGGTAAGCATTTTCAATGGAATGTTTCAGCCCTTTATGTAATACGTATTCGTTTTTCAGTACAGAAAAGCTGTAAGTACAGAAATAGTCCCTGAGGAGCTGCGCACTGTGATGTCTAAAGAAGAATTCGAAAAAGCCAGGCAGTATTCTTTAGCTAAACTTAGATTCGGTTTTGTGAAGGACACTCAAGCTATATTGTTAACAACTTTTGTGATATATCTTGGACTGTTAGCTGTAGCTTGGAACTATGCAACTAGTATCAACCCTCTGGCAGGTGGTGAAGTTATAATAAGTTGTATTTGGCTTTTCCTGCTATCTTTAACATCTACATTACTTGATCTTCCGTTGACAATTTACTATACTTTTGTTCTTGAGGAGACATTCGGTTTCAACAAACAGACTGCTGGATTTTTCATATGGGACAAGATCAAGGAATTCATTGTCAGCCAGATCATTATGATGATTGTTTGCTCAATAATCATAGTCATAATCAAAAATGGAGGACCGTACTTCTTTGTTTGGCTGTGGGCAACAGTTTGTGTGATATCTTTCATTTTACTCACGATCTATCCTTCTGTGATTGCACCTCTTTTTGATAAATATACTCCATTACCGGAAGGTGAACTACGCACACAAATTGAACAACTTGCTTCCAAGCTGAAATTCCCACTTACAGAACTATACATTGTGGAAGGCTCGAAAAGATCAATGCATAGCAACGCGTATTTCTACGGCCTTTTTAATTCGAAAAGAATTGTTCTTTTCGATACGCTTCTAGCCAAAGATGATGGTACTGGTTGCAAAAATGATGAAATACTAGCTGTTCTTTCTCACGAACTAGGTCATTGGAGTTACAGTCATGTTACTAAAAATTTAATAGCAATGCAACTGAATTTGTTATTGGTTTTTGCTGTATTTTCTGTAATGTTTAAGTATCCTCTGTTATATCAAGCGCTCGGTTTTTATACCATTCAACCAGTACTGGTAGGTCTAGTCGTAGTTTTAACGTATGTACTTATGCCTTACAATACTCTCCTAAGCTTCTTGATGACGTGTCTATCGAGAAGATTTGAGTTCCAAGCAGATGATTTTGCTGTACAACTGAAGAAAGCCGAGCCTTTAGAACGAGCCCTGCTACAACTGAACAAAGACAACAAGGGCTTTCCAGTAAATGATAAATTATTTTCTGCTTGGCATCATTCTCATCCACCGCTTTTGGAAAGGATTACCATTCTGAGAGAGTCTGCTAGGAAGATGAATTAGCTTCGTTTTGTACATAAATTTCTAGGATTATTTTGTCTTCATTTTTTACCAACAACTGAGGACTTCAGCTGTTTCTTTGTTCCAAGCACACCCATTCCAAAGATGCAAAATGACTACAACACAAGCGACGTTAAATGTGACTGTATCTTGAGACTTTCTATCACTTCTGTTGAATATTATCAAACTCGTACTGTAACATACAACTTTCCATAGACGCATACGTTTATACCAGAAAAAAATCATAGAAAATAATAAATATTAATATATAGATGATAAGTTTTATTTATACCTTAGTAGCTACCAATTACCTTATCAACCTCAAAATTTGCATATTTTTGGAGCAATATCTCACTCGCCTGTTCGAAAAGTGCGTGGAAGTAGTATAAAGTACATGTCATTACCTGTTTTTCGAGATACAGCAGACGCTCGATAACGTAAACACGGGATAATGAAAACTTGCGCTAATGTAAACACAAACTTCGTTCTATAGGATCAAACGGAACGCGCGATAACGTAAACAATGTGTACGCTCGATAACGTAAACAACTCTCGGCGCACGGAAACAGCGCGACGGTAAAATGCTGAAGCCTCGATGATTTATTTCGGGCGTCGGGGAGTCCCCGATTTATGATGTAGAGAGTAGGGGATTCACCTCTGCGATAAAATACGACAAACTCGGTCAGTCGTATGATCGTTTAGGATACGTTTATACGTACGTATGTATTTCATTTTTGAACTTGAAGTGAATACATTGCACGCGTTAATATATTTTACGACTATGTCATCCACATCCTATAAAATAAAGTGTTTAAAGTTGAGTGAGAAAGTGAAAATCATAGACGAAGTTGCACTAGGTACGGGAGTGACACAGTTAGCAAAAAAATATGGAGTATCGAAAGCAACAATCTGTAAAATTAAGCGTATGAAAACTCAAATTTTACAAAGAACGTGCAATACATTTGGAGGTCCGGGAAAAAGAAAAACTTAAAAAAATGCGAAGGCACCTAAAATGGAAAATTCCCTGTATAAGTGGTTTTTAAAACAACGGGAAAATCATGTCCCAGTTAGTGGCGAAGTACTTAAACAGAGAGCGAGACTGTTAAATGAAAAACTGAAAATTTCGTAGCTAGTGATGGCTGGCTACGACGATTCAAAACAAGATATGGAATTCGACTGCTGTCTATATCTGGTGAAAAATTATCAGCACAACCACAATTAGTGCAACCATTCAAAAAAAAATTGATGAAAACAATTACCGAGCTAGATTTAAGAATGGAACAAAATTACAATGCAGATGAAAGTGGCCTTTATTGGAAAATGCTACCAGAGAAAACCTATGCTGCATCATTTGAAAAATCTGCCCCGGGAAGAAAGCCGGAGAAACAACGAATAACGTTTCTAGCCTGCACCAATGCTAATGGTTCACACAAAATAAAGCCACAGGTAATTATGAAAGCAAAAAATCCGCGCTCATTTAAAAATGTTAATTAATATCCCTATTGATTATGACTGTTCAAAAACCGCTTGGATGACTAGCAGTATATTCGTGAAATGGTTCCACAGGTGCTTTGTCCCTCAGGTATGACAATCAATTATCACAAATGCTCTATTCATAATTTGAAGATGTGTTTTCAATTTGTAGGTAAAAGGTTTCCTAAAACAACAGAAGCTTCCAATAAAAGCGTTGTTACTATTGGATAATGCACCAAGTCATCCTCCCGAGCAACAACTGATGAGCAGGGATGGGTCAATTTTCGTCATGTACATGCCGCCCAACGTAACACCGTTAATTCAACCGATGGACCAGAATATAATAAGACTCACCAAACTATACTATAGGAAGTTTCTACTTTCGTCTGTCTTATCAAAGAATCCTGAAAACTTATCTGAGGCTTTAAAAAAGTGACATTACGAGAAGCTGTTTTAGATTTACATATGGCCTGGAATGAACTTAACCAGCAAACTATTCAAAAATGTTGGAACAATCTCTTTTGTACCAATAATGAAGATGATGAAGAAGACGATGTTCCCTTAAGCGTAATTGTAGAACGTTTGCGATCCAATAATGATAATGTTATTAGTGTGTCATTGGATTTTGTTGATTTATTGAAAACAGTGAATCCCAACATTGTTTGTACTCCTGCTGATATTAATTTATGGAACGAAGATAAGCAGACGAATGATGCTGATAAGGAGGAGGATATGGACAGTGAGGATGATGAGAACGATCCCATTGAAGTCAGAAGTGTAGTGACTGACGCGCAAGCTATACAAGTTTTTAACCAAGCTTTAGATTGGGCTGAAAGAAAAGAAGTTTCATACACGGATATTTTAGTTATTCGTAAATTACGGGCGCAGGCATTGGAAGACAATGCTAAGCGCAAATTTACGCAGACAAAAATTGTTAATTATTTTTCTTCTAATTAAAAAAATACTTATCGCTGTTAGAATATTTGTTTACTTTGTTATGAATAGTATGTATTAAACGTTTCTTTTAATAAATCAAATATTATATAAATCACGTTCGCTAATGTAAACATTTCGATAATGTGAACCACACTTGGATTAAATTAGTTTACATTATCGAGCGTCTGCTGTATTTCGATCTATCAATTATTTTTTAACGCCCTAGAAGAAGAAGCGACCAACAGACAAATAAAAACAATGTTTCGGTTCCCAATTTAATAATAAAATCTTCATCTTAAAGTTAAAGTATTAAAGGTTACATTCAAGTATGGTAAAGAAACTGTAACTTTCTAAATAAATATGTATACATAAAATATCTAAAACGGTAAATACTAGTTAAAAAATAACAGCAACAAAAAAAATGACAACATGAACTTAAAATTTACCTTAATTCAGGCATGAACAAGTCTCTGTTAAAAATCACTTTGGCGTAATAGGACAATATCGGAGGCCCTACATTAACATTATTTGCTACATTGAAGGAAGATGTCTTTTCAAGAAGTTTGGAACATTTTAATACTATAGATTCAACCATTTCGTTGCATAGTTGATGATATACCATGAACCCAAATCAGCGTCTATACTTCTATGCTTTTCACAAACTGTATAACCTTTCTGCAGCACTATTGAAATGACAGTCAACTCACTCTAAAACTGTATTAATTAAGCTCAACTTTTCAGAACGGTAGACTGAAAATGACACATTCTCTGGCAAGACGGGCTGATTCACAGTCACAAGGTGCTATTGATCTGTGTGGTTGGCAAGAAAACTGCAGTCTTAGTGGCAACACCTAAGTCTCATGTCAAGCCTGACTACCGATTCTCAGAGAATCCCAGACTTTTTCCGCCAAAAAACGCGCATTAAAAGAAGGCCAATTTTATACCACAGAAACCATGAAGTACAGAACATCGTTCCACTTCCTTCTAATATACTCCAGGTAACTCTAGTTTAGTTGATATTACAACCAAAAATTTCGACTGTAAAAGCTGTGACTGTCATTTCGATCCGTGCTTCAAGATGTACGGGCAAATCCCAAAAGTAAGGCTTCCAATTTTTGTAAAAGCATTACATACATTATTCATATCAATATTAGATTGTGTGATCTTATAGGGAGAGAGGAAGAGCACGCTGTGGTGGACTCCCCCTTTTTTGACATCACTTTTATTCTAGCATTTATTCTGTTAATTTCACCTACAGGAATAGATCCAAGCTCCAAAATGATCTATCAATCATCGGAAATAAATGCTGTTTAAAAAGTGACGTTACTTTTGGGACCACCCTGCTACCGGACCATATCCGTTTTGTGTCTTAATTTACAATATAATACAGGTTCATCTTAATATTCTAACGCGGCATCTCTTCGTTCGCACTTTATATCAGTGACAATGCTCCGTAACATCAACCACGACGGATTTTTTCCAGCCGAACAAGAAATATCCGACCCCCGCGCCTAACACGACCGCTATGCACAACCACGCGTTGTACGTCATGAAAATCAACATAAGGAAGTACGAGATCACCATTTGCAGCATATGGAGAAAAGTTTGGAGAAAGTGCATCTTGCTCAGCATCGACGGCCTATAAAAAAAAATCGCGTCAAGTCTAATTTTTTTCACACTGAAGCAGCTGCGCAACAAACGGGTCTGTCGGCCGCGAGGCTCTTTTTTTAGATAAAGTCAGTCACTCATCTGCAAAGCCGATCGAAATTTATTGCTCAGGTGACGGGAGACACGTTTCATTGACTCTCCAGGTGTGCAGTCAAACAAAGGATTAGTTGAAGTTCCTCCAGAGATTATCGCTGACAAAGAAGTATGATGCGCATAATGCTGAGATCCTGTAAGAAACAATTAAGGAATTATGTATACTTACTGCACAACCTGCGGTTCTTCTGTGGTCGCGTTTTTGTCCGGTATCGCCACCGCTCGATATTGCAGGTTATTGTATGTTTTCCAAAACAGGTACTCCCTAAAAACGAAACAAAAAAGGAATGAGAATCATCAGAAAACGGCGAAATTGAACAACCCCTTTCCTTGTTCAGGAATTTCACAATACAAGGTAGTTCAGATCTCTACACGTGTTGTGATTTTTGCTGCTTGTTTGATAGGGCTTCACGTTTCAGACAAGTACAAAAATATCTAGTTTTCAAATGTATGGCTTTGAGCAAGATCGAGATAAGACTGCTTGGATAGTCGATAGTTGCAATGCTTTCATTCGTAATCGGAGAGACCCACGCTGAAGAGTTGCCAAAAAGCCCGAAACAGAGCTGTTCATCGTTGGCTGTCTTTGAGTCGGACAGAAAGCAGAACATGTTTATTTTAGCCAGCTTATTATTTTGATAATACTTACCGAAAATATTTCAGACCCTCATATAGAGCTGCCATAATAAATATCCCTATCATAGATCCTATAAGACCGCCTGCGGTTTCAAAATGCCACTGTTCAAAAAGGACTGTGCAACTTTTTGAAAAGAAGAACTGAAATGAAAAGGAGAAATATGTGTTAAAAGCTTCGTGTTTTTTATAAATGATAATAGAAATTCGGGATAAAATTACGTTTATAATGTTTCACGGTATATGAAACAGCATAAGCAATTTCAAACGACGCGGTTAGTAACAGCTGTCAAATGATAACGTCATTGTTACTGACACTTCCTGGCACAGGTGGTGGTTTCTATGCGGCTCTGAATGTCAAATGTTAACCCATGAATATAACATAAGCCTTTCATGTTTGTTTTGTGTCATATGTGACATAATTTTACATAAAAAAGTTATCAGTAAAAAAAAACGATATAATTTGACGATAGGCGTAGAACTACTGAGATTCTATTGAGTCACGCATTGTTTTTTTTGTGCAGAATTTTTAAAGTAATCAGGCGCGTTGTTAATATTACAGTTAAGTATTTTCTTATATTTGAATTATGTTGGTTCCTACAATTGTAGGACGCCTGTATGGCCTCCTTGATTTTTATAGTTTTTTCTCTTCAGATGCCAAAATGCAGTGACATATTCCAGACCAACTAGATATTTATTGCTAAAATGCATTCTTCAATTACTACATTAATTTTGTCGGACAATAGATCGGTTTTTATTTTTTTACTCAAAAATGGAGCATTGAAGGAAAAGAATTCAAGAGAGATCATTTGTTTTAAATTGAACGGGGAATTCAAAAATAATTTTTCGTCATTGTTACTGACACTTCCTGGCACAGGTGGTGGTTTCTATGCGGTTCTGAATGTCAAATGTTAACCCATGAATATAACATAAGCCTTTCATGTTTGTTTTGTGTCATATGTGACATAATTTTACATAAAAAAGTTATCAGTAAAAAAAAACGATATAATTTGACGATAGGCGTAGAACTACTGAGATTCTATTGAGTCACGCATTGTTTTTTTTGTGCAGAATTTTTAAAGTAATCAGGCGCGTTGTTAATATTACAGTTAAGTATTTTCTTATATTTGAATTATGTTGGTTCCTACAATTGTAGGACGCCTGTATGGCCTCCTTGATTTTTATAGTTTTTTCTCTTCAGATGCCAAAAGGCAGTGACATATTCCAGACCAACTAGATATTTATTGCTAAAATGCATTCTTCAATTACTACATTAATTTTGTCGGACAATAGATCGGTTTTTATTTTTTTACTCAAAAATGGAGCATTGAAGGAAAAGAATTCAAGAGAGATCATTTGTTTTAAATTGAACGGGGAATTCAAAAATAATTTTTCGTCATTGTTACTGACACTTCCTGGCACAGGTGGTGGTTTCTATGCGGTTCTGAATGTCAAATGTTAACCCATGAATATAACATAAGCCTTTCATGTTTGTTTTGTGTCATATGTGACATAATTTTACATAAAAAAGTTATCAGTAAAAAAAAAACGATATAATTTGACGATAGGCGTAGAACTACTGAGATTCTATTGAGTCACGCATTGTTTTTTTTGTGCAGAATTTTTAAAGTAATCAGGCGCGTTGTTAATATTACAGTTAAGTATTTTCTTATATTTGAATTATGTTGGTTCCTACAATTGTAGGACGCCTGTATGGCCTCCTTGATTTTTATAGTTTTTTCTCTTCAGATGCCAAAAGGCAGTGACATATTCCAGACCAACTAGATATTTATTGCTAAAATGCATTCTTCAATTACTACATTAATTTTCTCGGGCAATAGAACGGTTTTTGTTTTTTTACTCAAAAATGGAGCATCGAAGGAAAAGAATTCAAGAGAGATCATTTGTTTTAAATTGAACGGGGAATTCAAAAATAATTTTTCGTCATTGTTACTGACACTTCCTGGCACAGGTGGTGGTTTCTATGCGGTTCTGAATGTCAAATGTTAACCCATGAATATAACATAAGCCTTTCATGTTTGTTTTGTGTCATATGTGACATAATTTTACATAAAAAAGTTATCAGTAAAAAAAAACGATATAATTTGACGATAGGCGTAGAACTACTGAGATTCTATTGAGTCACGCATTGTTTTTTTTGTGCAGAATTTTTAAAGTAATCAGGCGCGTTGTTAATATTACAGTTAAGTATTTTCTTATATTTGAATTATGTTGGTTCCTACAATTGTAGGACGCCTGTATGGCCTCCTTGATTTTTATAGTTTTTTCTCTTCAGATGCCAAAAGGCAGTGACATATTCCAGACCAACTAGATATTTATTGCTAAAATGCATTCTTCAATTACTACATTAATTTTCTCGGGCAATAGAACGGTTTTTGTTTTTTTACTCAAAAATGGAGCATCGAAGGAAAAGAATTCAAGAGAGATCATTTGTTTTAAATTGAACGGGGAATTCAAAAATAATTTTTCTTTGACAAAAAAACATTGCCGTACCATTTTTTTCTTAAAAAATACCGAAGTCAATACCCGTACGTACGCCACTGTTAAGGCTAAAAATTATTTTTGCATTGAAAAATATGCAACTTTAGTAACTTTCACTACGTACTAAATATTAGTGAAATATCGGAAGCGGTTCTGAAAGTATTAATTAATTTCCATTTTTTGCTAAAACTTCAATACCCCGAGTTTTTGTAAGGAAACATTTTTGGACCACAGTTTATAAAGCAAACTAACATTAATTTTTTATGTAGATTCACACCCTTAAATATTCGCATATCATTAACCCTGTATATTTCTACTGTTCCATGTCAGCGTCAACGCTCTCCTATTCTGAAGTTGTATTATTTTTGAATCGCAGAAAATTTCATGCTGATAAAATCAAAAGCATGAACAATTTGATGCAGATAGATATTTGTGACATAACCTCAAAATAGAGCGCTGACATAAACACACACGACATAAAGGCGTCCTATAATTGTAGGAAAGACGCGCCTTAGAAAGATCCAACTTAGAGTTGACCGGAAATGTTTTAACACCGGTATGGAGTTCAATGGTAATTGATGGTCGTCACTTTACCGCATCTTCAATATAAAAACATTGGTTGGGTGCTTACATCACTATCCGGCGTTGCAGGAATTTCATAAATACAATAAAACCGGTTGAATACGTGCAATTTTTTTTTCTGTATAATAATAAGTATCCTGATTCCCCGAGTAATTTCAGATCGTCTATAAATTCATTAACAAACACAAAGCATATATCACACATCCAACTTGTGTTTTCATTTCTGAAACCACGCAGCAAAATGTTTAGGATAACTCTATCAAATGCTTTAAGTTTTTTTTAAATGAACTTTATAAAAGGAAAGGAATGTTTATTGGAAAGGAATTTTGAGGTTTTCTATGAACAAATTTCCGAAAGCCTCTGCGTTTCTGTGATCTGGACCGACATTAATTTCTTGGGCAGATCGGGTACGCGGATTTCGGATCCTGATCAATTTCAAGCTAGGATCGATAACCGATTCCAAATGACAATTTCCATACTTCAAATTTGACCTTACAACATTTTTTAAGCCCCTCAAATGAAAGTTCCAAGCGCCCCATTTTCTACCTGAAATTTTGCCTCCTGACACTCTTACCTACACTTTACTATACTTGTAACAAAGGAAAACCAACATTTTTGGCTTCGCCCTTCTATTTCTAGTCTTCACGAGGAAAACGAAAACGCATTCACGATGAATCAGTGTTCAAAAGCGTTCCTTGTACTACAGGGTGCGGCAGAGAGGATGGACGGTTTTTAAAAAATCATAAAATAGTTAATTTTTACTCGAAAAAAAATTTATTGATAGTATCAGGTTCACAAGGAAATAGCATTTGAGACAGTCAAGTGTGGAAAATCACATCAGGCATGTGGTGGCCGAAATCGTTGATGCAGTGCTGGAGGCGTTCTTGGAAGTTCGCGTAGACTCTCTAAAACATCGCTCTCACAACTTGGGGTGAAAGCGGAGATCCATATGCAAAATTCGCCTTACCGAACGATCACTAAGGCGAAGTGCAGCAGCATCTTTCCGGGCAGATCGAGTCGGACTGCGAAGAAAGACCTGTCGAACGCGTTCAACATTTTCAGGAGTTCGAACTGTTCGCGGCGCTCCTCTTGGTCTTCTGTTGATCAGTTCACCACGCCTGCGAAATGATTCAACCCAACGAAGGATGGTGTTTCGAGAGGGAATAGCTCTATTCCGATGAATGTTGGCGACGAAACTCACGCTGTACGACGATGACTGACTCATTATTTCGGACGAAACAATCATAGGCGAAAACGCGGTGCTCCACCGCCCAAGGCGCCATAACGACCACTGATAAAATAATGCTAGGATCTCACGAGTCAAACGGCACCCTCCCCACCTCTCTCGTAGATGGAGGCGGAGAGTACTAGCCATCCCAAAAACGTCCGTCCTCTCTGCCGCACCCTGTATATTTAAAGTCGTTTTAGGTGACACTTACATACATAGCCATCATCATATGACCACCATCCATATGATCCATTCCCGCATGGCCTTCATGGGTCTCTCCCGTACTTGTTTGCATCTCATGATTGGCGTGGTCATGCAGCGTGTGCTGGGAATGATCCATATGATCCATGTGATGATCCATATCTGGGAAAGATAATCAAAATGGGTAAAACAACCCACAGGACACGGTTCTGAGCTAAGTTATGCGCTGTCTAATAAGGAGAATAAGTACATGCTGAATAAAAAAACAGTCAATATGTTTGGGATGGTATAATCATAAATTTTTCAAATTCTTTAGTGTTCTTTAATGTTACAAGTTTTAAGAATGCATTTCTGTTGTAGTGCATCTGTACTGCAGTCAAAATCACATGAAGGAAGCGTGTAAGGCTGAAAAGTATACCTGCAGAAATTGTAAATATACACACGAAGTATTAAAGATTCCAAATATTTCATATGACCAAATCCAAAAAAGAAAGAAAGAACATCTTACAAAAAATAGCTATCAGTTGAAAAGAGTAGTTCTAAAGGATTGATACGTACACTTTTACAGCTCAAGTTCAAAACCAAGGCACTTAAGGACTTTACATTTTAGGAGATCCAAGTGATTTTTGTTATGTACATCTTAATGTAATATTGTATATTATAGTTAATTGATCATTCATTCATATAAACGAGATGAAAACTTTGCATTTGTATGAGATATTTCTCATCCTGATATTTTTCATAATCATGTCTTCGGATGCCTGTTAAGACGAATCTAGATTGGCAAAACTACAAAAAATATGTTTTTTCTTTGACCATTCTGAACAAAAAATGTATTTAGTAACTTCCTGCAAAGTTCACCGCTTTCGAGTTATAAGCGACATAAAGTCTGAAACATCCTAAAAACGGTCGTTTCCAATATCAAAAAATTTTCAAAGCTCTGTTAAACACTACGATTTTTGGGGATGTCTGAACGAGGTTTGAGTTTTAATTTCGACAACTAGCAACCTGAAAAAAAATGTTTAACATAGTTTTAAAGCATTTGAACTTTAAATCGCTTACAACTCGAAAATCGTTAAATTTTGAAATAATTTACTGTACAATTTTTTCATCGGAGTCATCCAAAAACCCAAAAAAGTTAGCGAGAGAAGAATATTTTTTTTGGGAATTCGCCTAAAAAGCTTTTTTTATCATGGATTACCGCCCGCCAACGTAGTGATTCATGTTAAAGGGTATCCAACAAACGTGATTATCAAGAAAAATGGAGTTCGAAAAGTCGTCTAATAGGAATAAAATAAGTGCAAAACACAACGCAAAAATATACGGGGTGTTTCAGTTTATTGTTGCATAACTTTAAGATTCGATAGAACTTTTAAAATTAATGCATAAAGTCTATATAAACATGGGTCAAAAAATGCGTGGCTTCTGAAATACAGGGTGTTTAAATTTACTTTCTAAAATAGTTTTTTTTGAATATTTCGAACAATATTTGATGTACGTAGTCGTGCCATAAGTTCTGTCCCATGATAATCTCATGATAAAAATGAAACAAGATAAGATATATTTATATGAAAGATATTATTTATTCGACAACATTTTTAGAATTCATAATCAAACAGTTTTATTCAAAATGTCCCTCCTTGGCCTTCACACACTGCTTCAATCTCGCGGGCCACTCATCTATCACTGCACGCACAGCTTCCAAAGGAATAGCTGCCGCTGATCGGATCAAATCCGCTTTCAGGGACTCGATATTACGGTGGGCTTTGGAGCAGGCCAACTGCTCTAGCAGGTCCCACAACTTGTAGTCTAAAGGATTGAGGTCCGGACTCCCTGAGGGCCAATCTTCCGCAGCAATGAACTCTGGCACATTGCTTTCCAGCCAGCGCTGCGTACTCTTAGCCTTGTGAGCGGGGGCGGAATCCTGCTGGTAGACCCAGTGTTGGTTGGCAAACAATGTACCACTTAAAGGCTTGACGATAGGATCCAGTATGTCGCTCTGATAGTTTGCCGCTTTTGTTTTCACGCCCTGTTTACAGAAATGGAGCTGAGTGACCCCTTCGTAGGACACCCCCCACCAAACCATGACTGACGCAGGGTGGTGGCCTCTCTCAACTCTCGGAATGATCTCCGAAGCTTCCTGTGAACTCCTTGCATACACTTTGTCATTTTGTCGGTTGAATTTTTCTTCTATGGTGAAGATTTTCTCATCCGTGAACAAAATCTTTCGGAATCCCCCAGCTGCGTACCTCTCCAAGAGCTTCTTGGATCTTGTCGCCCTGATGTGTCGCAAGGTGGCCGTAAGTCGCTGGCCCGTACGTCTCCGGTAAGCCCCTAGCCCTAGGTCTTGTTTAATGATGCGCGACATCGTCCGGACAGGAATCTTCATTTCCCTGGATAGGATCTTCTGCTTCCGGAGTGGATTCCTTTGAATCCTGGCTTTTACGGCTTTGATGGCTGCTGGAGTCCTTACTTGACGAGGTCTTCCGCTTCTTGGCCTGTCATCAACAGAGGACGTCTCATTGTACCGCTGAATGGTCCTAGACTCAAATTTACGCGATATTTGAAGGCCGCGTAAGAGTTCAAAAATCTGACTAGCACTGTGATTACACTTATGTAAAGCTATCACTGCAATACGGTTCTCTGCCTTGCCCCACTCCATCGTTATGCTTCGAGAGATCAATACAAACTGAGGTATATGTAATTACCCGAAAAGCGCTTAATCAACTGACACGACAATGTAAACAATCGGACAAGTATTAACAGGTCTACACTTGTTTGAAAACGAGGGACAGAACTTATGGCATGACTATGTATAACAGTGAAAATTGGTGTACAAGGGTTTTTTGGTACGACAAAACGAACCATGGGCATAGTTTTACTGTAGCCGCTAGAGGGCGCTCTCTACTGTACCTGTAGTGTATTAAAATGACCGAAAAAATTTTCTTAGTACAATTTTTTGCTTTTTGAATAAAAAAACTGATTCTTCGCACTTTTCAACATAAAAAAGCTCTCTTGTGAATTTTCGTTATAGTTAGCCATTTTTGAGATATTTCGATTTTTAAGGTGCGATGCATTTTTAATTATTTATGATAAAATAACGTTAAAAAGTCAGTATCTCGATGTGCCTGCAAATATTTTTGAAATTGAAAGCAGAATAAGGTTAAACGTCAATTAGTTGACAGTTAGTTTTGTTGTCTGCTGAAACCTGAAACGTTTTTTTGCAATTGTGAATTCACGAAATTTAGTTTCTTTTACCTGTTTTATAAAAATACCATTTTTATTCTCCAATCAATAGTTAGCGGATATTCATTTTGTGTATGGCTTTGTAAATGGAAACACAGCAGAAGCAGCCAGAGAATACGCACGAAGATTTCCAAACAGACGACATCCAACTCGCTCAGTATTTGTAAGAGTGCATCGCCAAATAATTGAAAATGGTTTTGGAAATCTCCAAGGGGATCAAAACATAAATGTTCGTCAGCGCAGATTTGCCCGCATGATTCTGCGTAAGTTTGATAGAGATCCGACCACAAGTGTTAGGAGAGTTTCTGGCGCCTTGGGAATTTCAGCAAGCCATGTTCACCGTGTTCTTAGAAATGACCATAGACGTCCTTACCATTTGCAACCTGTGCAAGGACTACAGCCAGGGGACGGAGAACGAAGAATCACATTTTGTCAGTGGATTCTTGATAGAACTGATAATAATAAGGAGTTTTTAAGTAACGTTTTAAGGACCGATGAGTCATGCTTCACTAGACGTGGAGTGGTAAATTGTCATAATCAACATATTTGGTCGCATGAAAATCCGCATGCAGTTCGGCAAAGAAATTTTCAGCATGAATTTAGTGTGAACGTGTGGATTGGTATCTACCGTAATCCACTATTTGGACCCTACCTTTTGCCTGCAAAGTTAAATGCTGCGACCTTCTTGGAATTTTTAAACGCTGAACACGCAAATATGTGGGATGATGTTATGTTAGATTTAAGAAGATTGGCCTGGTTCCAGCTTGATGGTTGTCCAGCTCATTATTCGAGAATAGTTAGAAACTGGCTGGACGAAAATTATCCAGAAAGATGGATCGGCCGTAGAGGACCAGTCGCCTGGCCTCCACGATCCCCTGACCTAAATCCATTAGATTTCTTTGTGTGGGGATTTCTGAAAGAAAAAGTGTACCAGCCTCCCGTAACCACAAGAGATATGCTAATAGACAGAATCAGGAATGCATGTGATGAAATAAGGCCTTATTTGAATAATGCTATACCACGTTCGATCATTCGTAGATGTGAATTGTGTATTGAACAATTGGGTTTACATTTTGAGCAACTACTTTAGATTTTGTATGTTTGTCCTAACTATCCAACAGCATTTTAGTTGTAAATAATTAATTTAATTAGTTAAAAATAATATTGGAAAATTAAACGAATTAATATTCTGTTTTTTTGTGTTTATTTGGAGTTAGGAATTATTGCTGTGTTTAAAAACACAATCTAAACGAGCATCTTAATTACTTGTAATGCCCAAATCGAAAATGTAAAAAAAATATTATTTTCCCATAAATAATTAAAAATGCATCGAACCTTAAAAATCGAAATATCTCAAAAACGGCTAACTATAACGAAAACTCACAGGAGAGCTTTTTTATGTTGAAAAGTGCGAAGAATCAGTTTTTTTATTCAAAAAGCAAAAAATTGCACTAAGAAAAAATATTTTTCGGTCATTCTAATACACTACAGGCACAGTAGAGAGCGCCCTCTAGCGGCTACAGTGAAACTATGCCCATGATTCGTTTTGTCGTACAAAAAAACCCTTGTATACCAATTTTCACTGTTATACATCAAATATTGTTCGAAATATTTAAAAAAAACTTATTTTAGAAAGTAAATTTAAACACCCTGTATTTCGGAAGCCACGCATTTTTTGTCCCATATTTATATAGACTTTATGCATTAATTTTAAAAGTTCTATCGAATCTTAAAGTTATGCAACAATAAACTGAAACACCCTGTATATTTTTGCGTTATGTTTTGCGCTTATTTTATTCCTATTAGACGACTTTTCGAACTCCATTTTTCTTGATTATCACGTTTGTTGGATACCCTTTAACATGAATCACTACGTTGGCGGGCGGTAATCCATGATAAAAAAAGCTTTTTAGGCGAATTCCCAAAAGAAAAATATTCTTCTCACTGACCTACTTTTTTGGGTTTTTGGATGATTCCGATGAAAAAATTGTACAGTAACTTATTTCAAAATTTAACGGTTTTCGAGTTATAAGCGATTTAAAGTTCAAATGCTTTAAAACTATGTTAAACATTTTTTTTTTCAGGTTGCTAGTTGTCGAAATTAAAACTCAAACCCATGGTTCGTTTTGTCGTACCAAAAAACCGTTGTATACCAATTTTCACTGTTATACATCAAATATTGTTCGAAATATTTAAAAAAAACTATTTTAGAAAGTAAATTTAAACGCCCTGTATTTCGGAAGCCACGCATTTTTCGATCCATGTTTATATAGACTTTATGCATTAATTTTAAAAGTTCTATCGAATCTTAAAAGTATGCAACAATAAACTGAAACACCCTGTATATGGCTGAGCCAGAATCTACTATTTGCCGCGAGTTAAGCATTTTCAATACCTTAAGAACGTAGGAACGATCGTACTAACCAGTTCGATACATACAAATCTTCACCATAAATAAAAAGAGTCGTTTAAAAGTCTGACCTCAAGTCACGAGTAGCTGAAAACTAGTTTTTCCCACTTAGATTTTGAAGGTTGAAAAAAAGGATGAAATTGAAATCTTTGTTAACATAATAACTGTGACGTGTATGAATAGGTTAAACTAGATAAATAGTTTCAACAACAAAATTACCAATGTTCTATAAACCTCACTTTATCTGCGGTTAACCAAGGATTCAAAAGTCTTGCCACCTACTGAATGTAGTAGTTAGTAAGGCGATTTGTTTATCAAATATGATTCACAATGTGGGAAGCAGCTGCCGATTGTGCGACATTATTCATCTATCGGAAAAATTTATTGTTTTTACAAAACGATAATGGTATAATTCATAATAGTTTCAGGAATTTTTATTGTCCATAGGTATCTGCTACAGGAAGAGATTATTTTTGTTTTCATAGCGTAAATCAGGGGCACATTAAGGGTTACTGCCTTCATTAACATTGAGGAAGTACTTAAACCTCAAGTTCAAGGACCAATAAATAATAATAATACCAATAATGTTTTGCCAGATGTTGAGAAGCTGTTCGAAGAGACAATATACAAACAAATAATTGAATTCATTGAAAGAAACAAAATTTTGACAGATAATCAAGCAGGTTTAGAAAAAAATATTCTACAGAAACAGCAATCCAAATGGTGGTGGAAGATTGGAATATTCAAATATCTGGGTATATATGTGGATAGTAAACTACTGTTTCAAGAGCATTATAGATACATTATTTGAAAAATATCAAAAAAGATAAATTACTTCCATAGAGTTTCCCGTAATCTCAATATACAGGGTGACTTCGAAGTTGAGTCATTTATTTTAACAGTGAGTAGATCTGATCAAAAGAAATGTTTTTTTCCTTTACCATTGTTCTGGTAAAATTAAAGTAACAAAGTTATAGCCCTTTGGAAGTTTGAGTACCGCCCTGTCTCAATGATAATATTATGTGCTCGTGTTTGGCGACAACGGATATAATCCGCCTTATCGGTTCATCGCATCGGAAACAAAAAAGCGAAAGAATTTGGTACGATGTTTTTACAATTATTTCATTCAGTTGTATATAGTCAGTGTCAGTCGGTAACGCGTGAGTGAATAGTGGTGTCTGTTGCGTGGCTCAAACAAAATAAAAAATGGCACATGTTTATGTGGATCGGTTTCCCAATCGAGTGCAACCAACCCCTCGTGCCTTTGTTAATGTAGTACAACGGGCTCGTGAATCAGGTGATTTAAGACCTCACATGGGGACGGCATGCCGGTGCTCCAAGACCTCACGATCAAATACAGGTCCGCACTGAAATACTTATCGGGAGGATACTTTATAAAACAAGGTAAATTTTTTTTTATTTTTACACACATATTTTGGTTTATCTTCCTTCTACAATCATTATCTGAAAATTAATGACTCAACTTCAAAGTCACCCTGTATATTCCAAAAAAGTTGTGTATAACACTATAATTCTCCACCATTTTTAATTGTTCAACCATCTTGTTTACAGCAAATGAAAACATTTTTCCAAAATTGAAAATTCGACAAAATAAAGCAAATATGCTTTGATATCAGAAGAACTACAGTGGTTGAACATTGTTATTTAGTTCTCATTTAAAATTAAACAGATATTATCTTAACTACTAGAGGCAGTATAGATTTTCATCTGCAAAATAGTAGCATAACTATCAAATCTGTATTTAAAAAGGGAGCATTTGAATTTAGAAAACTGAGTTTTAACAGTGCTCAAAAATGTTTAAGGTGAAATTAATAAATCACTTTATGAACACTCAAAATGCATAGCGATGTAATTTAGTAGGCAAGAATGTAAAATTGCAAAAAATTGATTTAAAAAAACGAGTAAACAGCTAATTACAAATATAAATACAAAACTATTACGACGGATGTCTTTAAGTTTTGCATATAGAAACATAGTAATCCGCGCGGATCGAACGTCAGTACTGAATCTTAACCGCACTCTTTAGTAAACTTAAATTCAAAGTTTCACAACAATACGTGCAGTGTTCTTACTACCGTGAATTTTTAAGCGTCACCAAGTCATTAGAAAAATGGAACTCAATCGAGAACATTTTTGCGCCATAATTTATTACAACTTTCAGAGACAATTATCGCAGCAAGAATGCCTTGCTGGGTTGCTGTCCGTTTTCGGCAACGAAGCGCCACATCAGTCGACAATTTCCCGTTGGTATGGAGAATTCAAACGTGGACGGGTGAGTCTTAGCGACGATCCCAGGGTGGATGCACCAAAAACGGCAGTCACCCAGGAAAACGTCGATGCTGTGCGCAAACTCATCATTGAAGATAGACATGTGACATATCGCGAGATTGAGGCGTCCTTGGAGATCTCAAAGACCTCAATTCAAAAAATTTTACATGAAGAATTAGGAGTAAGAAAATTAGTTTCTCGTTGGATACCCCACCTGTTGACTGAAAAGCAGAAAGCAGCCAGGGTTAATTGGTGTCAAAAACGCTTGACCGTTTCAATTCCGGAAACTCAAAAAATGTGTACAGCATTGATAGTGGTGATCAATCGTGGATTTACTGTTATGAACCAGCAAATAAACGACAGTCGGCTGTTTGGGTGTTCCAAGGTGAAGAGAAGCCAACAAAAGTCATCCGTTCTCGAAAAAGATGGTCGCGACATTTGTGTCAAAAGCAACAATACCTCTTAATGAGCAAAGAACTGTTACTGCGGATTGGTTGTTTGCCAAAAGAAGAAGCAGTTGCCGTATTCAAAGATGCCGTTTTGGATCTGCCAGCAAACGTGTTGTTTTATTTCCATATGCAAAACTTAAAAGACATCCCTTGTATTGTAGCATTAAAGCTAAATAAATCTACAACAAACAAATAAATATGGTTTTTTGGACTGATACCATTTGGTAATTGGTTTTGAAATATCGGAAGAACAGACAACATTTGGACAACTACTGTTTTGAAAATTTTGTACGAAAATTTTCTCCGTACATTTAAGTCTAAAAATCACTAGTCTAACAATCTGAAACTGCTATCATTATTTTTATCATGGCTAAGAACATGTCAGCTCATTATCTGACAATGATATCACATGAAATGACTATGCAAGTTTCAACGTATTGAGTGATAGGCACATATCAGAAAATTATAAAAAAAAGATAAGACAACTGTTAGTAGCGTTTGGTTATGGCTACACTAAGGCAATATAATCTTTGATCAACCACATGTTCTTGAAATACTGTTTACTGATCACAAGATTATGGCCACACATGTACTTGAAAAATGATACTATAGTATGTGGAAAACATATGTGGTTTGATTTAATGGTCAGACACACAGAGGATTAACAAAAATATATAAAATCATAACAAAACATTATCCAGAATACAGCAATAGAAATTATTTCTAAAATACTAGAGAGAATGAAATCAGCTTAACAAAATAAAGAACATACACGATACAAGTGAACTATTGATTTTTCTGAAAAAAAAAAACATTCTTACCTCTGTCTCTCAAAGAGTTTTTTGAGCAACAATATAAAAATATTCTTTCTGATTTGACAAAATGTAGAGCTTTAGTCTTTGAAATAATAATGCAATATTTTTTCATTCAATATCTAATCCAGGTAGCTTACTGATATTGAATTGCTAGAGATTAAATCTTATCCTTATCTTTAATTATGTTTGATAAAAAAACTTCATCACTTTGGAGTAATAAGAGAGATATTAGAAAATATATTTGTTTTTGACCAAAATAGCCCATTGGTAGACCACAGAAGCTTGGACTATGTATGTTACCAATATTATAAAGTTGCCATAAGAATGCCTAAAAATAGTTACAATTGAGCGAAAGTCAATTGTAAGAGGTCAGGTATGGTCAAATAGTTTAATCATTTTGATTGATGATATATAAAAGTTTGGCAAACAATATCAAATTCAAAGCATTTAGGAAATTAATACATATTCTAATTTGAATTAATATGCATGACCTTAGACTACATAATTATGAATATACTTGCAGTATAGTAAATCATGAGCCCTTTCCCACTTCAAGATTTGTACCAAAATATGCCTTGCAAGTGCTAAATCCCAGTTTGTGGGCCTCTCTTGTGGACCTCGAAATTCTCCTTCCAACAGTGTCACCCCACAGAGCACTTAATTGTAAATAATTGGCACGCATGTTTTTCACGATTATTCTTCTTAATGCTCTTTGGTCAGCATTTGTGATATTACTTTTTTGCACATATTGTGGCTTAATATTAACTGAACCAGTTTACGTTATATCTTCTAACAATATTTCTCACACCGTACCGCGATAAGTCTAACAAAGTTACAATTTCTGAGTTTGATTTCCCAGAATTAAAAAATTTAATTATCAGTAACCAAATTTTCTCTCTAATAACCTTCCCTCTACCCACTTTGAAAACCTTAACTACCCAAAACTATTTTAAACGTATTCTGACAGCTGCGATTAATAAAAACAATTGTCATGGCTTTTATTTTTCACCTATGCGTTATAGACTTGAAATGAAAATAGGTTTATATGCTGTAATTGCAACATGTGTTATTTTTATGCTGCAAATTTGATTAGGGAGTGATAAAGTTGGTGTTTTCTACTATATATTATCAAAATATTCATTGTTAATATTTCAAACCTATAACACCCTGATACATTTTTATTATTTGTGTTTGATAAGAAAAAAACTAAGATTTCAATAGTTGGGCCAACTGAAGTGGGAAGGGGCTCGTATATGTTACCAATATTATAAAGTTGCCATAAGAATGCCTAAAAATAGTTACTTACAATCTGCTGAGAGAAAGTCAATTGTAAGAGGTCAGATATGGTCAAATATTATAATCATTTTGATTAATGATATATATAAAAGTTTGGCAAACAATATCAAATTCACACCATTTAGGAAATTAATATCATACATTCTAATTTGAATTAATATGCATGACCTTAGACTACATAACTATGAATATACTTTCAGTATAGTAAACCATATAGATCAAGTACTTTCATTGAAATGATTAACAAAATATTTTTGTATTATGCAACCAACATAAATGCCACATATTATCAATAACACGCCAATCTTTGCACATTCATTATATCACAGTTGAATGGATTTTTAAAGAATATAGGTTTTCTATTTTGTCTATAGTTTATTTTGTGACTACAATTTGAAAGATTCCCTATTAAACACAAACCAAAGAGTGAATAAGATACATATATAGAAACATCTTACCTGGCAAATAATATAACTATCTGACCTCTCGCCGAATTGGATTTAGTAGTTCACCTACTTGTGGAATGTTTCCTTACAATTGCTTTTAAACATATACCATGATACTTTCACTTTTACTTTGGAGGTTACTCGGGAAGTGCTACAAAATGTTGTCAGAAGTTGACGCCAAAATAATGTTTCTTTTTCGGAATCCTAGTCGGGACAGCATTCATGAATATCAGCAAAATAAAAAAGGAGTTCTACAAAAAAAATATCTGGAATTCTTGAAAACTGACAATTAAGAATTAAGTAATTGCTGATAGTATGATACACAAAACACAAGATTGTATTGACATTGACCACTAGTGACGTTTAATTGACACTGGGAGGGTACAATGCGACCTTGCCAGATTTCTTTGGTAGATCTCAGCAGATATTGCTACTAGATTTAAAAAAGTTTTGCATAAAAATGCAAGATATATCCCAAATAATCTTAGATTCATTTTGTATTTTTAAAACGGGGTCCGAGTGACCACTGTTGAAATATAATCCCGAGTAAAGATCTACTATGCGTAGCGAAATTTTTATCGAAATCGTTGCTCACCGCTTAAAAAATGCAAATGAAGATTAAATCTAATTTCCACTTTGGAGACACTTGGCACCCTCGTCACAACACTAAAACACGAAAGCACCACTGAGAGAACCCTATAGTGAACACTACTACCGAAAAAAGTAGTTAAACCGAATAGAGCTCGGTACGGAGCTGTGAACCCATTGACATTCCGCGCGGACGGTTGCCGACAGACTGAAGCGAGTGAGTGCTGTACCTCGCTGCGGCGATATAGTACGGCGGGGTAGTCCAGCCACGCCCCTTTCCAACTCCCACCCCGGTCGCTGTGAACTAACACGCTTTTAGTCTTTCGTCGTCGGTTGGCGCGACTGGAGGCTGGTGCGTAGAGAGCTCCGTTCAACGCTCTGCTTCTGTTATGCTAGTTGTGGTGTGCAGGGAAGCTTGTCGGCGATTCCTTGCAGTGTCGTGATGATGATTTGACTCAAAAGAGTGGACTTTTTTTTGTGATAATAATTGTGTGTAGAAAGTGACGTGGCGTAAAAGGCGAGTGGATCATCTCTTTGTATGGTCACTTGGATACTCGTATTGTGCCTTCCTTCGATCTATCTGGGGAAAATGAATGTCTTTACAGTTATCCATCCTCTCGTCTACTTCTGTGTTAGCTTTGGGGTCATACCGATTGTATTAAGTGTTAATATCTTATTATCTTTCGTATAAAAGGCTGTCGACATTTTTTAGTAAGAAATAGATACCTCTATACTGATATTTTTAAGAGGATGACTGTTTTAGGTTGTAACATAGCGACATATCTGTGCATTTTATAAGAAAATAATTGGGTAGTTCACATACCAAATAGATGCCAAAACATCTGCAACCCATAAAGTTTACAGCCTTCTAACAAAAATTTTATCCTGAGAATGGGGAAAGTGCCGTATAGGGGCACGTAAACACTCAAGAAAGGTGCTCGTAGAAGTTAAACATTTGTTCGATTAGGTATGTTGAGTGCAAAAAATAGAGTAGAATTCTGAAATAAAATAAAGTAACAATATACGAAATTAAATATTTATTAGTCATCGTCATCTCTGACCACAACTAATACATCTTCACCGTCTGTTTTTGTTTGACCCTTACTTTTATTATTATGCATAATACTTTTTACTGCAATTTAAATATTAAATATCAATCTGCTAGCTACGCTTTTGATGTTACCCCGAAATACCTATACTGTATTTGTACATATGGAAAATCTGAAAAGTACAATACAAATTTTTGTTTTATGTTTACGTACAAATTGTGGATATGAAATATAAATGATATGGCAAGTGTCAGCAATTTACAAAAATACACATTTGCTTACAACAAGAACACCAGCAGCCTTCTTTTGTTTATACTTGCACGTACAATATGAATATTTATTGGAATCGCACTAATTATTTGGAAAACATAATTACGCCTCAAATGCTATGTATCTCTGTTAATATTAGTCCATATTTTAATATTCAAGCAATTTTTATGAGGTTTTAGTGAAATCGCACAGTAAGCACAAACATCCGATGAGCTGGCAACATCGCAATCCAGGTGAGAAGAAGGGTAAGGTCAGCTGTAAAGATTAATTTTAAGGTCGACGTTTCCTTATCGTTATTGTTGAATGTCTAGCCTAGCCCCGGGTACCTACGGAGTCATTTCGGATGTCATGGCGTCAATTTTGCAATTTTCATTTCCATTTATTTAAGGGTTCTGGAACGATTTCTGGATAGATAGTCTTATTGGAGTGGTGTAAGTGGAGGGTATTTCAACTGCTGTCTTGCGTGGCCACATTTGATCTGCTCGGACTCCAAAGTGTAACGTGAAAGCAACCTTTGATCAAATAATCTACCGATTGTTGAAACGAACAACTGGTAGATCTGCTGAAAATGCAATGCTGAGATGCCATCCCGATTTTGTCGACCTTGTCATTTTTATTAACCGCTTTTGACTTTTGACATCGGATAGCAAGGGATAGGGTCTGCCTGCGATTTTACTCAAAATTTATAATTTTTACAAATAGTTAAGCGAAAATGGCAGCCCAGAAGCTCTCAATGCTGGTAAGCAATCGTATTTAACACGGTCCACTGACGTTTATAGCTGCTGATAACATTTTTAGCAAAATAATCATTACATAATACGTGCATATTGCTGCACTAGGAAACTTTTATCAATTTTTAGGTACGAAGCTTCAGCACCGGAAATATAGTCAATCAAATGGTAAAACCTCCAATCCAACTCTTTGGTGTTGAAGGTCGGTATGCCACAGCCCTTTACTCTGCTGCAACCAAGCAGAAAACCTTAGATAATGTTGAAAAGGATCTCATCAAGTTCCAGAACAGCATGAGGAGTGACCCTAAACTGAAGGGTTTCATCGAAAATCCCACCATCAAACGTAATATCAAAGCTGATGCACTTAAAGCTGCAGCTCAGAAAATCTCCCTGAAGCCAGAGTCCATCAATCTCTTGATGCTCTTGGCCGAAAATGGTAGGTTAGAAAAACTGGATGGAGTCATCAATGCATTCCGCACCCTTATGTCAGCTCACAGAGGAGAAGTAAGTTTAATTGTTAAGAAAAGAATCTTTTTACTTGTATCTACAGTCCTAAATGCATGTGTATCGTTTCCCTTACAACTACTTTGCTTTAATGAAAGAAATTTTCTGCAATCTGGGCCCATAACCTCTCTTTTAGTATTAATACAAATTTGAGCAAATCTATGAACTAACTTATTTTGAATTAATAATAATGTTAAGTGTCTAACCTACAAGCAAATAATTTAGAAAAGGCATCTTTTCATGGTTTGAGTTCAGTAGGTACTTTTTTACAATTTTTTTGGGAATTCAGTTGATGCTTATTTTTGAGACCCTTTGACTGTATGTTATTTAACAATATTGTATAAATAAATTCATCTATTTTGATAATAGGTGAGGCTCATATTTTGTATGAGATATTTTTTTTTGTCATATTTTTTGGATTCCCCTTTCAGGCAGGTTTGGCAGGATTTTGAGATTAGAAAAAACTTTGGATTTTAACTGACAATTCTCATTTGATGTTAACCTAAATTATGTAATCTCTCGTGTATGAACCTAAAAAAAGAATTAGCTGGGGGTTTTATATATAACATTATAAAAACAAATTATTTAGTTAAAGTAACATATGAAATATAAATAATGCATGTCATTCTGGAATGCTATCAAGTGGTGGTGCTATTCAAATACTTTTTCACAATTTTACTAAGAATGATAATATTCTGTTTTACAGTAGAATATTTGGTAACATTCTATGACATTTTTCTCAGGTGACCTGTGAGGTAGTAACTGCCAAGGCACTTGATGCTGAGCAGACAAAGAAACTAGAAGGTGTCCTCAAGTCATTTGTAAAAGCAAATGAAACCATTCACTTAACATCAAAGGTAGACCCAACCATCATTGGTGGAATGATTGTAAGTGTCGGCGATAGATATGTTGACATGTCCGTAGCCACCAAGATTAAGAAATATACTGAAATAATCAGTGCTGCTGTTTAAGCTCTAATTTATAATTTGTTATTGTATTGTAGTGATTCGAAAATAAACAAAATGTTTACAGATAATGCAACTTTTTGTTACATCACCGAATGTTATGAAATTAGTTATCGTATAACTCTTGTCTGAAATAATGTGATTATGTATATATTAATGTCATATCGTATTATTGTTTGTAGTTGTTTCAAAATATAATCAGAAATGCAGAAATTATTTTTTCTTCAAGATAAACAATCTGCAAATAATGATTATAGTTGGTTTGTTATCGATATCCAATACCAGGGTAGATAGTATGAGATTTCTTCTTATCTAAAATGAGGTGGAACCCCATTATGTAGGAACCACATAATGTCACATTTACAGTATATTCAGATAAGAGATAGACCGGACATAAACAAGACCACGTGATCATCGAACGCTGTAACATTCGGCAGGGACGTATTAAGAGTCACGCAGTACATATTTTAGATAGTAGATGCTGCTTTGTGTAACTTTGTAGTAAATTAGCACAATTCGATGTGTATACGATTGGTGATGGATATAGGATCATGTGGGGGTGGGGTAAGAAATATATAATGATGTAAATATACATAAGGGTTTCAAAATTTTCGCTTCGATTTCCAGCTTCGGATGCCGCCTGATGTTTGGTGAAATACAGTCAAATATAATCTCAAAATGGCGTTTAAATTAGCCTAAATTAAAAATAATCGTATATCTCTTAAAATTGCTTTTAGAATATTGATTAGTATATTTTTTGATTTCTAGGTAAATATGTAACCAAATTAAAACGTTCAAAACGTAAAAAAATGTGCATGGTTGAACACTGTCAGAAAGTAGATTCTTGAATAGGTTTTGCCAAAATGGGTTCAAAAATGTCAATAATTAATTAAAAAATACAGTAGCTTTATAATTACTTATAACTTACCGAATTTGATGAACATCTTTTATTGGAAAGATAGCTTGATGAGCTTTCATCATCGCTACTGCCTGAAGCACCAACGTCAATAATGAATGGCTCGACTTGTTCCTCTAAAATATTGTCCAGTTCCCACATTCTCTTTTCAACTTTGTCTTTCACGTGCTTAATACAGTTTTCCCATTTTTGCGCTGTTATTAATTCTAGTGCTTCTTTGAAAAGTCCTTTGAGGTCACAAAATTTAAAAGTTGTATTGTGCTTAGCTATATAATTTTTAACCTCTGCCCATATGAGCTCAATGGGATTGAGCTCGCAATGGTATGGAGGTAAACGGAGCACAGTTTTATTTTGACTTGCTGCCATTTCGTCAATGGCGTATTTTTGATATTCCGCCTTGTGATCCTTGACAATTCTTAATAATTGTACTTTCAGCATTGCTTCTTCAAAGTTGATATTTTTCGAGCAGAGCCAATTTTGAACATCAACTTTCCTTGAAGCCGTTGTTGGGACCTTCTCCATTCTTCGAGAATGATAAGGCGCATTATCCAACACAATTACTGCGTTCTCCTCCAAGTTCGGTAAAATTTTTGAAAACCACTGTTCAAACGATTCGCCATTCATTTCCTCCTGGTAATCTCCAGTTTTCTTAGAGTCAAAGCACCACAGACCGTCAACAACAAACCCATCCTCACTGCCAATATGACAGATAATGAGCCTTTTCCCTTTACCTGGAAATCGAAGTACTAACTGGTGTAGATGTATTTCAATAAGCGAACCTTTTTCAAATGTTTTCATCACATTCAGCGAAAAAACATTGAGACATGAGTATCAGATCGCTATAATTGGGATTATTTAGTCATATTGAAAGGAAGAATATTGAACGTCTATGATTACTCAGCGCTTCACAATTTAATTTAAAGTTATAAACCTTTAAAAAATGAATGATCAGGAACCTGAAATACGCGCAAATATTAATATTAACAAATTATAACTTCATAAAGCTTAAAGTATGAATTAAAATGATTAGAAATATTAGGAACGGTACACAATATTAGTAACTTTTTTTAAGTTTATAATATTCGACATATTTTAAGATTATATTAAAAAATTATTGAAATATCGAAAACACATAAAAACATGGCTTAAAAAAGTTCTAACAAATGAAAATGACAATAAAACATCCACGCATTTTATCGAAAGTTATAAAAGTTTTGTTACTTGTAATATGTTTTATCTGCCCCCTGGAATTAATGTTTAGAACCTTGTTCCCAAGGTTTGAAAAACATCCGATTGTTGTCTATTACTCGTATTTACCTGCTGGATTTTTTAATCCGGTGGACAGTCCATCTAGAAAGGCCCTCCTGGATGAAGTTACAGAATCATCAACCCATACTTTACTTGTAGTGTGTCCTGCGTTTACCCACGTTTCATCAAGGTAATAAATCTTCCTGTTTTGATTTCTATGTTTCCCAATTTTTGTTAAATAATCCCTCCTCCATAGCACAATTTCTTCTCTATCCAGTAGTAAACTATTACGACCCCGTTTTTTCCATTTGAAATTTAAATGCTTCTGTAACGCATGGAAAGTTGATCGTTTGAAATTTGGCAACGTTGTATCTCCATTTACCTCCTGCAGTACTTTATCTATAGTAGGTATTTCATTCCTAAAGAAGAATTCATGCACTTTCCTCCTAATCGCATGCTTATCAGCTTCATCCAATGATTTAACAATACTTTTGCGATGTTTACTGGTCATTGGCTCAGAAAAGGTGTGATTTTTTTTGTATTGTCTTAACACATTAAACACTGATGCGCGACACACCCCAACTTTGTGAGAAACCTTTACAACAATTTCTTTGATGGTTGATGCCTCGTTCTCCTCGCGCTCGATCTTATATATATTCAAAATGACCTCTTTCATTTCTGCACTCAGGTGTCTTTTTTTAGAGCGTTTCCTAGGTGGACTACAGGAGTTTACAACTTCATCGGCAGTATCTGTACTACTGGGCATTTTGCGCAAGCAGTTGATAACAATAACAATCAATAACAAGGTATAACAATAACAACGACAAACTCAACAACTTAATAAGATAACAAACGAAAACGTCCAAAGAAATATCAAATTGCAATGTTGCACACGACATACGTAACACGTCTGAACCTGAATGTGACTCTGCCTTGATACGACTGCTCTGCCGCTCGGCATAGGCATTTAATTGCGAATTGACCAATGAGGGCTCCTGTTTTACGTCGAGACGGCGGCGTTAGCGTGAAAATCACCCGAACCTTTTGTTTACATCCGGTCTATCTCTTATCTGAATATACTGTAGAGGAATATCTTCGAATAATTGTGGCAGATTGTGTAGGGTCCAAATAAGCATGCCATTTATCACGTCAGCCCAAACATTTAATGAAAATCTATATTGAAAATGAGTTCTTTCTACAGCATTAAGATTTTCTACTACCCAAACATGATTGATGTAAGTAAGACTTTACAACTGATAGGTCATTGTAAAAAACTAACAAGCAGTTTGAAAATCAACTACCACTCGGAAAGAAAATGCAATTTTCCAAAATGATCCATCCAACTTTTTATTAATCACGTTACAAAATCAGACAATCCAATCAATTTTTTATTAATCACGTTACAAAATTAGACAATCCTGTCCCACCTCCAAACAGTGCCGTCATCACATACGCAGATCAGAATGTTGGCATCCCTGCTTAGTGACGTCTGCCTAATAGCGGTGGTGCAACGCGGATGTTGCAGAGTGTAGGACTTTGCTTGAGCTGGATCAGCGACGTCTAGTTCCCAAACGAATACTTTGCCTGTTTGGTTTCCTAGTGCCAGTATCTGAAAGGAAAATATCTGGTAGGAGAGGATGACTTGGATTAATGGCAAAATACGAGGGTTGTTTAAAAAATAAGGTTTCCACATTTTTATCAGGTACGAGGAATTTTTTATTTGCAAAAACGCATTCACCATTGGAAACGTTGATCTTTGAGCCATCGTTCTCCATAGTCGCCATTCTTTTCCGCAGAGACGTCCTTTGCTACGCTCAGGAGATTCACGACGTGGTTGCGATCTTCGGTGTCACGACTCTTTCCTTTCTGAAAATGCCTTAAACCACCAAAAAACATGGGCTCTTGACAAAACACTATCTCGGAAGGCCTGCTGAAGCTTAGCAAGAGTGTCCATTGCATTGCGCCCAAGTCTTGAAACATACCGTTGCTTGAAATTGATGTCACTCACAATAGAAAGAATGTTGCACAAAAAACACCACTACGGACAACCAAATGACACGAGCGAGTTCAAACTTGTACTGAAGACGGATCACATGTTCCCCTAACTCCCCTCCAAGCCCCGCGCCTCCAGTGTTGCCAGATCGAACGCTACGTTGCCAGATCGAACGCTACGTTGCCAGACTTATTACTAAATTCACAGACCTCGTATGTCACACTACAGGAGATGTTTAACGGCAAGGTAGAAGTGACTCATAGCAATAAAACATTTTATTCCGTTTCCCGCTGCAAAATGGAGTTGCTGTTAACTTTGTTTACCTTCTGCCAGAAGTCCATGGCGAATCTGATGAACCAAATTTCGCATTCCTTATACTCGAAGCGATGTATTACGGTAGAAGTGGTTTCTCCTTTCCGCAGAGTGTCGTCTGCCAACCGGCCGGGTTTCCAACATACTATGCAATTTTCGCAGGATTTGCTAAATACGAAATCGCCGAACCATCTCACGCAGTCCACATAGTTTCTGCAAAACGATAAAATGCGTGGGCAAACTTCAGGAGGTGATTTTTTTAGTAATTATAAGATGAAAAGTTCATATAAATATAGGTCCAGAAATGCTTCATTTTCAGGATACGGGGTGGCAAACTTTTTTTAATAAATAGGTTTTTCCTAACTACCTTGATAAACTTTCGGTCGATTGTGTTTAAATTTAGTGGAATTAATGGCAATAAGTGGCTGGTTTAGCCCCAATTAGATTGAAATTATTAAGGCCAGTGGCGTTCTGGAAAACACCTTAACCAATATATTTGACAAAAAAATTGTACACCTTTGACTTTTTCAATTTTTTTATTTTTTTTTCTAACTAAGCAGCTAAAACTACAACTTTTTTGTCTCCTGAGTTTCATATGTCTCTTCGTTTGCGAATAAAACGTTAAAACCAATTAAGCAATTAACATCAGACGAAAGTCATTTCTTGAATTTTATCGCACATACGAGGGTGGTCCCAGAAGTACCCAACCCAACGAAGAAAACACAACATTTTTGTAAAAAAATGTATTTATTTTTCAACATAATCTCGTTTGAGCTCTATACACTTTTCCCAGCGATATTCAATAAGTTCGATACCCTCTTTATAATAAGAACTGTCTTGCTCCTCAACATAGCCATTAACTGCCGACATCACTTCTTCATCATTGGAAAATCTTTGACCCCTGAGCCATTTTTTCAAGTTTGGAAACAGAAAATAGTCCGAGGGGGCTGAATCTGGTGAACAGGGTGCATGAGGTAGCAATTCGAACTTTAATTCGTTAATTTTGGCCATTGCAATAACGGATTTGTGAGCTTGATGAAGCAACACTTTCTTCTTAACCAAATGCAGCCGTTTTTGCTTGATTTCATCGCCCAAACGTTGCAATAAGTTCGCATAATACTCGCCGTAGATAGTTTTACCTTTTTCAAGATAGTCAATGAAAATTATCCCAAAAAACCGACGCCATAACCTTGCCTGCAGATGAAACGGTCTTCGCCTTCTTTGGAGCCGGTTGTCCCTTTTGGGACCATTGTTTTGATTGATTTTTTGTCTCGGGTGTAAAGTGATGGACCCATGTTTCATCCATGGTTATGAAACGACGCAAAAATTCTGCTTTGTTGCTGTGAAACTTCGCTAAACACTCAATTGAAACATCTTCACGACACTGTTTTGCTCGATTGTGAGCAATCGCGGCACCCATCTTGCACACAGCTTTCTCATGTCCAAATTTTCAGATAATATGCGACGAACCGCACTTCTTGAAATGCCTACTATGTCTGCTAGCTCGCGCACTTTCGGTCGACGATCGTTCAGTACCGCTTTGTGAATTTTCTTCACCATTTCTGGAGTCGTCACCTCATTTGGTCTCATACGGCGTTTAAACTCTGCTATCCAATATTTTACCGTTGTAAACGAAGCAGCAGACTCACCCAGAGCAGAATCCAGTTCAGCTTTTATATTGGTTGGGCTGAGGCCTTTGAAATAAAAGTATTGTACCACATAACGATGACCAATTTTCTTCATTTTCACAAATTCACTGAAAACGTTCAGTATTGATGGCTGCCAAACAAATACTAAACAACGTGGCGTCTTCAAACTTGACACATATGCTTTATAGGTTGCATACTTTCTAATACAATGATATTTTTGAAACAACTATCGCCATCTCGAGGTCAGGTCGGGTACTTCTGGGACCACCCTCGTATTTAAAACTAATTTCGATAAAACAAAATCACATGAAATAATCGCACAACGTAATAATTTATAACAGCATGTTTTAAAAATAACAAAAACCATTAAAGGAAAAATTGCTACTCAAACAAATCTGACTTTGACATAACTTACTTAAAGCAGTGCATAAGTAACGCTCGTAATTATTTGAAGTGTTTTCAAGTCCCTCGTTTACAAAACCCCAGTCAACACTGAAGAAGAATGAACCCAACGGATACGAGCTTCACGTGACCAGATAAGACATACGCCGGGAATATTTCAACGAATTCGGCAACCAATGTTAAGACGAGCTAACGCTTGCATTGAGGTTGAAGGTGGGCATTTTTAACAACTAAGTCTCATGTTATTTACTGCTAAATGTTTCAGTTCTGTACCTCAGAGCCAGACTAGGTTAAGTCCAAATAAGTAGTTTTGAGTAGTAGTAGTAGTAGAAAGATTTATTTAGCACATTTGGCTACATAAACAGAATAATTGTAAACAACTTAGAACTAGTAAATTCAAGTCATATGGTGTATGATGTAAATGCCGGGCAACCTATAATTGTAGATTTAACAAGTGATTTCTCAATTTTACTTTAAATTTTGTCAAAGTTTTCTGGTCTTTTATCTCCGAGTATAATTTATTATATTCAATCAACCCTTGATGGAATACAGATTTGTAGCATATGTTATACTTTTTGGTCATTAAATGGAAGTCATCTTTATTTCTGGTATTATGTAAATGATGGTCGACATTTGATGATGTTAAATTAATTAGACTTGATGGAAATATATTATTTTTTACTTTATAAATGAATATCATTACAAGATATCTGATAAAATTTTTTACATTGAGCCATTTTAATTTGCTAAGCATTTGCCTAATTGGAGTATATTTATCTTTATTTAGTATTATTCTCATGCACTTATTTTGTAAAATTTGCAGTCTTTCAAAAATGGAATTATTTGCTAAATATAGAATAGTCGAACAGTACAAGAAATTTGGAAGAATGATGGTATTATAGATAATTTTTCTGCTATATGAACTCGGACATCCAGAAACTCTCGATAAATATCCCACTTTACTACTAATCTTATTTATAACTTTTTTATAATGAATATCAAAAATTAATCGAGAGTCAACAAAAACCCCCAGGTATTTAAAATTTTCTACGAATTCAATATCTTCACCATCAATATTCAGTTGAACATTTGTACATTGTTTTTTTCCGATTAACAAGGCTTTCGTTTAACTTGCATTTAATTTTAGTCTGTTAGATGCTAACCATTTTGAGACAAGCTTCAAGTCTTCATTTATATAAGAGATACCAGACTGAATATTTTTAGTACTTATATAAATCATAGTGTCATCGGCGAAAATCTGAATTTTGCATTTTTTGTCTATGACAGGTAAATCATTTATGTATAAAATAAAAAGAAGTGGTCACAGGATACTGCCCTGTGGAACACCCAACGTATTTTCAATTTTTGATGAAATAGTGTCATTAACTTTTGAGATAACTGAATTTGAAATATTTTTCTTGTATTGTAAGCGACTTGACATCAGTTAAAACGTCCTTATTATTACAGATAGTTGGACGCTGTAAATGAAAATTCACAATGTTATCATAAGCTTAACATATTGAAATCATTTTTGTCAGAAATAGGTTTAACCTAGCGTGGCTCTGGGGTACAGAATTTGATTTTTTCCGGCACGATTTTTTTTTAATTTCCCGCCGTTATCAATGCGCAACGCTACTGACAAGATATTGCAACAATAACATTATATATATATATATATATAGAAATAACTTGAAACGTGGTCATTGTCGTCTAGACCAGTTAGGTGAAAAATTAAAGCTTCCGCCTTTTGTTGGGTACTTCGACAAAATTTAAGCAAAGAGGACTCTTTATACTTTTTTTAATTCTCTCTAGCTTTCAATGGACTTTGCCATCATCATCAGGAGCTGCAATTACAATGATAACAGTAGCAACAAAAGTGTAAAATGAATTTAAATTGACTCAACTTACAGTAGTATGTGAGGATGTTGCTAATTGTTGTTTACGTATAGGATGAGGGAAACGTCCAGTAACATGGTGAGAGCTGGATAGATTGTACAATGGTCAAAATTATATAAAATATGACAAGAACAAGTTAAAAACAGATTAAAAATTATTTAAAAAACATTAGAGCATTACATCGTGAAGCAAAAATGCGAAAAATTGGAGAACTTACATATCTCCCCAAATTTCGACTCTTCACAACCATAATTAGAATCTGTGTTTTGGCCGATTCCACCAGTAAATTTCATTCCACTCAAAATATAATATTTCTCTTCTCACGATTTATTAATAATTGTTAATTTAATTTCCCATTAATTAAAATATAGTTTATTCAACTGCCTCTGGTCGGTTTAACAAATTCTTACATAAAATTCTGAAAATCACATCATCTGAAGTGATTTGGCAACGTTTGGCACACGCCCACAATTCGTTCCATCTTTCAACACAGACATTGACATCCTTCGGCCTTCTGTCAAAGGGTTTCATCTCACTCATTATTCCATGACCACTAATTTGTGCAATCATCAAGTGGCTTCACGATGTAATGCTCTAATGTTTTTTAAATAATTTTTAATCTGTTTTTAACTTGTTCTTGTCATATTTTATATAATTTTGACCATTGTACAATCTATCCAGCTCTCACCATGTTACTGGACGTTTCCCTCATCCTATACGTAAACAACAATTAGCAACATCCTCACATACTACTGTAAGTTGAGTCAATTTAAATTCATTTTACACTTTTGTTGCTACTGTTATCATTGTAATTGCAGCTCCTGATGATGATGGCAAAGTCCATTGAAAGCTAGAGAGAATTAAAAAAAGTATAAAGAGTCCTCTTTGCTTAAATTTTGTCGAAGTACCCAACAAAAGGCGGTATATAGAAATATATATATAATAAATTAAAAGACGACTTTCGTGTAACTTTACCAAAAACATGCAATAAGTGCTTTTTATTCTTTATCTCGTAAATTACGCGAGATATGAAAGAAACTCAGGAGACAAAAAAGTTGAATTTTAACTGCGATAAATGTATTTTAGGTAGCAGGTACTAAAATTCACCACTAAATAGAAGAAAATTGATAATTGGGCTGGATACCAATTTTTTTTTTATAGTTATAGCTAACCATATTCGTTCTTATAAAAATGTAAAACTAGTTGAACACAAAATAACAACGTAAAAACAAGATAAAAAATTAGATTTTTTATGTAAAAAACAGTGGGGTCAAATTTGACCCTGCAATGGTATAAATGTTACTGTTTTTGGCCATGGTAGTTTTGAGGGTTAATAATTCCAATCTAATTGGGGCTAAATTAGTCCCTTACTGGGCTAAATTTGAACAAAATCGAAAATTTATCTAAACATACAGGAAAAACCCATTTTTTTGCCACCCTGAACCTTGAAAATGAAGCATTTCTGGACCTAAGTTTATATGAACTTTTCATTTTAAAATCATTCAAAGAATCACCTCCTGAAGTTTGACTACGTAGTTAAATAATAACCTGTATACAGAGCGGACCTGCTTTGTCGTTAAAGAACAGGAGGGAGGGGGGGAGGGGGGTACTCAGAATTGTTTGCATATCCTATGTGTATCAAGTTTCAAACTAACCTGTGAATGTCCCTAGTACTAAAATCCGGAAAATTCTCCTTCAAACAATCAAAAGGCCTGGTGTTCCTATTGGGATTCCAACTGTACGATTGCCTTATAGCTTCCTTCATACTTTCCTTATCCAGCCGCCAAAGTTTCAAAGAATGGTCCATACCGCACGACATGATCTTCGTTCCCAATATGTCAAAATCCGCACTAAGTACCTCGTCTCTGTGTCCCTCAACCCCGCCGAAGATCGCGATACAAATATCCGTTTTTATGTTCCACAATCTCAACGAGTGGTCTTTGGAGACGGACAGAAGCAAGTTCGGGTCTTTCGGATGGAACTTGAGCTCGTTTATGGCGTGACCGTGGCCTATGTAATGTCGGACGCAAGACATTGTTGCGGGGCTGAGGATCCTTATCACGCCCCTCGACCCAGCTACGGCCAATAGGGGTTTACCTAGGTCTTCTTCGTACGACCAGGCGCAGGTGTAGAAATTTTCGTCCAACTGCAATTGAAATAAAAGGATGACATCAAATATGGAGTACAGTGGACCCCTGTCGAATCCGGCGGCATTTTAACACTATAACCAATAACCAGCTGGGTGCCGAAATCACTACCGGAATGTTAAACAGTGCTGAAAACAGTGTCAGAATGTTATCAATAAACTGGTTCTACTAATATATATAAATATAACTTGAGACGTGGTCATTGTCGTCTAGACCAGTTAGGTGAAAAATTAAAGCTTCCGCCTTGTGTTGGGTACTTCGACAAAATTTAAGCAAGGAGGACTCTTTATACTTTTTTTATTCTCTCTAGCTTTCAATGGTCTTTGCCATCATCATCAGGAGAGTAGTATGTGAGGATGTTGCTAATTGTTGTTTACGTTAAGGATGAGGGAAACACCCAGTAACATGCCCACCATTTTGTGCAATCATCAAGTGGCTTCACGATGTAATGTTTAACTTTCAATTTCTAAAATTTTTTTTTATCTGTTTTTAACTTGTTCTTGTCATACAGCTGTGTGTATTTTATATAATTTTGACCATTGTACCATTTATCCAGCTTTCACCATGTTACTGGGTGTTTCCCTCATCCTTAACGTAAACAACAATCAGCAACATCCTCACATACTACTCTCCTGATGATGATGGCAAAGACCATTGAAAGCTAGAGAGAATAAAAAAAGTATAAAGAGTCCTCCTTGCTTAAATTTTGTCGAAGTACCCAACAAAAGGCGGAAGCTTTAATTTTTCACCTATATAAATATATATGAATTTTTCATGTAATTTTTCTTATTGCTAAACCAAATTATTAATTTTAAAATCATTAAATATCGTAATAGGAAACAACGTGCGTTGATTATTATCTTACGTATTTTTAGCGGAAGGTAAGTAAATTTAAATTTAAATTGATAACATTCTGACCCCATGCTCAGCACTGTTTAACATTCCGGTAGTGATTTCGGCACCCGGCTTGTTATTGGTTGAATAAATTGAAATTGACCAATAAAATTAAGGCTGGTGCCGAATCCTATACCATAGTGTTAAAATGCAATCCGGCGCCCCCTGTAATCCGACATGTCTTTGAATATGTATTACATACATACGTATTTGACAATCTTCGCTAATGTAGATCACGCAGGCTTGAACAGGTTACAACTTGTACGCGCCACCGCTATCGTGCTCGACGCGTAAGCATTGTTTTACTTAGTTTGCATTTGACTACTTGTGATAGCGGTACGGCCTACCGTGCGTTCTTTGTTTACTATTTATTCATTGTGTGTTAAGTATAGTACCTAGTAATGTCATCACAAACTCGGAAGCGAAAGCACAAAACATTGACAATTAAAGAAAAATGTGATATTTTAGACCGCTTAAATCGCAATGAAACTTTCAGTAGTGAATACGGCGTAGGCCGATCTACAATTTATGACATTAAAAGAAACCACGAGAAGATCAAGAAGTTGTGTCAACTACTGACTGCGGGCCAGGCAAGAGACAGACACTCAAGAAAGCTGAACATCCAGAAGTGGAAGAAGCTTTGTACATGTGGTTTCTTCAGGAAAGAAATAGGCATGCACCAATTTCAGGACCCATGTTGGCCATGAAAGCTAAGTTTTTTTATAAGAAAATAACAAAAAAAGATGATTTTGTGGCCAGCAAAGGATGGCTAGAACGTTTTAAAAGTCGTCGTGGCATACGTTTAATGACTATTACAGGAGAGAAACTTTCTAAAGATGCCACCTGCATAGAGCCCTTTAAATTAAGATTTTTGCAAAAGGTGATCGATTTAAATCTTGACCCGTCACAGGTGTACAATGCAGACTAATCAGGGCTTTTTTGGCGTGTGATGCCTAACAAAACTTTCGTTTCTTGTAACGAAAAATCCGTACCTGGACGAAAAGTAAGTAAAGAGCGTGTAACCATACTACCATGTGCTAACGCTGCGGGCACACACGCGCTTAAGATGATGGTCATTGGGAAATCTAATAAACCACGGGCATTCAAAAACATTGATTTACCTGTACACTATTACGGACAAAAAAGTGCATGGATGACAAAAGACCTTTTCAAAAAGTGGTTTGATGAATGTTTCGTACCTGAAGTTAGAAAATGGTTAAAAGATCATAATTTTCCTCAAAAAGCGTTGTTGCTTCTTGATAACGTTCCCCGTCATCCGTCTGAAGAAGAACTAACTACTGAGGATAAATGCATCACTGCGATGTTTCTTCCGCCAAATTGCACTGCACTGATTCAACTACTGGACCAGAATATCATTCAGTTTGTCAAGCAAGACTATAAGAAAAACCTACTTCTGAGAGCCGTATCAAAAGACCAACCAATAGAAAAAACTTTAAAAGAATTTAATATGAAATACTTGGTTTTTGCTCTTTGTCAGTCGTGGAATGCGTTATAGTCATCAACAATTAAATCATCTTGGAAAAAGTTATGGCCTGATATAGTCACCACTCCTAGAAACGTTCCACAAATCAGTGTTACTTCGGAAGTTAGAGAACAAGTCGCTATCGAAACACAGATAAGTCCGGAAGATTTGGAAATCTGGTGCCGTGGAATGGATAAAGAGGAAAATGTTTTCCATGAAATGTCTGACGAAGAGATTATAAAAGAGGTTTCTAATTATACAACAAACAATCAGGAAAATAATGCCGACGTGATTGCAACTGCTCCACAAGTCACAGCACAAGACGCAATTAACGCCTTTGAGCTAGGTTTACAATGGGCTGAAGAGAATGATACATCCTACAACGAACTTTTGCTTTTGAGAAGACTGAGGGACAAAGCTCTGATCTCGCGTTATAACAACCTTAAACAAAAAAAAAAATGATGAAAATTTCCAAGCTTCATAATTTGATAAATTCGTTAATGATTTTGATTAATAATTGTTGATTATTTTGGTACATATGTAAGTGCATTTGTGCTTAATTTTATAATAAAACGTAAGCTCTCTATTGTTATTTAATTTACTAAATTCGACATACATAAACTATGTATGATTTGTACTTCAAAGTACATACATATACGTAACATATATGTATAATCTTACCATTGGATATCTAATTTGTCGGATTACAAGGTTTATAATTACAGTTTAAAGTGTAACAGCTGGTGCAAAAAAAACTGTGTCACTTGACTGCCACAGGTCAAGTCGGGCGACGGCTGACTGCAAAATTGACGATCACTCAGTGGAAAAAAACAGGACTCCTATAACCTGTCTATAATATCAACTGGAACCAACCCACGAAACGTTGAACAATGGGATTTCAACTAAATCTAAATATACACATATATCTGTCAATCTGCAAAACACTGTTATGTTATTATGGAGAATAAACGCTTTGGTTTTACGTTCATATAACGTGGACTGTTGCGTGTGCAAACTTACATCTGGATCAGCATAGCACTGCAACAGCTTGATACCATTTCCCTCGGGACACTCGTAAATCGTGACGCGGTTACTTCCGACAGCAGCAAAAACGAAAGGTTGGCCTTGTTTCAGGTTGTGATTGAACTGTGCACCAAATAATGGTTGGCCATGATCTTCTTTGATACTGCACCTATCGAAATCAGTATCAAGGATCTGTTTATCTCATAGTCTGTGCACTTGATGGAAGTCAACTTTTTGACAGTTCTATCACTAAATGCGTATTCTTAGTGCTATTTTTCAAAAGTGTGAGTGTTTGCAGATCGTTTTTGTTAGAGAATTTCAAGGCATAGTAGCTTTAACATGATTTGCAAAAAGTGGCACAAGCCTTTTGGTAGACACGTGAAAGAATGCTGTAAAAATATGCAATTTTGCCAATAAACAATGCAATCTAAACATATATGCTTGACTTCTAATATATTCAAATTTGTTGTAGTTTTATAAAATAATGAATATGAAAACATCAGTCATTTCTACTATTATTGTAGGACACCTTTATGGCCTCCTTGATTTTCATAGTTTTCTATTGCTTTGTCAGCACTTTATTTTGAGGTTATGTTGCAATTATTCATGCATTGATTCATACCATCTGTTTTATCAGACTGAAATTTCCTACAACTCAAAAAGAAATACATAACCTCACAATCGGAGAGCGCTTACAGAACAGGTGAAATCCAGAAATACCTCAGCCTTTCTGAAGGAGATAAAATACTATGAAAATCAAGGAAGCCATAAATACAAAATAGGATGCCATTATGGCCTCCTTGATTTTCATAGTTTTCTACTGTTCCATGTCAGTGCTTTATTTTGAGGTTATGTTACAAATATCTATTTGCAACAAATTGTTCATCGAGCTGTTTAATCAGCCTGAAATTTCCTACAATTCAAAAGGAAACATTACCTCGCAATAGGTGAAATCTGGAAATACCCCAGCCATTCTGAAGACTATGAAAATCAAGGCGTCCTACAATTGTAGGAATGACATATGATACAGCCTTTTAGTTGACACTGAAAACCCAAATACCATATATTCACTCATACATCTAATAAATACATATTTATTGAAATTTCACTTACGAAAATTTATAAATGGGCTTCAAAACTTTGGGTGTAGTACTGAAGCGTTTTTTACCGCGCCTGCCTTTTCTTAACCTATTGGTTGGAGTTGCACTCCTTGACGTATTATCTGTTGTTGAAGTGCTGCCAACACTTGAAGTCTCATCCTAGAAATCAGTAATAAAGAAGTAATATAATCGTAATCAAGAACCAGAATCGAATAAACAAAGATTTCAGAAATTTATTCCAAGTAAGAAAAATATTCCAACCAGTGTGTATAAAGATTAGCTTGAAAAATTCAAAGTTAATGTTTATAGAGAAAGAGAGTTGAATCACGGCCAACTATATCAAGTATCAGAAATGAATAAACAAATGAATGATATCCAGCAAAAATTTCAGATGAATTTCTTTAACTTACCGCTTCATCGCCGGACTCATCCTCGACATTAGAAAGTTCCTCTTTTACAGCTGGTTTAGTTTTTTCTTGTGATTTATCCTTCATTGTTTTTATCATAAATTAAAATTACAACAAAACAACAAAAATGTTTGAAAGCAAAAGCTTTGTGTAAACAAAAATCTAACCTCAAAAATTTGAAGCATGGAACATGAAGATAGAGAATCATAAAACACGAAACTCTGCAACAGTTAACAGGCACTGTTTCCGCAATGTTGCCGAACCTACCGATTTACATATGCTTAGTCAGCCGGGCATACGAGGAGCGTAGATTTGGGTTGCCTATAATGATGTACGGTACACGTACAGAACTACAGACCGGTAAATCGCCGTAGCACCGGACAAGCAATAAGGGAACTAAAGATGGTCTGTTTTAATTAAATATTAAATACAAATGTTAGGGGACGAGACTTCAAGTTTAGTGGTAAAACAACCAATATTTACAATCTTGTCATTAAAAATGGAGAAAGGAGTTTCCAGAATGGTAGCAAAGGGGTCTGAGGAGCGACCAGAATGCTCATTGTATAGGCTGTAATATAGAGGAAAAGATGGTCACTTACTTTTTTTCATAAACGGTACTGTTTGACTCTAAGACCGTTGAACCACAGACTATCTTGCAAGGGCCCTGATTTTTTTTTCTACCGATTTTGTCCTTGAATCTACCGAATTTCAACGGCACTATCTACAGATTTCCTCTTTTCCGGTTCAACAACACTAAGTTACAGGATGTGATTGTGTAAATTAAATCCTAACCCCCCATTGACGGAGGTGTTCTTCTTACTTTTTCGTAGCTTTTTGATTATTTAACGAACCGTGAGTGTTATATGTGTAGACGACAAAACTGCGGATAGAGGACGAATACTATGCAACCATAAATTGAAACTTTTTACTACCTAAAACAAACCTAGGCTTTGATCGAGATTGTAGATTAATAATGATTAGCCTCTGAAGTATCTCAATGCAAAATTTCGACCGCTGATTTCGAATATCGACATTTGGGTGGAATAAGAAAGACACGATTCATAATGATTTTTTTATTAAAAAGAAGAAGCCGCTCTGGAAGAGCCCATAAAAACTTAACAAATTCCAACTTTACATTACTACATTGTTTCCTAAAAGTACAAATTCATCAATCTGAATTCAAAAACATCAGTTACTGATTTATTTTACTCATCGATAAAAATTTTATATGTACATTAACAAATAAGCGATATAAAGGTTGTTTTTATTATATTTATATACAAAGTCTATCACACCTAAATGGATGATTTAAAAAGCACCATAACAAATATAAACATATACATACATACACAAAATTATTTTTTATCTAGACGAAAACCTCACCTTTTTTCATCATCGCATGCGAATCAAGAGATTGCTAAATTATAACCGAAATGATAAAAAAATAATTCTGTCAGCCTGCAACTTGGCAACTGAATAAACATTTTTAACCGAGCTCTTAAGCAATAAGAAGAAAATCAATCAGTTTTAAGAACCTTTTCATTGAATGATAAAAAAACAAATATTTAACTTTGTCTTGAGCAAAAAATTGCTTAAACTTTGCTCTGGATTAACTCTTGATTTAAGTTAACATCCCACGAAATACGAGGTTTTCGCTTCGAATATTTTTCTCACTAGGAGGTGACGCGTGCTTCCACAGTGCTCAATCACCAAAAATTGATCGATTTCTTTGACTGATGATCAGAATCGCAGGATAAAATTGTTTTAGGCCACAAAACACCCGCTTTTTAACTTGTACTAAATACGTGAATCCTTGGCTCAGAATAGTTCGATTAATAGGTACACAGCCTTTACAAAAGAAATGGCCTTTCTGTATCATAGTGCAGAAAATCAATTTTGAAAGCAAGCATTGATTCGAGACCAACATTTTTTGATCCTTATATACCTTTTAGTATCAAAACCCAACTAGCACAGCACGTCTAAATGACGACGTGATTGTTCCAAATATCGACGTCGTGATGACATTTACTAAATGTCCAATTGTGTTATAACGTGTTTTTGAGCTTTTTCTTATCTATCTGTATTTTATATGTACGATGTTTTAATTTATTTAGAAACAATCTTTTTGATTCAAAACCGATGACGTTAACTTGAAGTAACTTATCTGAAAAGTCAAATTATTAGAGGTCGCCAAGTATTATAGTATAATATTCCATTTTCCTAGCGTTCCGATATAAAATATTTAGTGGTTTTTAAGAATAAGTGCAAAATGAATGAAAAATGACCTTCCTGGATACAGCATTTAAATAGGACATACAAAACAAAATAATATATAGGTATTACATTTTAGCTATTCAATGTTATGTATTCTAGAAAATGGACTTACGTTTAATCTGGCAACGCTGTGTTGAGTAACAATAAATTGTCAATCGAGGTTATGGCTTTCGTGCTCCCGCCATTTGTACCGGTGCCGCGTCCGATTGCCCAGACTTCGTACTGGGTATTTCCAAAACTATATGAAATAGTAGGATTTGAAAATAGTTTCAGGCTAACGTGACTTTAGTTCCCTAGCATGTTATGTATACTGTCATATGTGTTCCAGTAGCATTACACGGCTCATATGGTGTAAAAATGGTAGCATTAGCGTATTGTTTCCACCCCAACCGTCGAGTAAACTGGTAAAGTGAGAGTTGTGAGTGTCAGTAATAGGTCGTTATTCGTCGCTGGGCGAACCAGTGTTACAATTTATAGTCAATGGTGTTCTGGCAGTGTAATACTACTGGTAAAAGATAGTATGTGATGTTTTGGAAAAGCTAATATTGGTTATTTATTATAAATAATAGACGTCATCTTCACTTCCACCAAGTGACGTATTATTAACTTCTGCTACATAACGTCATCGGTATGTGACATTGAGAGGTCATTTTCACGTCATTCAAGAGTTCTCGTCATTTCAGTTTGTAGCGTCATTTTCATGTGCTTGTGCTACCTGGGATCTTCAATATAGTTACTTTCAAGATCTTGAATCGATAATCTATAATATTTCTTTTCTAACTGTTAAACTATTTGGCATTTGTGGCATACATCTACGCATAAATGATTGACTATCTAAATAGGGGATGCTGCTAGACAACCGTATGATTCGTTTTAGAATACATTGTGTAACTATCTATTTAAGTTCCCAAAAGACAGCGATATCTTCGACTTTGATGAGAGAAATTTTGGGAATAGGGTGGGAGAAAGCTCCCTACAAGTTAATAAATAAAGAATAAAACAATAAATTGATCAATAATATTAGGCAGAATTCTTTTATTTTTTCTCACCTTCCCTCTCGAGTCTGGATCGGGGCGTTTCGACGTCGCGTCGGTGCGGTTTCAAAAGTTTCGATTTTTTAAAATTTTTCGACAAAATGCAACTTTTCGAAACCTGACCTTTGCTTTCGATATTCTCATACTTTGTATTCAAGTTTTGCAAAGAGGGTTTTTATGTTTTTGAAACGCTTTTTCACACTTGCTTAAGCGAATTCGTAAGTTTTTTTTTAGTTTTTGAGAAAAAATGCAAAATAAACATATTACACACTGTGCATTATGAACCAATCCATAGGAATCATCTGTATTGTAATCACTAATTATAAATAAACATCTAGAACAAATTGACCTAATATTTTTATGTCTTTCTTTGGTTATATCATCAAATCTGGAAGAATTAGAACTAAATCTCTTTCCAGGCTACTTGTTTTCGTCCTATTTGAATGTTATAACTTAAAATATATGTCAAAAATCGCAAGCCTACTTTCAAATTCATCATTAAAAAGTTCTGCGATAAAACTTTCGGTGCCGATAAGGTGCAGATGCTGTATTGCGATTTATTTCCAGGTAACTATGCAAACATCTCTATCTAAAGTTTCTTGATATATAACTGCATAATTATATCCATATCCACAGGCTTTTGATAATGAAGTATTTCATTGTAATAATACATTAATATTATTCGTGAAGAAATACTTGAGAGTAAGGCAGAATTCTTTTCATGATTTTGATTATAGCAATTTTACATATTACTTTGGGGTTTGGGGCCATATTTAGGTTTCATTAAATCACTTCGTGGTTTGATAACTGATTGAGACTTGTGCGAGTGCCTAATGGCCTTGATGCCGACGTGGATTTTCTTGTGGAAAGCAGCATTTTTGTTAATGCAGGTATTATAGGTTATAGGTAACAATACTGTAGATCAAAGTTTCCATAACACTTGGCCCCATATTTCTGCGTAACCCTGTATAATCTCAAAAACAATGGACGAGTAAAGTTGTTCAAAATTTGATACCACATGAAAGTTTTTAGAGCCACATATCTTATATAAGGGTCGCATCGTCGGTGGTTCATATAAATTGTAGGACGCCTTTATGGGCTCCTTGATTTCCATAGTTTTCTACTGCACTCTATTTTGAGGTTATGTTACAAATATCTATTTGCATCAAATTGTTCATGCTTGTGATTTATATCATCTGTTATATCAGCCTGAAATTTCCCACAATTCAAAAAGAAAACATAATAACACAATAGGAGAGCACTGCCGCTGACAGGGAACAGTAAAAGACTAGAAATACCCCAGCCTTTCTGAAGGAGAAAAAAAGACTATGACAATCAAGGAGGCTATAAAGGCATCCGACAACTGTAGGAACGTCTGACTATACGGCCCTAAGCTTCAGGAATTCAACACAGGTTCTAAAAGCTGTTCATCATATTGAGATACTACATTCATGTCTTACTCAGCGCCAATAGATTTGAGCACAAATCGTCAAATGTTTGTAAATGTAACAAATTAATGTGCTATTCGTTAGCTTTACCTACCACAGCGAGGTAGGATGCTCGTGTCATAGGACATTCATGTATAAGGGTTATTTTCAATTTTCATGAACATACCTATTGTTAACTATCTAATATCTACTTACTTATCTGGGAAATCTTCGAGGTATATGACGCTTCAAAGCAAAAACTAAACTGTCAGTAGCCTAAAGAACAACTTTGTAAATAACATGCTATCTCTAGTAGTATATTTCTACTGAAAACTATGTTTCACCCGTGTGTTTTCCACTACTTTATAGTTTAATTCATAGCGATTCTGATCATCATCACTTTAAGTAGTATATTACTTAAAATTTGTCAGTCATTGAAGTTAACAAGATACTTC